CTCAAAAAACAGAGTTACTAGAATTTTTCACGGATAGATCCAGCCTTGCGGAAAGGTGAATTCACAAATGAATTTACATTTAAAAAGGCAGGAGTGGCAGGACTCAGCACTGTTCATCAGGGGTTCATAAAGGTTGGAGAAAGCGGCGAAAGGCGAGCTTCATTCCATTGAGATTAGTACCACAGTTTAAGGAATGGGTATTTCCTTAAACTGTGTTGGTACTGTCGATCCCTAGTATACAGGGTGTGTCTAAATAACGCCGAACTAATTCAAGAGGTGATTCCTTGTGATATTATAGCAAATAAAGTTCATATAAACTTACTTACCAATTTAGAGATACAGGATGTTGGAGTTGGAAGTATTGATTGTTTCAGTTCTATGAACCTTCCTGTATGAGCTTTCATGGTGCCAAAATTCAGTATCGTTGGAGACTGAGAAAGCCACAAAATGTCAAAATGATTGTAATTGGGGTTATTGAGTAATCTCAATGGAAGTCTTGAAAGGACCTACATTAAATTTGCAGTCAAATCGAATTTTTATTGTTTCCTCAAAAACTAATCTAGCTACAAAAATCACACAAGGGATAAAAAAGTTGTTATTTGAATAGTATTACGAAATAGTATTACGAAAACAATAAAGAAAATTTATTATTATTATTATTCATCTATTTCAAAATACAGGTATCACAATCTGACATATTCGTATGCGAAACTCATTCGCAAATATTTGAAAATAGCTCTTTTCCTTCATTAAGATAATCTCGAGTTTGGAATTTGAAATTCACCTGTGTATGCTTCTCTGCACCTTGTCGAATACATGTATACTGAAGATGTTCGAAATTCACGTAACAATTTGTTTATTTATATTCAATGATTTTTTCACAGCTTCAATTGTTTACAATTCACACGGTATAGGAAATCACTTATTCTCCTCTTGGTTGAATACATACATAGCTATAATATTATGAGCCATATTATGCAAATGATTATGCTCCTTTCTCGTCAAATAAGGTTAGCAATAATGGAGTGATAAAATTCTTTGAGAAACTGGTTATTTGAACTGCTCTTCAACTTAATCAAGCCCCACAAAAGTGGTGACTATTAGACAGCATTACTTCAAGAATGAGATTCAACAACAGAAACAGCTAATTAATTTTTCACACAAAAATATCAATATAAACTGCTCAACACTCGGAACGGAGAATTGAAGATTATCTACAAACGTCAGAAAACGAACAGGGTTTGCGCATTCATAACAATATGTGAAGTGACAATTTTTTTCATTTTCCTACACTCAAAAAAAATTGATGGGTTGAATCAACCAAAAAGAGCATATAAAAATGAGCCAAACTGGTTTAATAATTAAATCAACCAGTTAACAATAGTTGAATATGTTTAGTCACCATACGAATGTAATTGTTGTTCTGATCAAGAAAATTGGTTATCAACCAGATTGCATAGTAGATATAGGTATATTGGCTATTTTTCAGGTTCTTGTACCACTGAATTAATACAAATTTCGGATAAACATCAAGTTTGTTCATTACATGGTGGTCAACTTTACAAAATATCTACAGTATAATTCTCTTCATATGTAATTTCTCGTCTCGTTATTCGAATATAAACTCTTCCATTTATCCTTTTGACACTCAATGGACGTTATTCAATTGCTACCACAGTTTAACATCTTCTTCCTGTAAGAAATGTATAGGATCGAAATATGAATTTAATATTGAATTGATTGAATTCATGAATAATACTCACCATCACATTAATACGATCATCTGATGAATTTTCCTCAACATTTTGTCTACCAATTATGACAGTGATCGAGCTGTGATAATATATTAGTTATACAACATAATATAGTTTATTTCTGACAGTGACATTATAAGCTTATATCGTCATAGTTACGATATCTATAATGAGGGTCATAACTCCCTTGGGATGTTATAGATGCTATAATTCCCTCTAGCTGAAATTAAATAAGAAATGCATAGCAACAACCATGCAATAACGTAGCAATAAGGAATCTCCTATTCGCGGTAGTCAAGATCATCATCTGACGTTCTGATGACATTGAAACTATACGGAAAAACATGTCTAACTTCCAATCGGGAAGGTATCTAATGAATGAAATCAGTCAGAAATAAAATTATCTATGTATCACGGGAATTATAGAGCCTTAATAACCTCTGGCAATTGCCATCGGTAATTAAGGCCCTCATAATTCCCTTAATACATAAATAACTATTAAATACTATCTTTAGTGTGATTTGAAATAGTTGCAGGTTGATTTCACCTTCCTTTTTGTTTGATTACCAACTTTAACAGTGAGCAAGCTGTAATAATATTTTAGTTATAATATAATATAGTTGAAATACTATCTTTAGTTTATTTTGAAATACTCATATGTTGATTATAACTTCCTTTTCGTTTGTCTACCAAATATAACAGTGAGCGAGCTATTATGATATTTCACTTACACAGTCACATATACAATGTTGTTGAAATACTATTCCACGTTCGATTTGACTAATTTTTACAAATTATTGGTTGTACCACAAAAATATTATCGAAATCAACTAATATTTTTGGTTGACGTTGAATTTGTTTATGTACAATTTTTCCTCAATTGTTTTGACGATCACCTAATCATTGAATGTACCATCATTGTAGTTTTATTCAACAATTATTATAATGATGTTGTTGGTTAAACCATTGTCGTTCTAGATGACAACCAAGTTAGGTAGTTAGTAGGCAGGAGCTATCCTCCTCGCACTAGGTCGCCTACTAGGTTTTCATTTAGATCGACAATGGTTAAACACATTTTTTGTCAATTCAACCCATACTATTCCTTTGAGTGTACGTTACCATGACATTGGGTGCAAAACAGAATGCGAAGTAATAGTAGATTGTTTTATAAGGATCAAAAGTGATACTTTGTTTGACAAGCGAAGTTTGCATTTGCGAGGCGGAGCGTATAGCGAAGCCGAGCGAAAGCAAAATTTGCGAGTCGAACAAAGTCACTTTTGATCCGAATGAAACATGCTATTTTTTCTGCAACCGAAACAATTAACTCAAATAAACATGTGAAGTAACCACCATAGCCGTGCCATATGTATGCAGTGCAACAAATATTGACAAATAATCCATGTGGTGAGAATATTCTACCTGCATTAACAGCAGGTTAGGTTTTCTAGGATGTTCGAATTGTAGTTTCAATATAAATACAACCACATAGTGACATATTTGTGTATGGACCAGGTGCTCTAATGGCAAATACCGCGCCAGTGCCAACTATAGGAACAAGATGTGGAAAATGTTAGGTTAGTGAGCATATCAACAATGATAATAGTGATTATTTATTCCTCTCCATACTACACTGTGTTTGACTCGATAATCAAATGAAGCTAAACAATATCGTTATTTGAGACAAAAAAACTATTGCTTGCCGTGATTATTCAAAAATAAGTTATCCATCCCGAGAATAACGAACTAAATATGTTGCCTAGCAACATACCTATTTTTGTGTCAGTGATAGAAACGTCAATTTAAGAGCTAATTTTAGTATCAAAATGGACGACTTTTGTGTCGGTTGCAGAAAAAATAATGTATACATGAGATAGGAGCTATGTTTCTCCAAATGACATTGAAAGTGGCTTTTCTATGACATTTAACAGGCATACTAAGTATATTTTTACTGCCTAGGCAATAAAAATTTGTTGCTATACAATATTCCAAATAATTTGAATCAAATTGGTTATTAAAATTGACAATGACATTGGGTGAACACAAAATGATGGGGTTTTCACTTGTAATACCACTAGAGGTCAAATTATTTCCGGAAATTTTTTCGAGCTCATGAATATTTTGAAAATTATTCGGAGTCGAAGACGAGGGATAAGTATTGATTTTTCATACTTTTCCATGTTTAAAGATAGATATCAATATGCGGTTTTCACCTTCGAGTTTTTCATGTGAATTGTTCAACAGGCACCGACATCACTTTTTTCTATCTTGTACGGGAATAGGACTTTTCCTTTAAAAGTGCCTAATTTGGCCCGACCTGTACATTTTGAATCAATTGCTGAATTGATGGTGTGTGATTTTAAAAACGCAATGTATCATGTTTTTGCTATATCAATATACCACACATCATACTGTAGAGTGTAGGCTAATGCAATTGTATTTTACTGACCTGATTGGGCCATGAGGATTTTCAGCGCGTCCACCAATTTTTGAATCGAAAAATATTCTTAGCATCGGCGCATTCACCACTTTTTCGGTTTATTATTTTATTCATAATTTTCTCCGTCGATTTCTACACAGTCATCCATCGAAAACTAGTAACCTGAAGTCCACTTATTCTTTCCGCCATTCTTCATGATATACACAATTTTCATCTTCCTATAATAGAACTAAAACTATAATAATAATTACCTTCTGCAAATGATCTGGAAGGCTCATTTCGACCATGTGCTGACAGTCTTCTAATATTCATTTCTTCACTAGGAGGAATATAGTGATCGAAGTTTTGTAGACTGTGGTTGAATTTGATACGAAAATAAACCAAAAATACCATAATTATATTTGAATAAGCCTAAATACGTATTTCAGCAACTAAGTTGAACTGAAAAAACTGAAAGATTAGCTGACGCTATAGTATTTTTTTGGATAACATCCAGAAATCACCAGTGAAAGTGTTCATAGAAATTGGCGATATCCTAAGCATACCAAAGTTCCAATCTACGGAAATTTACATTACTGTTGCCTCAGAAAGTGATTCAAAATTCGAGCTCTCATCAAATAATCACTCCAGTAATCAACCAAAAAGCTCAATGAATGATAGCTCACTTTACCAGAGACTACGGTATGATTCTGCGCTTTCCCAAGGTCCTAGCCTAGGCCTAGCCATGAAATCGAATCCTGTTTCCACATGCCTCCAAGTTTGGCGTTCGGTTCATTATCAATTCAGCTCGTGCGTCACAAAGGGCAAACATGTGTCGTTGTGACGTCAGCGATCGTGATGACGCGACTCATCAACAGGTGAACGGGGTAGCTATGGCAACGCTGGCGCTCGATACGAGCCCAAGGTCGACAGTGATTTCCCCCTCCACTCTGGAAAGTCTGGCTAGACTTTCCATTGAAGAAGGTAGAGAGATAGCTCTGGTGCCGCTAGGCATGATGTTCGGATTTTTTTTATGATTATAAAAATCACAATAATGAGACATATTTACAAATATAATGAAGTAGCAGCTTTTCACAGGTATTCAATGGAACAGGAAAAAAAGGATTTGTAGCATCAACAAATTATTTATGCTTGAATTATTTTTGTTGGACTGAGCAATTTTTTTGTTGAATAAAACAGATACAGGATCATTTCATGGATGCAGCTTGTTCAAATCGAGAATGTATTTTAATTAATTCAACACTATATTATAATATCAACTAAATATATGATTATCTCAAAAACAAATTATGCCGATCCAAAAAAAATGTCGATGTCGATACATTTTGTTGATTTGATGATCATTCTGATAAGAATATATCTTTGAAACAACATACAAGTTTCGAACGAATCAGTTGCAAGAATAGAGCAACGAAATATGTAATATAAATGAAATATTTACTAATAATAATGATAATAATAATAGATTTCATTGACAGGAACGAATGATTTACAATAATTTATATCATTTCGTGGTGGGAAAAACTAACGTACCTACATTCCTATCAAGAGGCCAAATTCAGGATCTAAACTTGTCACGTGAGTAACGCAATTATTAGATCCTGCTCTTCCATTTTTCGTTCATTCAGCATCAATTCAAATTTTCGCCACTAGATGGTGATCTTTTCGCCTCGTCTATACCTGCCTCGAATTCATTATTCATTATACGTGAAACCTGATTCCTTGTGTTTGAAATATCAAAAGTCGACTAGTTTCCTAGTTCAGTTCATTCTATTGAAGTGAAATTTCAGAAAATTCCCGAATCAATACTGAATTTGGTTCAAACAAACAATTCATCGAATGGAAATACAGTTTCTCTTGAATCAACGAAATATTTCATTGAATCAACAAATTATTTCATTGGATCATCCAAATATTTCATTGAATCAACCAAATATTGCATTGAATCAACTAAGTATTTGATCGAATCAATATTTGTTACTTTGAATCAAACAAAATCATTGTTTGAGTCAATTCAATATCTCTCCATACACAATTCATGGATGTACTTGATTGAATATGTTCCAGAGTTCATGCAAGACATATTCACTCGATTCAAACTTATAATTCGCTCTGAAATAAGATATAGATATACTCATTTCAAGATTAAATTTTGTCGTGCATATATGACACTTATATTTGCTTCATTCAATTCAACTTTGCTTGATTCAACAGTTCCATTTTCATCGTGAATGATCTACAAAAATGGTTTTCTGCAAATTATTTACCATCTCGTTCAAGTCGAGTGTGTTTATCCATTCTGCTGAACAATAGCTAGAGTTCAACCAATTCCCGAAAAGCGATATAAAAACTTTCCTACGTTACAGCTATAATTTTCCTATAGAGAAACGATTGATGGACCCGAAGGAGGTTAACGCGATACGTGATGCGCGATAGGTCGCACGGTTTCTTCATAGGAGAATTATTCTTGCCACACGTGTATATACATCAGCAATACCCTTCCATGAGATAATCATGACAGATTTATCGCGAAGGATGATTCACAAAAACAGCTCTATATGATCTAAGAAGCACAAATACGGCCTGTTCTACATAGACTACTGTTTCCGCAAATGGGGTTCAACACCCAAACATACTCTGATGCTCTCAGATTCCTTCCAGAGAAGAGCCATTCGCCTGGTGGGTGATGCCACACTCACTATTATTTTGAATCCATTGGAAATATCACATACTTTGCCACTGTGAGGGCTTGTCAAGACTATAAGGTTCCTTACGCTAGATGAGGAATAACCATCAGAATCCCAAAGATACACAGGGGATCTGAAAGCTAGCCTATGGAGCCTCATAGAGTTACCTCGGGGGTGCCCCAAGGGTCAAATCTTGGACCTTTATTATTCATTATTTTCATTAATGACATCGATCAATGCTTCCATGATTCTAAATTTTTGTTGTATGCTGATGACCTGAAACTTTCATTAATGACATCGATCAATGCTTCCATGATTCTAAATTTTTGTTGTATGCTGATGACCTGAAACTTTGCACAAGAATTATGTCGTTGGACGATTGTATGAAACTCTAGAACGATCTCGATTGGTAAGATGTGTATTGAAAAAAGAATAGATTATTTTTGAACTCAAGGAAATGTTGCAGTATAAGCTTTGCTAGGAATCAGAACCCTATTACATTTGATTATAATCTGAATGGTACCCATTTGGAAAAAGTATCATATATTAAGGACCTTGGAGTTATTTTCGATTCCAAATTGAGTTTTGCAATGCATATTGATTATGTTACTAACAAATGCAATAGAATGTTAGGTTTTATCAAAAGAACTTGTAAATATTTTCGGTCTCAAAATTCAATCAAAACATTATAATATTATGCCTACGTATATAGCCGATTATGTTTTGCAAGTGTCATTTGGAGTCCTTATTATACCAACCTCAAAGTCCGATTGGAAAGAGTTCAAAATAATTTTGTGAGATTTCTGAACTTCAGAGTGAACAATTCATTTGTTGTAGAGAGTATTAACCAAACCAGACGCTCTTTTGGACTTATAACCTTGGAGCAACGTATAGAATTATGTCTGATTTATTATTCATCTATAAAATAATGAGGAATCATTTTAGTTCTTCTATGTTGTTATCTCTCATATCATTCAATGTACCGTCTAGACCCACAAGAATATTTTTGAATGTCAATTTTTGTCATACCAATTTGGGACTGAACTCGCCAATGAGTAGAATGAGTGATAATTTTAATAAATACTGCAGCAACGTAGATATACATTGTACATCATTGAATCAGTTCAGGGCACTCATTAGAAACCATATATTCGTCTGATTGATCTAAATTCGGAATTTATTTTTGTTTTATTTTCAGGTAATAATAATATTGTGATAGTTGTGATATTAACTTTGTAAAATGTAAGCATCAGAGTATTCTGCGTAACTAGTGGATGCAGTTTTGGGCTTCTGCCTGTTTGTATCCCATTTTCATTAAATAAATAAATAAATAAATAGAGAAGGCGGGGCTAGCCGAAGAACTCTAATCGATTTTGAGGGCAGACACAATAGATCTGAAAAGGTCGCGGTGTGAAGGCCTCATTCTAAATCTAATCTAATATAATCTAATCCATTGGAACACCGTAGTAAAATCGGCGACCTTCCATAGATCTTCCTTCTATAGATACTTCTATGGAAAATTTTCCTCGGTGATCATTCCAGCAAAGGCAATAACCAAAAAGCCATGACCCCTCCTCCCCAAGGAAAAACATTATCGACGCCTCTGGAAATAACAGTCAGACGTACTCGACGACGACGACGACTTCCAGTAAGCAAATTCCTTCGTCGTCAACTTTGTGATATGTCGAACAAATCTTCACCAAAACTCGTTTGTCTATAGAACAGCAAAGCCTTGGAATGCTTTGCCAAAGAAAGTAATCTCAAGAACTTAAAATCTCCAAAAGTTAAAAAAAAATTTTCGTGCACTCCAGGTGATTAAGAAATATATAAGGTTGTTCGCTTCGATTGTTTATCAGTTTGAATCATCTGAAACATTTCAATTTGTTCACGAAGTCGAAGCATGTATTGTATAGGAAGATATACACGTGTATATACTTTATCTGCATGAAGTAGATAATAATATGTATTTGGACAGTGCTGTACGGATAATTGGAAATTATAGAAATGATAAATTCAGATGAAATCGTTTGGATTTTATAAAAATTTGAATTTTTATTCTACCCACCCTGTTGATTTCACCGATTGTGATATTGACTATTGATCCATCTGAATATTTCCGCAAATTCTTTGAAATATGGAAAGTGATTCATTTTCATATTATTGGGTTTGAAATTTTATGTTTCGGGAATTTGAATTTTTAAGCCCAGCGATATACAGGGTGTTTCATAATTGAATGTCAATATTCGAGGAGGCGATTCTTGGGCTCATTCTAAGAAGAAAGTTTCATATGAACGTATGACCTAAACGTCCCAACTTTGGAGATACAGGGTGGTAAAATTCTCGAAAATTAATATAGCCTACTACAATGAGAAGTTATAATTCGAAAATACCAAATACGAATACAAAGTTCATGAACTATGAATTGTATTTCTGAAATTTGATCTTAAAAATAAAAACTATTTCTCTGCATTGTGATATTATCATATTAACAATATTACTATAATCATGTAGTGAAAAGCTTTTTATTTTTAAGCGAAAACCGTGCATCAGATTGAAAAAATTGTAGTGATCAAATTTGCTTAGAAATGATCGGGAATTTCAGGAATGATTTCAATTTGGAGATTAATCAGTGGCGTACCATCAATGTCTGCCAAAATAGGTATGTGAAATTCCATACGAACGCCACTGGTGGCAACAACAAAAAATGTGGTACGCTAACTGATGCCTCTTGATACATAGTACATGTATGCCAAATTTCATCAGAATATCTGAAGTGGTATTACAGATATTAATAAAAAACTATTAATTTTTGAGAACTTCACCACCCTGTATCTCAAAAGTTAGGATGTTTAGGTCATACGTTCATATGAAACTTTCTTCTTAGAATGGGCCCAAGAATTGCGTCCCCAAATATTGACATTCAATTATGAAACACCCTGTATAAGGATGCATCTACTGTTCCAGAAACAAAAAGTTACACTCAAAAATGCTCAAAAATGATTAGTTTTATTCTGAAAATTTCTCATTCATTAACTAGTCTAGATGTTGCTATTAAGAAACCTTTTAGCTAAGTATATACACGAACCAAAATAAAAGTTCATCTAAAACTATATAGGACGTCTATTCCAGAACCACCCCTATATATTAGATATATATAAATCAATAGTATTCTACAATAAAAAGTTTGTTATTATCAATATTTCGAAATTTTCTATGAACAGAAATGTTTAGACGCACCGGTATTCAATTGAAAAATTTACTACCGATAAAAAATTGATACCCCTACGTATATGTTTCCTATCATTGCACTAATCTGAATCTGCTATAGTCATTCCCATTAATCATATGTCTAAAGTTTGAAGAACATATAAAATTTTATCAGTCTAGTCTCACTATGAAAATTTAAATTTGTGTCTGGTGTGTACTGATGATATATCTGTTCAATCTTTATTGAAATGTTCTCCTATATAATATTTTTGTCTGTCACAACATTCGTCAACGGTAAGTGTATGGTTCATATGAACAAGGGAAATCAATTTTTTTCTGAAATGTGTAGAGGATTATAGATTTTTAAAGAATATTGACAGTATATTAGTTTATATTATGACCAATACTTCTAATTCATATTTCAACTATAGGTACCATTTTTCTGCTCACCTACAGCAAAGATCACACACATTCTAGATAGACACCGTAAAAGTAAAAATAGGCAATGGTCAGTTGGGAAGTAACAGAGCGGTAGGTAATCTGTTGTGCACATCTATTCATTATGTGGTCTTGTATTTCACCAAGTCCTATATCAATATTTGTACAACGAATCCCCAGCGAGCACAAAAACATCTCAGAGATGTTAAGAGTACGAGATTTCGAGACATTGAACCTCCACTGCGATGTTCTGTTCACACATGAATAGAACTATTATAGAACAGCCAATGTCCGCCGCAGGCGGCAATTATCGAGATGTCCTTGATATGTCACAATAGTCACAAAACTACCTTCTCCCTAGTTCTTTTTAAAACCTTTTCATTGACACAACAAAACATTTTCAACGCGTCTTGCGCACATTAAATCGCTGTAAAAAAACATTTTCGAGTTACTTTTCTGAAACCTCTTATTGTCAAAATGAACTTTTGCATCAGGATTCCATTTTCCTTGAATGAAAAAATGCATTAAAAATAGATTGAACATAAAAATATTTTCTTGATATGAAATCACCTTCTTAATCGGTTTCTGAGTAGTGCTCACTACACACAGACATATAATTGGAAATAGGTTTCCCAATTTTTGAAATGTTTTCCACAATGCATAATTTTGCAACTGCAGAGAAGCTGTGTATTGATGAATTCGTACTTTTATATATTGATTACACTGAGGCACCGAACAACACATCTTGCATCTGATGGTCATTATTACAAACTAAATAAGTCTTCTAACACAATAAACTTCACCAAATTCCTTTCTGTTCGTTAGCAGCGTGATGTAAATAAGCGTGACACGCTGCAAACGCGAATGCCAATTGCGAACAAGAAGAACAAAATCGAAAACAAATCAGAATTCATCGTATTGTGACGTAAGCATGAGACGTTGTGGTGGGGCAAACAAAGAAAGGGCACAAAAGAACAAAAATAATACTTTGAATATCCTTCTAAGACCTCTTTGGGAAGTGCATATATTACTCCTCAAAAAAACATCCTCATGCATACATTTCTAAAACATCCCAAAACATCCCAGGGATACCTCTCAGTAGGCAAACAAAGAAATGCCACAGAAGAACAAAAACAATACTTCAATATCCTTCAAAGACCTCTTTGGTCAGTGCATATTACGTCTCAAAATAACATCTTCATGCCAACATCTTCAAAACATCCCAAAACATCCCAGGGATGTTTGTGCTCGCTGGGAAGCCGGTGTAACATGCACTTGCAAATCCAGATACAGTTTTGATGTCTCTCAACTTTCCAAAAACAGTCAGGCAGAGAATAATCTCTGGTCAAGGCTTTTGAAATTTCTATTGGTTAACGTTTCAGATATTGAGGAAATATTTCATTCACCACATTAATACTTTCAAAACCATCTGAAATACAGTTCTTCCGCTCTCACATCAGGACATCAGGAGATGGTTCATCAACAAATGACTCATCATTTTCGGAATATATTTTCATGGATAATATTATTTCTTCATTGCCACCACAGGATGATGATGGCCCACTAGTGCTACTATCATTTAGGAGTAGTTTGAGCCAGTTGGAGGGGGGGGGGGGCACATTGCCTGTGGCAGTGTACAGAAATACATTTTTCTTGTTCTCTCATTAGTAATCTTTCTGATGAAGTTATCAGAGTTTACAAAACAACAAACCCAACTAATGTGTTTACACATACAACCTGTTCTTCCTTGGTTACATGTGCAAGTTGAAACTTCGAAATCAATGCTCGTATCGTAATGAAAATCTGCCATCACTTGTGGTCCAGAACTCCGAGAGTAGTTTATGATGGCTCTAATGTCCAGAATAATCTAAATAATTCAAAATTCAAACCTTTTCAAACCGATGAGATATTTATTCTGAATTGAAAAACTCAAGCCGAAACACGCACACGCGATAAACTCAACGTTATGATTGGTCTAAAAGCTTGCCTATGCCTGTTATCGGGGCGTTTTGAATACGTGCTGACTGCACCTCATACTCCAAAGTATTTTTCAGCGATTTCAGGAGGCCACGACACTAACATAACCCGCCACAGATGGCAGCTCTCCCTCCAACACAACAACGACCACTTTTGCGGTGCCACCCTGATAGCCTCCAAGTGGGCCCTCACCTCAGCAGGCTGCGTACAACTGCATTCCACTGACCTCTCAGTGAGGGCAGCTTCTAATTACGTATCCTCTGGGGGTCAATTGGTGGACGTCCAAACCGTGATCGTACATCCGGATTATAATGCGAAAACCCACGATTCGGATATTGCCCTTTTGGAGTTTGTGGAGGAGGTCGACGAAAATATAACAGTCAATGCTTGGTTGCCTAACACGAAGGAGGAGCAGATTCAGGACGGCTGGGACACAGACCTAACAGGAAAGTAACGGGATTTTGAAGACTCGGTTTACATTCCATAATTTTTTTGCGATCTCGTATATTCGTAGGTAATATCCCGAGACCTTGACAAATAGCCGACTATTATTTTCCTCATAATGGGGAAGTTTTCTATATTGAGGTTTTCATCTCACTGTGAAGTTTGTAAAAAATTAATATACACGTATACACGTAAGATCAAATTTCACTTAAGAAAAAATAAATAGAAGAGGAACTTGGCTCCTCCATCATATTCCTATGACGTACTTTCTGAAAATCCACATTCACACAGAGTTAAAATACGATTCCCTGTGCCAGTACGACGTTGCCGACATCATCAATATGTCTAGATTTCCGAAAATTGTTCTTTGAATGCATAACAACTATATCATAACAGCAATGGGATAATAGGTTCTTCAATCCTACCTTGAAAAGTATTATGAATAATTCCCATAAATCTCTCATTGGCTGAATGAAGTCGATTACTAATGAAGATAAATTATGATATTTTGCGATAGTATCTTCAATTTCTCACTATCGTTATAATGTAATTCATAACTTGGCAGTCATTCTTTTGCCATAATGAATTCGTTCCTTAATAGAACGGATCTATATTTTCTAGGAAAGTTGCAGATTATATCTTGCAACAGCGCCTAATACTTCGAGTCCGTCCACACCACTCAAAATACTGACAGGCACAACAAGAGGAAGGAGTCATGGGTGTCGACTTCAATCTGTTCTGCCGATGGCAGTAAATTAAGCCGATAGTGATTCATTGATTCAATGATATTTTCGTTTAGGATCGGGCTCTATGCGAGATATTTCAATGCATAAATAACAAAACCATAACCTGTCAGAATGAAGAAAAACTACCTTCTGCATTGTTACTCCGAGTGCATTTGTGGTTAAGTATGTTTCTGTTTACCAGTTTTACTTCTTCTATTTTTTTCATTCGTTAGCTATTCATCGTGAGCTATATTCTTCACCAACAGCTATTTTCAGACTAGATTCAGAATGTCACAGTTTTCCGCTCCGAAAATTAGAAATTGCTTTAATTTGAAATTGAAAACGACTTGGACTTTATCGGCCGCCAATCTGTACAGCGTGGACATAAAACTGGAGAATTACGAACTTATTTTATGAAAATATACAGGATGATTTGTTAGAATTGAAATGCAACAAGGTTCTTGAATGGTACTCTTTGAATAAACTGTACTTCAACATTCAAAAAACTATAACTTTATGAGGTTCCACAACTGGCAAAAGACCTGCTCTGACTTGAGCTTGAAAATAAATGACAAATTTTCCCAATGAAGAATCACTGCAATTTCTCGAAATAATCATAGATCACTGTCTAACATGGAAACAACATTGTGAATTATTGATATCAAAATTACATTATTCCTCATCATATGTTACTTATTCAAAAACCTAAATACTATTTAGTCTGAGGCACAGCTGATGGGTCTGTACCATGCACAAGTTGGTTCGAGGATCAGATATGGCATTTGTCTTTGGAGTCTTTCCACTTCATCAGTCGATATATTCATTACACAAAAAAGAGTTATTAGATCACTAGCCAAGATATGTAAAAGGGTTTCGTGTAAATGGTTTTTCAAAAAATGGAAAATATTAACAGTATAGCTTCTCTGTATATTTATGAAATGTGTGTTTATATCTATTTGAACCAGTGTGAATTTGAGCTGAATAAAAGCATTCATAATTTTAATACTCGCCAAAAAAATTACTACCATGTATACCGGTTTGCAAAACTAATGTGGTTTATAATAAGTTGCCCAATATAATATATAATTGTAATTGTAATTGTTTGAAAGGATAATCAATATAAGTATGTATGTTTGTATTTTGACAATTTGATGAGACCATATGAACATTGATAATCTGAATAATTCCCGAGAGCTTTAGCTCGAGAGAGTTATTCTATGATTATTAATGTTCATATGGCCGAATTGAATTGTCTCAGAATACAAGGTACTCGAGATCAATTAAAGGAAATAAAAGTCTCTATTTGTCATGGTCGAGTGATATTCAGGAAGATTATTTCATGAACAGTATGAAAATACATCATCTAAAGTTAGTGCTTCTGAACGTTCCTTTCTTGTTAGAGGAAAATATTGCCAGGCTTTGCTTTTGTGCATAATGCGCATCCACTGGCACCTTTGAATTCGATATCTTCCAAATGGATTCATCTTACGTATATATGTTCAGTGAAGTATATTTTCTGTATAGATTTCCATATCAATTTAACTGTGTACCTACTCCTCATATTCCTCACCATACTCTCCACCCAATCTTCCAGGATTTATTTGGCGATCACGAGAGTTGAGATTAACGAGTTATTTTTATTTCGGCAGGCTGGGGCATCACAGAACCGAACGGAACCTTTGCGGAAACACTCCAGATGCTCCAAGTACCCATAATAGCCCGAGAGAAATGCCAAAGCGCGTACCCGGGTACAGTCGTTACCCTGAACATGTTCTGCGTGGGGTGGATGACGAACGGAAACAGAACTTCCTGCGAGGGGGACTACGGGGGGCCGGGCATCGTCAGGGGCACGCTCCAGGGGGTGGTTTCTTGGGGAAGGGGGTGCGGGGTGGCCAAATGGCCGACGGTGCTCACGAAGGTGGTGAATTTCGTCGGGTGGATCAAGGAGACTACGGGGACTGATGTTGGGTACTTGTCGTATGCTTAAATGTTGCTTTAGGTGTCTATTTATTTACTATTCTGTGCTACATATACATGAAAATAAAATCTCTTACTAAAATCATTTTGAAACTCACAACCACAACACAAAAGATAACTACCCATAGCACGAGTACGTCCCCAAAACGTACTGAGAACGTCCGGCCAAGACGTTTCGTACGTACTGGGGACGTCCAGATTTGGTACGGTCGACGTTCAGGTACGTACTGGGGACGTCCAGATTCCGCGCGTTTGTACATCCTCAGTACGTCCATTCAGGACCATGGATACATGATTCAACGTAGATCCGCGTCTTTTCACTCAGATAGTAGAAAAAGAGATTTATATCGGGTAGAAAGTCTTATCCCTAACAACACCAGTACATCCTAGGGACTTCCCAAGGACGTCCCTGATTTTATACTAGGACATCCCAGGGATGTCCTTTGTCGGGACAACGTACATACTAGGGATGTTCCAGGGACATCCGCTGGCCGCTAAAAAAGGCATCCAAGGGATATGTCCTTCTGGTACGTCCCTGGGATGTACCAAGTACGATGAAAGGATATCCCTAGGACGTCCCAAGGATATCCCAGGGACATCCTTTCGACAAAAGAAAAAAAGTTGCAGGTCGAGTAGGGATTGAACCCGGGACCTTTGGCTTATCATGCACGCACCTTGCTCCATTGGCTATCATGCCTCCTCAAGATTTATGTACTAAACAGATTTATAAACAGGACTTAACTACAGAATCCTGAATAAATACAACTTTATTAGGAATTGGGTATAATTATTATCATTCTTGGGTGTTTAAAAATGTGGGGCATTATGCATGTACGATTTCTGTCTGCGAAAAATGGTAATTTCTTAAGAAGTTCTGAGACTTTATTCTTTATTTTTGTTACAATCATTTTCCGGAAGAGAAACAAACATTTTCAATCAATAGTTTGATGAAATTCAATGACTCTGATGTGAATGGATATCAGATACTCCAGGGACACTAACCTAGGGATGTAAAGGGCAGGATGTCCACTGGACAACCACTGCAGGACATCCCCTGGATGTCCCAATCATGTCCTTGTACCGCGGGACAAAAAAGGGACGTACCTAGGACATCCCTGTGTTGTTAGGGATTTTGAATAAAAAAAATAAAAAAAAAACGCTTCTAACGAGGGTTCGATAGCACGAACCTTTAGATCAGCAGGCAGATGCTTAATCTATTACTCTGTAGAACCCTTGTTGATTAACAGTATACAACAAGCAATATTATGTGCGATTGCCGATTGACTCATCACATCGATACTTTTAAAGAATTAGATAATCACGGCAGAGAATACCTAAATAGATGTTTTGTGATCTGGTGGGGCCAGTAAATAATGAATTTATCGTGAGCATTGTATTATGTTTATGTTTGCAAGGTTCCTATATGGATAGATTTCAGAGATCGAGGGTAGAAATTATATATGCAATTATTTCGATTATCATTAAACAATTTTATTCAATGCCGTGAACAAGAAGTCGATAACGTCCAGAGTTGGACGTACCCAGTACGTCGGAATCGTCGTACCCAGTACGTCCAGAAATGGACGTTTTCAGTACGTCTTGAAAAGGTCCCAGACGTTCAGACCTAAATGGGTCCTAAACTGGGTGTCCCCAGGACGTCGAGTGCTATAGGGTAACTACCTTCTACCTACCTATTGACTAACTTTATAACAAACTTTCTGATTCGATAAAACAATGGAACAATTAGAGAGAGAGGTTTTGTTCTGAGAAGCTTCTAGAACAAAAAGAATGAGACGGAAGATCATTCGAGAACCTTCTCGAACCAAAGCCTGCCAAGTGATCTCATATATAAACGGCCGAACAACTGACTGACAAGTCGAGCAGAGAGTGTCAGAGAGACAGTTATATACCGCGTGATATAAATCGTTTTACATAAATAGTAGTTATAAGTTCGATATAAATTAGTGTTTCTTTAGTTTAAATAAATCAGTTCGGAAATAAATAGTGTCGTGTTCGCTTCTGCACCCGAATAACGTAACAATATCCATGTGTCCATTTTTTCATATTAAAATGTTATTACGTGAATTCTTTTCATTTTTATAACTATTGTTCAGCGAAAAGTGTATCGCTATATAAATTGAAGTGGGTGTTTACACCCTATTTCTATATTCCATCTACGACAATGATTGATTTGACAGAAAATTTAACCTCTAAAAGCTTATCTGACACTCAGGCGCTACTAGGGGAATTGAAAAGACAAAGAGCAGAATATATGTCTTATTATTTTATTCACTCAAACCATTGTAATATAGAAAATAGAAAAGAACAGAAGTTCAGCTGTGTAGGAACTCTTATTTGACTAATACCATCCAGTGACTCTAGTCATGCATACCTGGAGAACTTCTGAGAGTTCTGGACCAATTGAACGCATTTTTTGAATGCTGCATATCGATTGAGAATCGGTTAGTTTTCAAAATACTGAAAAACGTCAATAATTTTTAATTTTGAGCATCTCAAATTGGACACGTCAACAAAAAAAACGATATCGATTCTTCATATTTCAGTTCTTTTTTTTTACATCAATACCAATACTAAAAGAAATCGAAATGATGCAAAAAATGTCATATAATAAATAGATGTATTTTTTCATAATAAATCCAAATAACAATAAAACAACATTATAAATACCCATATTTGTGTTACTTTGGAGTACTCTCACTATCAGTTTTATTCAAATTCGGTTCCGATTCGGACCTCTTCAAGGTATCCTCGACGGTCTCGATTCTGTCATGGTCCGACAACTCGCTCTGGATGTTGGGAAAGCTCCTAGTGACGTCATCATTCACCTGCTCCATTCTTATGTCCTCCCCATCCACCTTCAACAGCTCTTCGTTCAGACTGGCATTTTTCAAATCCACATTGCTATTCGCGAAAATCGCCGATGGTCCTAAAACAACAACGAAACCATAATATCCACCTAACATTCATTATCATCAATTTGAAACACAGATGATTGTCGAAACAACTTTCGTTACGATACGCTACTATTATTTTTTCAAGGTTGGTGACATTCAACTGTCAGCCAAACGTAGATAGTTGCATTGGGAGTTTTTAAATTGCCACCCTGTATGTCTCTTCCTTTTCCGTCTCCTTCCCCACCAACACGTCATTTTTGCTATTTTTGACCTTGAATTCTCTCATGGAGAGCCCAAAATGATCTAGAACTCTCATGGTATATCTACTAATTTGTCTCATCGTCACATTGATATCTCGGCAATGCCAATTCAAAACAACGTTGATGAAATTGGTATTCGCAAAAATTACGAACCGCTAGATAGCTCTGAAAAACCTTAGAAATGAACGTGATCAACAAACATTTCTGATTGTTCCACTTTACACAAGTTCCATCAGTTCATATAGCTTTCAAAATGCTTTTTACTACTGTCCCTACTAAATAACTGGTGTTATTCAAGTATTGCCATTTCTTAGTTCCTCATCACTTTCCACTTTCTACTCCTTTTGGCTTTTATTTTAGAAAATGAAGAAAGATCGTACGTATTCCTAATATGTTGGGCTAAGATGATGATTACATGAGACCTTCAACAGCACTTCGTTCAGACTTGCATTTTTCACATCCACATTGCTATTCGCAAAAATCGCCGATGGTCCTAAAACAACAACGAAACCATAATCTCCACCCAACATTCATTATCATTCAGGGGCCAGGTAGCTGTGCGGACAGAGTGTCAGTATTCAAATCCGCGTTCGCTTGTCGGTCGTGGGTTCAATTCCCCGCGACTGCAGACATTTTTTTGATGGCCCAAGAAAGTGTTTGGAATCACACGTTAAAAGGTAAAGCCCCCGTCATTCCTTGCTCGCACAAGTCTCTCGAAGACTTCTGAGGGTTGCTCGTAAGGGGGCAACCGAATGACGTATTGAACAATTTTACAGTTTTTTTTTACAATTTGAAACACAGATGATTGTCTAAACAACTTTCGTTGCGTTACGCAACTTTTATTCTATCAAGGTTAGTGATATTAAACTGTCAGCCAAACGTAGATAGTTGCATTGGGAGTTATCAAATTGACACCTTGTATGAAGACAAGCTATTCCTCTTTTTTTTACCTTTCCCGTCTCCTTCTCCTCAATAACCACGTAATTTTTGCTATTTTTGACCTTGGGTTTTCTGATGCAGAGCCCAAAATGGTCTAGAACCCTCATGGTATATCTACTAATTTGTCTCACCTTCACATTGATATCTCGGCATTGCTAATCTTGAACCCCGTTGACAAATAATCAATAGTTCACCACTGTAGAATATGTTTCCTTAGCAGGTAATAATATGTATTTGCTATATCCTTTCAAGTTAATCCGTTACACCGTAATTTAATGTAGATATTGTGCCTATTTTCCGAAAATGAAGGTTCATAGAATTTCGAGATTGAGATGTCGCCTCTGATGAGGCCTTACCTAAATCTCCAGGTAGTGACGCGCCATGATCGTTTTTGTCGCCCTTACAGTCCAAAGGTGGAAACCCATTGGTCAACTGGCTACTCGGTTGATCGACCACAGGATGCAAGGGACTAGTCGCCATATCGATTCTGTTTTTGATCGGCTGCAGAGGACTGGCACACCTATTGTTGCTGGGAGAATTCAAAGTCGACTTGTCCAGTTTGTGCTGCGTTATCAAATCGCAAGCTTTGGACAAGATCAGCAGACTGTTCAACACCTTGAAAGACATACAGGAAGATGAATTTGCGAAGTGGAATAGATGGGGAGAAAAACACTCAGTCATTTCCACAGAACGTTTGATGAATCAACTATTTTTCTGGCTGTCCAATCCTTTCTTCTCACAGCCGATGTCATGAAGTAATACTGATTACGCCTACACATATTGGTGACATTTATAACATCGACGAATATCAAATCATGTCGACAGTTCAAAGTTGGATCGGTTCGAAAATTGAGATATCTCAACAAAAATGGGACCAAAATGAGAGGTACTTTTTGAATCTATAAGGACGGAAAGTGAAGGATGGAAACAGCCATATTGGTTTGACCAGTTTCGTATTATTTTTTCCCTACGTCGGCATCAACACCTATTGGTCGATTTCGATAGAGACAGAAGTTGGTCCCGCTATGGGTATTCCAATGATGTTTTTTAAAGTTTACAGCATACCAAAATATCGATACATTCATATTTGAGTTATGGAGGATATAACTCAAATATAAATGTATACTATACTGGTACACAAGACGTTTTCCGAACAGTAAAGGAATTATTATCTTTCTTGCGCCTCAAATAATGAAAAATAAATAAAAATTGAATTCATGCATTTGTGTGATTGTCTATTGCAAGATGAATCTGTCAATTACTCGCTAATTGTGAAGATCTTCACAAATAGACTCTTTGCCAGATTCATCTGTCGATTAGATCCTGACTGAAAAAAACTCTTGCAATTTTCGCCCGTGCGGCGTCTTCATAGACTCCCATATCGAACGTTCTGTGGAAATCACTAAAAATTCCCTCATTAGTCACCTTGAAAGAGGCAAACGACAGATACGCCACGACGCAAACTAAGACAGTCGGTAGATCCTCTATCTTCACCGAATGCAGCAGCACCCTTATAGTAACCACCCCCAGAGGCAAAGGGATGAACCCCATCCGCCTAGCAACCAGATCCGACTGGTCAGAGAAGGCGTGCTTCTGCCTAGTTTGGGCCACGTCGTAAGCCAAGCTGGTCGTGTAGTCCCTGTACACCAAGGTCTAATTAACTCTATACGGTTGCCTCATATTTCGTCGCACTAAGGGCCAGTATTATAGGTTCCGTTTAAACTGCGGATTGGAGTTTAAACCTGGGTAATGAGAAAATTGGCGTTTTAAGGGTTCTGGTTGAAGTTAATCTTCAGGTTGAACGCGACGATCCTCTCGTTAACGTAAACGATGGAAGGAGCACCAGTTAAACTTCAGATTGAGGATGAGCTTGCGCAATAGATGTAAAACTTTGGAATTTGTAGTGCGGAGGACGGTTGACAGGCGATATTTGGCTGTGTTTTTGTTTTGTTTGTTAATTCAAAATCAAAATGATGGACGATTTTCTGTTCGTTTTCGAGGATATATTATCAGATGATGAAGAAGATATTATAAACTTCGTAGAGGCTCCCCGAAAGATGCTCCCAGGCCTTTTCCTTATCTCTCCACATAACCGCATCACTTTTTCTGCATTCCATAATGTATTTATATTTTTTCACTAAATTTATTAGAAGATTAAGTTCGTCTTCAGAAAAGTTTTCTCTTTTTTTAGTTTTTTCCTCGTCGTTGGACATTTTTAAACTTTAGTTGGCGTAGGTAGAAATCGTAGAGAGATATCATAAGAATAAAACACTTAACCTCAAAAAGTAATAACAAGAAAAAGTAAACACATCACCACTTGCCAATATGCATTCATTCAAGATGCCAAAACCCCAAACAAAAATATACTGCTGAGAAACGACAGCTATAAAACATCCAAACGCAAAATGATGGTTAAACCAAGTTTAAACTTCAGATTGAACTCAAGTTCAAACTGAACCTATAAAACTGTCCCTAAAATGATAAGGTACTATCTGGACCAAGTATAGTGGCTCAGAATCGTGCTGCGAACTTTTGACTCCATCTATTCCGTTCCATTTGAATCGATCAGATTTAAGTATATTTGAATGGGTTTTTATCAATCGATTTTTTTTCCTTTTTTCATTCTCAAATAAATGTTAAATTTGAACATCTAAAATGTAGATAGAACTTTGTTCCAGAAGAATTTTCTATTGTAGTAATTAAACAAGGTTCTAACTGGAAAATATACAATAAAATACATCTTTGTTCCATAAAATATTACGAGAAAACTAATTTGAAATGTTCTAAGTGCCATCAGATTCACTTCTGAATCAATGTATATGAGTATAAGTATAAGTGTATGGGTAGTAATAATAGCAAAATGACTGATTCAACTTAGATCTTTCAGGAATACAGCGAAATAGTTACTGTCGGTCTCGTTCATTCATTTTTTTAAATACGTTCACCTTCTCCCAATGCAAGACCGGTATATTTTTGTATTGGAGTTTCTGGATACAACTTTCGAAATTTTTGAAATCGGTAACATGATTAGCACGGAGAACTGCTTGTCCTTCCACTACTGGTCGGCTTTTTCCATCTAAATATAGCAAAATATCTGCCAAAAGAACATCTACAACCGGCGTTATTATCGTTTTCGATCGAATATTGACAATTAATGTCAAGAAATTTGAAAACTTATTACTCTTATCAGTACACAGTACACAAGCTAATGGCACTAATGGGATTGAGTGAGGATTGAGTTTGTTTTCCCCCAGTTTTGACGTGGCTTTGACATGGAACGATGAAAACCGAGCGCCACCTGGTGACATTGATTCCCGCGAATACAATGTTTTTAGATGTCATTGAAACATGTCATTTCGTTCTCAGATGTCAGTCGAAATTTAGAGTCGGTTCTTGGACTAATTCTACCAGCCTTGCCTGTACACGTCCAGGTTTAACTCGTTGAACTTCGTTATAAAAGCATGTTTGATCCAGTCGACGAACATCTCCGCTATGAGGATAACGATGCAGTCGGGCAGCATTATCCAGAATCTTTCAGATTTCCAGCTGTACTCGCGCATTGTTTGCAGGATGACGATGAACAGCAGGATGGATAAGTGGAACCTCTCCCTGACGTCGCTGCAGGACACTTGGAACAGGTTGTTCTTGTCGAATTTCTTGAATACGCTACCTTTGAGCTCTACGAACTGTAAACAGGACATTTTTTCGTGATTGCGACGGTGTTATTGAAAGTAAAAAACAGATACTTGTTATATAATCAGAAATTGAACGCAGTGATCGTTGAAAAATGATTATAGAGATGAAGCCAAGGAGATGAAAAAAAAAAGAATAACAAGTATCACACGAATCCAGTTGGAAGTTGAGAGTTATCAGCCAGGTCAAAATTTAAAATTCATTCGAACGACTTTGTTCCATATTTTGTCTAATCTTTCTGAATCTGATGGAGTTTTTCGAGAAAAGTGGTCACAAAGTGAACTTTTTTGACATAACAATGAAACATGAAATTTTCCCAAGTCCGGACCTGGATTTTTTTTCATAATGTTATCTTGAATAGTTTCCGTAGAGATACATCGCTGCCAAATTTCAGCAAATTACGATGAATCATTTCTGTAATATCGGCCATCAAAGTTATATAGCAATTTCACATAATACCCTGTATATCTTCGTTATGGAGGGTCAAAAAATGTTTTCATATATAGATACATCAACTCGGCTTGATTTCCCCTATTAACCATTTGGCTATGTGAGTCTTCTCATGAAACACCCTGTATAAAAGTTAAGCAAGCCAAGGTTAGTTTAGTTCATTGTACCAGTATATCACCTGATGAAGCTACTGTGTTAGCGAAACATGACGTGTGTTTGAGAATTTTGTGGAAATTTTATCGTTTGTGAGGTTTTTACATTTGCTTATGTTATTGTTGTCAAGATTTTTGATGTTATTAAAGCCAGGTGGGTAGGAATGTAGGACCGAATTCGATCGTATAGTGCAGTGTGGTTTGAATATCGCCTGAACTTTTTTAGATCCGCAAAAATTACGACGGTGGGATTTTTTTTATTCTGTTTTCTCAAAAGTGGTTTTCCGAGAAATATTAATTTTTAGGAAGAAGGTTCATTTAGGCCGATTATTAAGGTTAGATTGTTTGAAAAAGTAGGGTCCTTATTCAAGCAGAAAGGATATTTTCCTTCCTCCCTGAAAACAGTACTGTCTTCTTAGGAATATGGTTCAATTAGGCCGAAATAAGGTTAGATGGTTTTAAAAAAGTAGTGTCCTATTTTATGCAGAAGGGATATTTTCCTTCCTCCCTGAAAAAAGTACTGTGGAGGCATTTACTGTTGAGAAAAAGTTTTGACAACATTATTTTCTAGAGCAAAGGGTTCTTTTGTCCGAGTTAGATTGTGTTGTTTTAAAGAATAGTCTCTTCCCACTTCCATAAGAATAGATGATAATGCTATTTTCTTTTTTTTTTGTTATCCTATCAGTTCAAGATCATTACTTTCTTCCTCAAGTCGAAGAAAATCAGCACAATCCGGCAACATTGTATGACTGACAGGGGATTAAGCGAAGTCCCCACCACTATTCCATTTTATGACGCAGACTCTGCAGACGCAAGTTTACTGAGTACTTGAGTAGCGTCTGGGGCAGGATTATTCAATCAGAGTTTAGTTACAACTGAGTTTCATTCCTTACACTAGTTAATTTTTATGCACCAATATAATTAGTTGGAAGGTTTCATAAATAAATGATTTCTGGGAGAAATATTGTTTCTTTTTTTCTGAATAATATCTTAATACTGATAAATACTATAAATAAAATGTACTACTAAGACATTGTATGGAGCACTGAAATGAAATTTTTCTGACTTTTTGAAGTCTATATGTTACATTTACTTGTATATTTTACTGTTTATTGTGTTGTTATGTTGACAGGATGTTTTCACAGTACTATCTTTACTCTACAGTGGAATTACTGCTGTAATTTTTTGATAATTGCATTGCTCTTATGATATAGTTTATATACAATTAGGGAAATATTCACAATAAATGTATGGTTATATACTGGGATAGGCATGGATGGCTCTAAAAACCACTTTTTTTTCAATATATATGAGATTTTGCAAAGCCAGTAGTTTCAATTGAGGTCTCTTCTATCTTGAACGAGAGAGAAGAAAGTTCTCTCCTCTTCCATCTTTCTCTTCAATGATACCAACGCAGCCGCATTGAAATATAGAGAGGTCCGATAAATCTGTCCTTGTCTAATATCTAATTTGTGCCACTGAACTATTTTTGAATTCAGCTGAGAGTCAAATTTGAGGATGTTAACAAATGATGTCAAAATGAGTATGATATAATTCGAAATTTCATTCAAAAAATTCGAAAGGTTATCAGTCAATGACATCTATGACATAACATGTCACATCATTATAACATCGAAAATAGTTCGGTGGCGCAGAGTAGACGTTAGACAAGAAAAGATTGATCGGATCTCTCTACATTTCAATGCAGCCACGTTGGTAGCACTGAAGAGAAAGATGGAAGAGGAGAGAACTTTCTTCTCTCTCGTTTGAGGTAGAAAAGAGCTCAATTGTGAATTGATTTAAAATTTTGGATTTTTTTGAGGGGGTGGGAATTTTCAGAGCTTCTGGAATTAACCAAAAACTTGACAAATCTATTAAACAACTCTATAATCAAACCATGTATGTTTCTTGGGAATAATGAAGATTATTATTAGTATTATTTGAATGCATATATAGGTATACCTGGAACATCCCAATATTTGAATTGAGATTTGAATATTAACCAACTTACATTATTAGACATCATGATTGTCATCAGGGTCTTATTACTGGAATTAATAGCAACATTGATGGTAGTTGCTTGAAAGAGGACTAGAATGCTATGAAGAACTGTAATCAATGATTAAGGAAAATACACACAATTGAAGCTGATGGCCTGTGAATGACAACACACAACCAGCTGTGGTTATACAAAAGGATACCCACATATACAATGGCAAAAACCAGATGTGGCAAAGTACCCAGATGCTCCCTTTTCCTCCCTCTAGGTTCAGTTGCTGTCCAAAATAGAGCATCAATAGCATCTTGGCCAAATGCTGAAAACAACCTATCACCTATTTCCAGCATATTATAAAACATATACAATTTAATGACTGACTGGCTCTTTATCAGATGGTACAGCATATTTGTGTCAATGTATAGCATCAAAATACTACAAACTAAAATTATAACAGCCTTGAGTAAATCACATATTTCAGCTGGGGTTAACACACGTTTATTTTTCTTGTCACCTAAGCTGAAAGTTGAATAGCATTAGTTGCAATAAGAATAGTAAATATCAGAGTGACACACCCAAAACATTTTGAAAATGGTCTAGTAACTAAAGCCCACAAAGCCAATATCACCCTCATTGGTAAGAATGTATAGACATATAGAAAAGAGTCTGCACATTGCATCAGACCATAGCGCATGAATCTTTCAACCTCTTTTGGTATTCTCATAAAAGAGTAGATGATTTCTCTTCTGGCTGAGAACCGTTCCTCAGCATTTTCCAACTGATAGTCTCTAGTCAACTCTATATTCAAGAAAGACCATATGCTAGGTAACTTATCTGCAACAACAAAGTAAACATTATCAGTTATCAGCAGAAGATAGGTAAACTACTTTTGAGTCACACCTTCAGTCTCCTGTGGAGGCATTTCACTTTTGTCATTTTTCAGCAAGTCCTCTATGTTGCCCTCTGAACTGAACAGAACTCTGGCCGATGGTCTGAAACGAATTGCTTTCTCGGTTTGTGATGACATTGTTCCAAATCTCGTTTCTAATCATCCTGAAATCATTTTGATATTCCAGTACGGTATAGTAGTGTTGCCAAAATTATGTGTTTGGATAATTGTTATCAAACTTGTTAGTTTGCAAAAATGATACTGGAATTTCACGAAATTTTCGTAAAAAATATGAGTGATTAAGTGCTTTTAGTTTGTTTTGTTGAAGTGTTTTGCCAGAAAATCTGACATTTAGCGTTGAGGTTAAATTATATTCTGTATAACTTCTTTTTTTTTCAGTCTCTTAGCACTTGGGATCCTAGCGTTTCACCAGTGTCGGACATCCACCATTATTCTTCTTCTTAGGGTTGGCTCTTGCTATAGAGGATAGTCAATCACATTCTTCTCTTTTCTTAGAATATCATTATATATTTGAATGTATTTGGCTGTATGCCATATGACAAGAGGCCAGGAAGTTAAGAAGAAGACGATATTTATATATTTTTATATTTTTAATGTTGGTAATATGGACGTATACGTTCATAGTTGGTAATTATTGAGAATATTGAGATCGGTAATTATTGTAAAAGTACATTGTTTTATTAGGATTAAATGTGACACTTTGTTTGACAAGCGATATTTGCGTATGCGACTATGCGAGGCGGAGCGACTTCGAAGACGATGACGAGCACGCAAATTTTGCGAGTCAAACAGTCACTTTTGATCCGAATGAAACATATGCCATTTTTTCTGCAATGGAAATAATTTATATCTAATAATTAACAAAATATGAGTGAAAATACCACTATTTTGAATCACTTGAGCATGTCGATGTCAATGAGGCAGCTATCATATCAGCGTAATCCGACACGATTTTAGTTCCTATAGGAGTTAAACTTCAACCTTAGCTCCTATTCACTAAAAGTGTTGCCTAGCAACACATACATATACTAATCATTTTATCGTGTCCGTTAAAGAAACGTCAACTTCAAGAGCTGATTTCGGAACAAAAATGGACGACTTTTGAGCCGATTCGGACTTTTTATCTCCGAATTATGGTATGATTCTGACTTTTATCTCCGAATCATGATATATAATTCTGACTTTCATCTCCAAATTATAATAATTCTGACTTTTATCTCAGAGGTCAGACACCTTCAAGTTCTACACTGTAGCAAATCTGACGTCACCTCTGTTCAAATTTCCATGCGGTAGGCACAATCACGCGGAGTTCAATAATTTAAATTGTTTTAAAGTGGCTAACTTGATTTTTTTCTCGTATTTTGTTCAATTTTTGGGATGAAATTTCTCGTTAATTAGAAGAAGAATCAGAAAAAATCTGATATCATGGAAATATTCGTTAGACTGTACCTATTATATTAATGTGCTGAATATGTGCACTTATTTCAAAAACACGTTGTATAGTAGAATAATTCTGTCTTTTATCCTCGAATTGAAATAATTCGGACTTTTATCTCAGAATTATGATGATTCGGAATTTTATTTCCGAATTATATGGTCTTTTATCTCAGTATTATAAAAATATTATATCTCCTATTGGCCGATCTACCGTTTCGTAGGTAAGTGAATACTTGGACTTCCAAAAAGAAAAATAACAAAACAACATAAGCTCAAGCTGCAATATATTCATTAAACGATTATAAAGGACAAATCTCATAACATGATCAATACAATTCTCAAATCCAAAGTATTAACTACTTTAGTCTACATTTATTTGAATCACAAATAAAAGTGAAGCAGTGATAACTGGTTACACAATGAAAAATAAATTATTAATACATTTATAGGTATGATATTTATTGCATGCCACCGAAGCTACAATGGTTAGATAAAAGCTAATTTTGGAAAAGTGTACGTGTGAACTCTATATAATCTAGTGCCCCTGCAATTGGTCGTTCTGTTTTCGGCTCCACGTATGGTTTCATTCTAACCACACAATAATCCGCCATTTCCTTAGTCAGGTTCTGAAAAGAAATAATAAAGTATACTTTAGACAAGTGTTTAAAATTGTCTTCAAAACCGTTTTGAAAAACATATAATTTGACTGCAAAGTGAAATTTTCCAGCCATTATTCACAGTAACGATCGTGAAACTGAACGCATGTACATAAAAATTAATTATGATCCACCAATCTCAGCCAACACAAATACATCCGAATGTCCATTTTGTGTGCATCAGCCGATGGATGTCATTGACATATATTGGACATCAATTTCGTGGAAGTACAATGGTCAGTGGAAATCGCCTTCAGAGAACCTAATTTTTCATTAGGAAAAACATAACTACTAATTTTTGCGTTGCGTTTCACATCGCAGTAGTCGGAATTTATGTTTTCCATGTCCTCTGAAGTTTTATGTTGGTAACACATAAAATAAGAAGAAATTGAGTGGGAGGTCATTCTAACCACAAGAATGAAAATGGACTTTGCTATTTCTCCTCATTTTTAGTGCTACTGACATGAAATTTCTATTATTCACTTTGGATTCCTAGTTGACACTCAAGTTTCTGTAAATCAAGCTAGTTGACACTTAGTCATCGGTCAACGAGGCTAATTAATACTTAGTATATCTGTCAAATAGGCTATTCATTGACACTCAGTTATCTGTCAATTAGGCTAGTTGACACTAAGTTATCTATCAATTAAGCTAGTTAACACTCATCATCTGTCAATTATCAAAATTATACATCATATGGTGCTTCTACGCTTTCATAGAATTCTGGAGTGTGGAACATTAATTTTTTTTTCAAAATCGTTCCAATTTCATGCAAAGTTCTAATAATCAAAAGGTGGAATGAAGTGAGAATATTCTGTTGCACAAGTACCCATAAGACACAACTTTGGGGAAAATCGAATGACTGAGTTTCGTCATATTCTCAATATTTTGTTATTATTTGTTCTTGTAAATATTTCAATCTCAACTTTTTTGTACATTAGTTATAATAATGAAAACCACATGGAATGCATCATCAATCAAGAAAGACCGGAGTCAATAATTCTTGGGATCATGCGTGTTTTGTTCCATAAAAATATTATTATTATTCCCTCTATAAAATTCTTCTAATCAGTGCCAAAAAATCAAAATTGGACTTTCCATACTCTAGCCAGCTATGATTGCCACTTCATATAAATATGTTTAATTGAATACGAAAGTGAACTTGTAGTATCAATACGAATTGTGGTCCTTTTATGCAAAATGCAATGATCATCTCTTGTATTTTTCAAGAAAGCACAGACAAATATCTGAAAAAACTTACAGCATATAGTTCTTCCTTAGTGACGTAAGGGCGGTCTCCTGCTGTGATGGCCCTGAAGGCTTTCTCAATCTCCTCTGAACTCTGTACATTTTCGGTTTCTTTGCTAATCATGAACGCCATGTATTCTTGCAGGGAAACATATCCATCTCTGTTCGGATCCACAACATCTGAAAATAATAATTATACAATGCAAAAAACTCGAAAAGCGATAAGCAGTCATGTAGAATATACAATATACAAAAATAATATGCTTTTCCTCCAAACGTCAAATTGAATGTGAGATTTTTTTGAGTAATTCAGTCTTATCCAATGTTCGTTAATACGTCAGTTCAATGGTCTACCTGTTTGACCAACATATCTAGCCAACATTTCAGTTTGTGTAGCCCTAGTTCTTCGAATATAGATAATATCAACGAATTCAATATACCGACAATGATCTGAAATATAGCACTCACCTAATATTGCATCGAATTCTGGATCGGGTTGTCCCTCCTCCACCATGGGTAGGTCATAACCGAGGGCTCTGAGACAACTCTTGAACTCTTGCAGATTCAATTTGCCGGATTTCTCCTTGTCGAAGTGTTTGAACATCATAGAGAACTCCTTGAGAGCATCTTCGCTGACACCTTGAAAATAATAATGATCGTGAAAAGGTATTTTCATAACGTTCTCGGAGAGTGAAGACACTGAGCGAGTGATTCAACATTTCCTACGACCCGAAGGTATTCATGTTTATTTCTTCAAAATTCGACAGCTTTGCAATCTCGGATGAGCCCACTTTCTTTCGAGGGGATCAGGAAAATGTTCATCTCACTCTATCACAAAACACAGAATGCGGATGTTTTCAAAGATATATAAATTCTTATTATTTCTTCCCGGATTTCCAGCTGTATATACATGTTATTAAGTTTTAGTTCATGAATGAAGGTCAACAAAAATGCATTCACATAGGACGTAGCTCAGAAAGAGTCAAAGCCAATCAAAATGCAAATATGTACAGATATTCACAATCACATAGTTTCAGATTTTCAGCCTCGTCGCTACTGATATATAACTTTCTTGAACTCCCGAGCTGTGCTGAAGAAACTTGGCAACAATGTCAAGAGGTTTGACACTTTCAGTTTCGAGTTGCAATGCCCTACGTTCAAAAATAAACTAGAGGATATCAAAATAGTGAATATTTCGGTGTTCAGAAATGTATTGACGAGTTAAAGTCAGTGAACAGTGTAGGGAAAAACTTCTAGTATATTCCAGTCAAGAATACAGTAGATGGTATGGACACTAGAGCCCGTTTCTCACCCACTATTGAACCAGCCAATTACAAATATCTGAAAATAATTGTAGTGTTAGCGACAAAGTTCAAATCAACCCGTAAATGAATGGAATGCCATATCACGCCATATCACAAGTCGATTCACCGGTATTCGTATTCATCGTGCGATTGGAGATCAAAGCGGACTTAGTCATTAGCAGCATAGCATCAGAACAAATCAGTTGTTGTATTTCACTTCGCGGTTACGTAAAATGAAGCTCAATCTCGAATGAACCGAGAAAGCCGGGTACCCTTGTCGCTAGCCTGGAGAAGCGAGGCGGCGTTGTCAACTTTCTCAGCAATACATAACAAGTAAAGTGACAACAACCATGAAAAAATAAAAGTCCCACACAAAATCTCGAACCACTTACCCGACTGATTCCTAGCCTGTATCTGCTGCTCCAAATTGTGCTGCATCCGCATGCCGAGCTGATCGAGCTGGTCCCATTGCTGCGCAAGCCCCACCGTCGAGTGCTCAGTGTACCGGTTGTCCAAGATGAGGTGCTCCTCGAGAATGGCGCCGAGGTCCTCGATCTTCTTGAGGTCGGAGCGACGCGCCCTCACTTCTGCGGCCTTGCGCTTGGTGGCTTCGAGCTGTTGCTCCAGCGAGCCCGATCCCTCCATCATGGATGTGCTGCAGGAGAAAGGATGAGAAGTGAGTGGGGAAACGTCTAGGCGTCTTGCATTCGATATGGAGGAAGCGAGAGCTCGGATAAGCGAAGAGACTAGATTGGAGTGACTACATGAAATAGAGTGGCAACGATAGACCTCAAAAATGGCTAAAAAACTGAAGGGTATCTCCCATACAGTAATGAATTTGCGCCTACGAAGTGCCCACATTATGTTAGGTTAGATATTTGTCATTTTCATTTCATCATCTGAATAATCAATAATCTGAAAAGTAGTACTGGTAATGTTCCTTTCCATACGTAAACGGTTTTGGATCCCACTATTTCTGAAGGAATTTTTGACATAGGTGACAAATTTCACATTCTGCTTCCACCATTTGATTCCTTCACCTTTTTTCTACAAAAATGGTATATTTTATTTTAAACGTACAAGATAATGTTTCATGTAGGTTTGTTTTGAATGATCATGCTCTATTTCGTCTAATGGATTCGAATGTTATGTAAATTCACACTGCCCAAAAAAAAGCAAAAAACCTGCAACAGTTGTTATGTAGAAAACATCCAATTTCAATAGAGTTGTTTTTTGGGATATTGCTGGTTTCACAAACTTACAAAATATGAGTCTCAAATATCTCTCCAGTATTCCAAATTGTCATTCTCATTTTTCACTTACATTTTTTTTTCCATAATTGAAAATCGAAACAACTCTATTCAATCAGTTAAAACATTATTCATCAATATTAGCTGAATCAGTGATGGTAAATTCATTTATCAGTGATGTCCATCAAGGTCACGTACTTTGCGTGGACTGGTGAATCTGAATAATACTCGTATTTGATTCTTTAAACAATCCATCATTTAATGAAAATCCATCAGTTGGTGAACTTAGCAACACAGTGAGTCTCTGAACAGAGTGTACACTTATATTTTGATGTGACAGTAGACGTTAATTTCATTTTAAATAATTTCCAAATAATAACACAAATTAGATTTTTTAAATATTAGTAGGTGGTGAGTAGCACACATTTCATTACCCATCCCATCCTAATATCCGGTAACTGAAAATAACAAAAATTATAGAATTTATTCTAATTGTATCACACTATATAGTCAATACTAGGACACCCTAAAATTCCGTATATTAGATTTGGAATGTGCCGACCGATTGGAATTGATCTATAAATTCACAAACCGATAATCAATAGTAAACTAGGATAAAATCTTGTCATGAGGATAATAACGTAACCTCGATAATTGACAGTTTGTTCATTGATGTTGTTTTGTATTTTCTTGAAATATTGTAACCGGCATCCCGGAACAATAATATCAATATAACTCATGACGTTAAAACTGGCTAGGCAAATGTCTTGAAAAAACTATGCATTGTACAGAATGGCGCTTATTTGAAAACGAAACAGAGGCTCTGTAGGTCGCCCAAACCAGATTATGAAAAAAATCTGAAACACGTCAACTACATTTTCGAAGGGGACATCGTTCTAAATTATTTTCAGCTCTGCAGCGTTCCGCTTCTAACGAAAAGTAGCAACAACTTATTGTTGTTACTGTTATTTCAATTGGAACACCCTGTAGTTCATTGCATTTTTAGATTCTCCCCAAAGAGCTGATTTCATCAATGCATCACACTTGAGATCTAGCGGTAATGATTACAGAGCTATAGGGTTTTCAAAATCGAGATTTTTCAACTTTGGGATTTTTGTGTCGAAACTATTCTTCATTGGTCAAAGCGGCTCACATAACCCTATCTCGAATTCCGATTCACTATCTACTGACATTCAATTGGAACAAATACAGGGTGGTTCAAGATTCAGAATTCCGATCACAATGTATCTGTTCCAATTAAATATGAGTAAATAGTAAATAAAAAAAGTTGAGATAGGGATATAAAAGCCGTTTTGGCCAAAAATGAACATATTATGTGACACAAAAAAATGCTAAAGTTGAAAAATCTCGATTTTGAACATCCTATTCATCTGTAATCATTGCCGCTAGATCTCTAATGTGACGCATTGAAGACATCAGCTCTTTGGGGAGAATCTAAAAATGCAATGAAATACAGGGAGTTCCATTTGAAATAACAAAGTTGTTGCTACTTTTCATTAAAAGCGACAACGCTGCAGAGCTGAAAATAATTTAGAACGATGTCCCCCTCGAAAATGAAGTTGACGTGTTTCAGATTTTTTCATAATCCGGTTTTGGCGACCTACATAGCCTCTGTATCGATTTGAAAGGGCCAGCCTGTATATTATTCTAGTACTATAATTCAGTATTATGGACATTAACGCGTTTGTGTCTCTTTAGTACTTCAAGAGATTCAAGTTGAAATTCTATTATTTACCAATAAGAATTCAAAAGTTACAAAGTTCCAAAATCAAATAAAACTGCATGGTATCCTGATAATGACGACATAATTCGCAAGAATTCATTTTGCCCAAACATCCGTCAACGAAAAATCAGAAGGTTTCTGGCTACAATGGTGGTGAATGTAAAAACTTCACGATAAGATTTCCACAAAATAGTAGCTTCGTCAGGTTATATACTGGTACAATGAACTAAACTAACATTGGCTTGCTGAACTTTTATATATCCTATTTTCTCAACCTGAAGGATTAGTTACCTGTGGACAGGTTCGATAAACCTTCTTATTCGAAAATTAGGCACAATATCTACATTAAAATATGGTGTACTGGGTTAACTTGAAACGGTTGATAGCAAATACATATTAATACCTACTAAGAAAACAAATTCAACAGTGGTGAACTATTGAGGTCTAATTGGGCGTTAAGTAAAATGTCAGAATTTTTTAGTTTGTTGATTTCTAAGATTCAAAATGATTGAGTTTCATTTATTTATTTTCTACGGGTAGAATTTCAATATTATCATCAAAACTATGCTTTTCTTTTAATATATGGTTCGCATTTGTTTTCTTCTTCAAAAAATTCATCTTATGTTCATGAATGCGCCGTATGATGAAGGTTTCTAGAACCTGTCCACAGGTAACTAATCCTTCAGGTTGGGAAAGTAGGATATATAAAAGTTCAGCAAGCCAATTTTACTTTAGTTTATTGTACCAGTATTTCATTTGCCATGGATTTCCATCAAGTAGCGGCCGAGTCAATTCAAAAAATGGTGGTGAATTCGAATATACTAGCAGGTCAGTGGGTGTACCGGTCCGTTCGATCCCGAACAAAAACAACTTTTGCACATTCTGATGGGTCTAACAGATGTTCGGGTGAAACGAATTCCCCTCCCTTCCCACTCAAGCCATTCCCCCACTTACCGCGTTTCCGTCAACCATTGATGGAAGGCGTTCGCGTACTTCGCGAACTCCTTCCTCAACTTGTCGTTCTCCTCCTGTCGCTGCGCCTCCTTGTTCAATTCCACGTCCCTTTCTGCGATGATCTTCTGCAGATTCCTCCACGTCTCCTCCAACGCCTGAAATGGCCAATTTCACTCATCATGTCCAAACATTTTACATTCACCGGCTAGGAAGAATAATAGCCAAATTGATCATCAATTTTTTGTCAAATTCTCGTGAAATTTCGACCAAATCGTATATTCATGTTTCGGAATGTCAGCATGCACTTTAGTAACCAAGAAAAGCTGATGACTTGATAATTATACACGGAAAAACTAGGATGGCAGCTTTTTGATTGGTTTTTGTAATCGGGGTTTTTCTGCCGGTGAGTGCTGAGAAAATGGGGTGGAAATGAACGATATTAATAATAATAACCTTTATTCAACAAAATATATGAATAATGAATATAATAATAATAATGATATGATAATAATAAATAAATATATAATTAGTGAATGAATAAAGCTGTTGAGCGATAAGTGCCATCGCACTTGTTTCGCAGAAAATGTCCATGAAAATATCCATGAGAAATTGGCAATTAAAATTAAAATACGTTTCATTACAACTTAAAATAGCGATAATTAAAAGTACCTAACTAAGGACATAAACAAACAATCAGGAGACAAAAACTTCAGAAATACTAGAATCGTTACTATAAATATTTATAATACTGTGCCTACTATACTACTATGATATATGATAGCATTATTGATTCCACATGTTTTATTTTTCAAGTTTTTGTGACGTCTCAATGTGGGTAATCACTTCCTCCTATATGTTAGAACAAACTGACTAAATCCTTTGATGAAAGAATGGGTCCAACAATATCCTGTACAATACAATCCTAGTATTATCTTTCCTTTGAATAATCGAAGCACCAAAAAACCACAAAACACCTAATCTGGTAGAATTGGCACCGCAAGGAGTCAGAAAGCCAAGCAACATTGAATCAGAAGAAGAAGAATAAGAAGAAGTTGTTAATCGAAGTTCCTGTAGGCTCTGAATTACTGTTCATTAACAAATCTATAATTTTATCTTCTCTTAAAAAGAAGACATTGATGTGAATCAGAAACCATTGTGTTGAGAAGAGATCACACTTCAATATTAAACATAATGAAGCTAAGTTCAATCACTCACTTACCTCAGGACTCTAATATTTCATGTTATTTACATTCAGAATTGAATTTTATTAATATTTCTGGCACTGTGTGAAACTCTGAATTATCATTATGTATTATATTTATTGTAAGATTAGGATATATCTACTACTACTAGAAAATATATGTTCATCACCCACCTCCATGTTGAACCACGTGTAAGGATTCGGCCCGACGTTGAAGTGCTTGATCTGCGCATCCAGCGCCGCCAACGCGTCAAAGTCCGCCTGCGCGCTCGACAGCGACGCCTGGAACTGCGCATGCGCTTCTTTCAGCGCGCGGATCTCCTCGATCGAGTTGCAGCGCACCGGGTCGGTGAGGTCCTCTTCGGCGTTCTCGAACCACGAGTTGAAGGCAGACGCTCGTTTGGCGAACGTGAGGAAGAGCTCTTCGATTTCTTTGAATTGCGCCTGCATGCGCAGCAGGCGCTGTTTGCGGGCGTCCGAGTCAGAAAGAAGTTTCTGCCATCTGTCGAAAAATATACGCGCTATAGTCACTGACTAAAATGTATCTAGACCGCTAGTGGTTATAGCACAGCAACATGAAAATCTCGGGTCTATTGCTCGCCTGAAAACGCTTCTGCTCAATGCACAGCGACCCTCAAAGTGCTGTTTATGACAGCGAGTCATGATTCTTGGTGTTCATGAGTAAGGACCTATTCATGCATCATTAGTAATATTCTTTTTACCAACTTTGACTGAGATTAACCAAGATTCTCAGTGCAGCTCAATAGCTCAGTTGTATTACATGTTTCATTTATCTTAGTCTGATGTGAGTTGTCTTCTTCTAGTAATTCTGTGTTTCTGTGCTGAAAATTGTGAGTTTATATTTTCATTTTGACATGCTTTCAGCTTTGAAGTTTCAGTCCACTGGTTAAATCCTTTGAATACTCACTACAATAGTATTTCTACGTTCCTCATTAATTTCCTCAGCCATTTTACATTTTGGTTGAATTATGTTTTGTTATGTTTTCTTTCCTTGCCCTTCCTGACAGATAAAAACGAGTTCTTTTTATTCCATCGACAACTCAGCTCCGTCTCACCTCCTTCTAACTCAATTGATCTCAGTAGTGAGAATGTAACAAGGTAAAAAGAATATTGCTATTGTCTAAGTCATTGTCTTAATCATAGTCTTATTCAAGGTGGATAGAATATTAACTCATCATATTTGGACCTTTATGCAACACAGTCTTTAGGCTTGAGAATTTTGATATGACAATTGACAATCCGTCAAGAGTGTCAACTGAGGTGTCAATAATATCAACTGCCAATTCTAATATTTTATTTTGGAGCAGGTTTTTGAGATAATTTTGAGGATTATTTGGGTTTATTGTTTTTCTTCATAAAGATCTCTTACGAATTCGAAAATGGAAGTAGATAGAGATTTAATCATTGGAACACAGTCATATATTTATTCGAATCTTGCTACTCTGGTTTGCTTGATGCAAAAAAGAAAGAGAGTCAAGAGATTCGGAGTTCATCCCATTAACAGAAAAAGAAAAACACAAGGTTTCTTCACGACTTTGGCGGAGTCAATGAAAACCGGAGAATTAGATGAAGGTCATGTTACATGAATTCACCTATTGAAATGTATGCTCATAAATTGATTTTATGATTAAAAGAAAGACTGTGACTAAGACCAAGACTAAGACAATGATGCATACATAGGCCCTAAGAGTGAATTTGACAGGTCCTAAAGCGCAATATTCATTTTCACCAGTTCGATCTCGAAAGTGTACATGTCGGTGACTATAGTCCATCCTAACTCAGAAGATAACATTGGAATTCATAGGGAAGCGTTGACCTTCGTTTTGATAAGGTAATGTTGGAGGGAATATTACACCTGCCTAATATTATAAGCTGTGACATGACTTGTAGGATGACGATTTCTTTATGGGAAGATTATCACATTTCATTTATATGTCGTATTTCATATAGTCACTGACTAGAAACTAGACTAGGCTAGACCGCTAGTGGTTAAAGTGCTCGCCTAAAAACGCTTCTGCTCAATGCGCATTTCCAATTACATAAAAAATTGTGAAAATGAAAATGTGAACTCAAATAAATGTGTCATGATGCCTGTAAATTTGGTTTGAAACTTCGGAAATTTTGAAAGATTCTCCCACGCCTTGCTATTTTTACAAAGTAGGCGACATCCAGAGATTTCGAAACTTATTTCAATAGGAAGTGATAACACCATATGATTTTCTATACATCTATTACGGGCTATAGTCCATTATAACTCAGATGACAGCATTGAAAACCATAGGGAAGCGTTGACCTTCGCTTTGATTGGTCAATGTTGAAGGCGATATTATACCTGCCTTATATTATAACTTGTGACAAGACGGAAAGGATGAAGTTTTTTTCATTGGAAAATGATCACATCATCACATTCTATTTATTTGTCGAATATTTTATATATGTTACAATAAATTCTGAGAATAAACACGAACGAATTACTACGATTTTGAATTAGATGCTCAGTGATTTGAAGGAATAGGTGCTGAAGCGGCAACAAAAAACGTTGGTTGTCGTATACCATATTTGAAAAATTGCTGAAAAATAACCGAATATCCTTACCTTGCAATAACACTGGCATGTCTTTGAAGAATTGCTTGAGTTTGGTCATGATTAGCTGCGATGAGTCTGTCTTTAAGGTCAGTTATGTTTTGGATTCCTTCATGCTCGAAAGCAGTGAGACCTAAAAGAAAAGTAACATGATTTTCATAATATAAATCGAGAAGGACCCGAATCAGGGGTAATTTCTTTTTGTAGATAGTAGATGACAGCTATCGAAAACCTGCCTTCTATAATTATTGTTGTTACAACTACAGGATCTCTATAAATGATCGTAACATCGTAGTGGCCGTTGACATTTTTTTCCATTTGCCGCTTTCTACTAATGCTGTTAACAACATTTAACGACGAGTGATCATATACAGGATCTTTTTTATATCGTTTTGCATACACTATGGAAATGTATTTGAGATACATTTCCATAGAAAGGAGAGTCCAATATTGTAGTTTAAAAAATAATGGAACAAATCATAAATATCTATTAAAGAAGTAATAAATAACGGTTTATTTCATTAACCTACATCAAATGTTCAAAATGTTCTCCGTTGTTCTCCAAGCATTTCAAAACTCTTCGCCGTTTGTTGTCGAAAATGTTCCTCAGCATTTCCGGGCCAATATTTTGGCAGCAATGTGTTATTGAGGCTTGCAGCTCTTCGAAGTTATTATACTTCGTCTTTCAAATATCCAAAAAGGCAGAAATCCAAAGGCGTCAAATCTGGAGAACGTGTTGGAAAAGAAGGATTAACTCCTCGACTTATCACACGGATGTCATAAAATTCTTGTAAATATTCTAAATATACACGTGTGGTGTGGCAGTGGCCCCATCTTGCTGAAAATAGCCAACTCGAATTTCTTCATCATCAAGTCGATTGATGAATGGTTCTAACATCACTTGTCTGTATCTTTCACCATTGATAGTGCCATCGAAGAAAATCGGTCCATATATTCGCCTACGAGAAACAGCTAACCACACCCCAATTTTTTGAGAATGTAGTGGAGTCTCAATGAAATTGTGGGGATTCTCAGATCTCCAAAACCTAAAATTTTGTGAGTTCACGTATCCCGACAAATGAAACCAAGCCTCATCGCTGAAAAATGTTAGGTGTCCAATAGCTGGTCATCGTTGAGATTATTTTGGAACCATTGGCAGTCCTCCAGACGACGTGGGATATCTATTGGCAGAAGTAACTGTAGTACACTGGTCTTGTAAGGATGCATATGCAATCTTTTCTTGAGCACTTTATGGCATGTACTTAGTGGCACACCAGATTGTAAAGATAATCTCTTTAATGACGTTTGGGGATTTTGCTCAACACGCGCTCTTAGATTTTTGACAACTTCTCCCGATTTTTGGGGCCTTCCTGTTGATTTCTTTTTATTAACGTTTCCAGTTTGGATGAATCTGTTGATCTCTGTTCTGATGTGGGCTTTCAAAGAAGTTTCTTGAATCTGTACATTAGAATATTTCGCCAGGTACTCATCCTTGCAGGCTACTACCGAGTAACTCCATCCACCATTGATGAATGTGCCATTTCGACAATAAGACATTACAATAAATGTATTCTGCTCCAAGGAATAAGCCATCCCTCTTTTCAACACGACAATTACGAAGTAGAAAACATCAGAATCGTTTGAAAATTTCAACGAAAAACTGACAATTGTGAGTTTATCACCTATGGCAGTATAATGATTGATGTCAGAAATTAAATTCGAATGTGTGAATCTCCATAAATGAAAGGCGGCAAATGGAGAAAATATTTCAACGGCTACTACGATGTTACGATCATTTATAGAAACCCTGTACTATTCAGTGATATTTATCGAAAATGAGAGTCAACATTAAACGTTTCTTATTAGCTTGGAGCATGATAATAGGAATTTATCTTATCTTTTATATCAAGTTACAATATTTCGAAAACCATGAGGTTTTTCCTGATATAAGCTATGGTTTTCTGAAAGGTTATGTTCGATTTCTGCAATAAAATAAGAAGAAACCAAAATACTGACCGGCATCGAAAGTCTCTTGCTTGGTGAGCAACGTCTGCACCGACGACAGATCCCTGCCGAATTCCTCGCTGCGCACGTGCGTCTCCTTGTCCGCTATCCAACTCTCCACCACGTCCGCCTTCCACATGAACTGCAAGTACGCCGAGTTGTCCACCAGCTTCGCCTTCCTTCTGCCGGCCAGCGCGGCCAGGTGGTCCAGCTTCGTTTGCAGCTGCTGGCAGCGCTGCCGCACGCTGTCGGCGTGGTGGTTATCTTCGGAAATCAGCTGCTGGCCTTCGGAGTTGATGCTGGCGCAGCGGTCGCGATGCGCCTGGAAATCGGTCTCGAAGGCATCGTGTTTCTTCAGCAGGCCCTATAAGAGAGGTGGGAGAAGAGTTTTATATTAGAACAAATGCATATAGGAAATAGAAGGTCGTTTCAAATTAGGTATGTGTGGTTATCGTCTGCGCCTCAAACCCAGCTAACAATACGAGGACCCGAATATCTCTGTGATATCACCGAAAGCTAAAGATATTGATGTGACCTCTATTAGGGACATCAATTGAACACAAGCCAATGATGTTACACAGACGTCTAATCGGCGACATGATCATAATATTCTGACTGTTCTATTATTCTGTGGTTGCTGTTTGTATTATAACCTATAAGAATATTAAATTTTGTGCCAAGCCAAGTAGAGGTAATGAATTATAATTATTGTAATGATTCAAATGAACCAACTAAGTAAGTAAGTAGAATAATACAACAGATAACAGTGATGTTAGTTCCTCTTTGGTTTTAGTGAGCCAGCAGAATAATATTGTGTCATGAACTTCTTCAGTGGTGTATGAGGATTGAGAATATTCGTAGGTAGTTTTTTAATATATTGCAGATCATGAAATGTTTTTTCACGGAAGTTTGGTGAATATGACTTGAGGTGAAGTTGATAGTGGAAAAAAATATAAAAAAAAATCAGTTCCAAAGATAATTGTACAAAGGAAAGGCAGGATTTAAAAAATAAAATCACTATCAAATCTTCACAAGAACTTACTAATGGTACTGGTGAGATCAATGAGGAAAACACGTAGGTCATTCAGATTTATGTGCATGCCAGATATTCTCTAAATAAATAATGAGTAAAGTTGCTGATACTCCGCCTATTCACCATTGCAGATAGGTATAAGGTTATGTAAAAATTGTTCTTTCATACTTTGTTTTGTGTGATTATTTATTTATTCGCTGGGAAGTCGCTCTTGAAGGCGTCGTGTTTCTTCAGCATCCCCTGTAGGAATGGTAGAAGTATAGTTCCTTAACGTAGACTGAAGGTAATCAACAAGGAAATTCGACCAAATGTATTATTATTAGATCTAATGCACTTGGGAAGTAAAAGGTCGTTTCAAATAAGAAAAGTGTGGTTGTCGTCTGTGCCTAGAAGTCGCTCTCGAAGGCGTCGTGTTTTCAGCAGACCTTGTAGAAAAGGTAGAAGCCTAAGTAGAGTTCCTTAATGTCGTAATAAACGCGGAAATTCGACCAAATGTATCATTATTCTTAGAACGAATGCACTTAGGAAGTAGATGGTCGTTTCAAATAAGAAAAGTGTATTTGTCTTCGGAAATCAGTTGCTGGCCTTCGGAGCGGTCACGATGCGCCTAGAAATCGGTCTCGAAGGCATCGTGTTTCTTCAGCAGGCCCTATAAGAGAGGTGGAAGAAGAGTTTTATATTAGAACGAATGCACTGAGGAAGTAGAAGGTCGTTTCGAATTCGGTAAGTGTGGTTATCGCAAAGTCGAGCTTGAAGGCGTCGTGTTTCTTCAGCATCCCCAGTAGAAAAGGTAGAAGTAGAGTTCCTAAACGTGGACTGAAAGAAATCAACGAGGGAACTCGACCAAATGTATTATCATTAGATCTAAGGCTCTTAGGAAGTAGAAGACCGCTTCAAATAAGAAGTGTCGCTGGTAGTCGCTCTCGAAGACGTCGTGTTTCTTGAACAGCCCCTGTAGAAAAGGTAGAAGCATAAGTAGAGTTTCTCAATGTTGTGATGAACACGGAATTCGACCAAACGTATCATTATTTTTAGAACGAATGCACTTAGGAAGTAGATGGTCGTTTCAAATAAGAAAAGTGTATTTGTCTTCGGAAATCAGTTGTTGGCCTTCGGAGCGGTCACGATGCGCCTGAAAATCGGTCTCGAAGGCATCGTGTTTCTTCAGCAGGCCCTATAAGAGAGGTGGAAGAAGAGTTTTACATTAGAACAAATGCATATAAGAAATAGAAGGTCGTTTCAAATTAGGTAAGTGTGGTTATCGTCTGTGCCTCAAACCCAGCTAACAATACGAGGACCCGAATATCTCTGGGATATCACCGAAATCTAAAGATATTGATGTGACCTCTATTAGGGACATCAATTGAACACAAGCCAATGATGTTACACAGACGTCTAATCGGCGACATGATCATAATATTCTGACTGTTATATTATTCTGTGGTTGCTGTTTGTATCAAAACCTATAAGAATATTAAATTCTGTGCCAAGCCAAGAAGAGGTAGTGAATTATGATTATTGTAATGATTCAAATGAACCAACTAAGTAAGTAGAATAATACAACAGATAACAGTGATGTTAGTTCCTCTTTGGTTTTAGTGAGCCAGCAGAATAATATTGTGTCATGAACTTCTTCAGTGGTGTATACAGATTGAGAATATTTGTAGGTAGTTTTTTAATATATTGCAGATCATGAAATGTTTTTTCACGGAAGTTTGGTGAATATGACTGAGGTGAAGTTGATGGTGGAAAAAAATATCAAAGAAATTCAGTTCCAAAGATCATTGTACAAAGGAAAGGCAGGATGTAAAAAATAAAATTACTATCAAATCTTCACAAGAACTTACTAATGGTACTGGTGAGATCAATGAGGAAAACATGTAGGTCATTCATATTTATGTGCATGCCAGATATTCTCTGATTAAATAATGAGTCAAGTTGAAAACATCATTTTTGCTGATACTCCGCCTATTCACCATTGCAGATAGGTATAAGGTTATGTAAAAATTGTTCTTTCATACTTTGTTTTGTGTGATTATTTATTTATTCGCTGGGAAGTCGCTCTTGAAGGCGCCGTGTTTCTTCAGCATCCCCTGTAGGAATGGTAGAAGTAGAGTTCCTTAACGTAAACTGAAGGTACTCAACAAGGAAATTCGACCAAATGTATTATTATTAGATCTAATTCACTTGGGAAGCAAAAGGTCGTTTCAAATAAGAAAAGTGTGGTTGTCGTCTGTGCCTAGAAGTCGCTCTCGAAGGCGTCGTGTTTTCAGCAGACCCTGTAGAAAAGGTAGAAGCCTAAGTAGAGTTCCTTAATGTCGTAATAAACACGGGAATTCGACCAAATGTATCATTATTTTTAGAACGAATGCACTTAGGAAGTAGATGGTCGTTTCAAATAAGAAAAGTGTATTTGTCTTCGGAAATCAGTTGCTGGCCTTCGGAGCGGTCACGATGCGCCTGGAAATCGGTCTCGAAGGCATCGTGTTTCTTCAGCAGGCCCTATAAGAGAGGTGGAAGAAGAGTTTTATATTAGAACGAATGCACTTAGGAAGTAGAAGGTCGTTTCGAATTAGGTAAGTGTGGTTATCGCAAAGTCGAGCTTGAAGGCGTCGTGTTTCTTCAGCATCCCCAGTAGAAAAGGTAGAAGTAGAGTTCCTTAACGTGGACTGAAATAAATCAACGAGGAAACTCGACCAAATGTATTATCATTAGATCTAAGGCACTTAGGAAGTACAATGTCGTTTCAAGGAAAATTTTCTTGGGCATTGGCCCCCTGTTGGTTAAGTAGAATAGATTTGAGCTAGACTTCGCCATCAGTTTCATTGAACTTCAATTCATTCATGTTTATATTGTGATTGAAAATAAGAGTCGTTTATTATTATTATTATTATCATCACGGCGACTCGGGCGAATTGATAACTGCGAGCAATTGTTTTACTCGCAGTGACGTATACGAAGATGCGTCGTAGCACACCATCTTCTCCTTTCACTATGAGCAGGCCCTGTAGAAAAGGTAAAAGTGGATTTCTTTAATGGAATGAAATCAAAATCAACGCGAGAACTCGACCAAATGTATTATTATTAGATCTAATACACTTAGGGAGTATAAGGTCGCTTCAAATTAGAATAGTGCGGTTGTCGTCTGCGCCTGGAAGTTACTCTCCAAGGCGTCGTGTTTCTTGAGCAGGCCCTGTAGAAAAGGTTGAAGTAGAGTTCCTTTATGTTCTAATGAACGGAGGAACTCAATGTATTATTATTAGAACAAATGCACTTAGGAAGTAGAGTCGTTCCTAATTAGAATTATGCACCAGCCCTACTAGTAAACCTCAAAATTTTTAAAATGGTCTGCTCTTAATTTTAGATTATCAAGTCATTAAAAATTTGTTTCAAATAAAGTTTATTTTCGGCAAGTTTCTCGTTCCATTTTCGTTTCAAATCGGTTGGTTCTTTCCGATATTTTTCCTTGATGATCAATGTATCTGCAAATAGATATGTGATAAATAATTTTCTATATTCTACCAAAACATTTTGATATTAGTGTTCAGTTTCAGTTCAGTTTGATGGCAATTCGAATAAAGTTAACTGAATCCCAGTATTTTTATACTAAGAAGCAGCACAAAAATGCATCTCATTAATCTCCCAATTTGTTGTCGGATTGGCAAACCTTTGAAATTATTGTCATGTACTTTCATGTACACTCGTCTTCAGTGCACATGTCGCAGTTGGACGGTATGAGCGCTCTTTTTGCAGCGGTGATTAAGAGAGCTGACACCGTCCATGTGCGACGTGTTCTCTGGAAACGACTGTACCGTTAGTTCCTCCTTTTTTTCATCTATATATTTGTCAGTGACTGTCGGAGCTTGTGATTGTCCGCACTCGAAGCATACAAACACGTCAAAACAAAATGTTCAAGTACATTAAGGAACTTTTGGTAGAAGTAGAAACGTGGAACATTGAAATGTCAATTTCAAATCACATTGAAACTCCAAGAAATTTCACTAGAGGTCTTCATCTTATTTTCTTTATAATAGTCTATGAGTACAACCCAACACCTACCTGCACGGCCGCCATCGTATCCCCGTAGTCCTCCACTCCCAACAGCTGCTGCTTCTCGCTGATCCACGCCTCCTCCTCCTCTACCTTAGCCAAGAACTGCTGGTAGGTCAGCGACTCGCCCAGCTTGCGCCCCCTCGTGTCGGCCAGCTGCTTCAGCTCCGCCCACGCCCGGTTCAGCGCCTCGAGGCGCTGCTCGATCTCGGGCACGCCCAGGTTCGACACGTCCATGAGTTTTTCGCCGGCCTCTTGGACCGCCTGGATGGCGGGCTCGTGCGACGCCAGTTCGGCTTCGAGACGCTTGTGCTTCTTTTTGAGGTTCTGGACGCCGGTGAGGTCGCGACCGTAGTCGTCGGTGCCGACCAGGAGTTTCTTTTCTCTGAAAAAATACGAGTTTTGGTGTCAAAAGCACGGTCCCTGCTCGGGCGCCAAATGTAACGACCCATCGTTAACACGTGAATAGGGACTGTTAGTTTTTGCCGGTCCCTGCTCGGGCGCCAAATGTAACGATCCTTGTCACTAACACATGAATAGGGACTGTTTGGTTTTCCGGTAATGTCGCTTGGTTTGCAGTTCCTGTTAGGGCGCCAAACGTAACTATACTCGTTCAACAAAATGGATCAGATATTTATTCATTTCTATCCTAGCTTCTGCCACTAGTCCTTCTACTATATTCTCTCCTAATACAGACTGACTGATACAAAAAACGTCCCAAGCCATATTGCCGTTGTTTATTGAACGAATTTGAAAAAGGGAAATGAAATTACTCTTCGAACGCTACAAGGCATTTTTTCTCATCTTCAGCTCTGTCAGCGACTGTCACGTGAGTAGAAAATGTTTCTCCAATCTACAGAAGTTACCATTGCTAATAGGTCCCTGCTCGGGCGCCAAATTGATTGATTGATTGTCTTTATTTCCCCAAGAAACATACAGTGTGACTCACTTCTAATGGAAACCCCTGAATTTTACGTAACCGTTGGGTGAGGATCCTGAAATTTGCTGGAGCGAGAGATATACCAAAAATGCACTCTCTAGCCAAGTGGGGTCCTCTTCAGTGATATATACTGCTCGCCAACAGCCATGGAACCACCCCAATTTCCGAAAAATGATATTAGGAGTCAAAATACGTTGAAAATCATTTTCGATTAGGAATCAGGTCGCCCAGGTCATGAAAATCAAATTTTTCTCATGGTAGCACTCCCGTATCTCAGGTAATTATTGAGGTAGGGTTCTGAAATTTGCAGGAGGAAGGGAAAGTACAAAGATGCGGGGGTGCTTCCGTAAAAAATGTGACAAAATTTAATTTTTCAGAACTGAAAATTTTACAGAAAAAATATGAATAGTTAGTGAATTGGGCGACCTGATTCCGAATATGAAGTGATTATCGACCTATTTTGACTCCTAATATCATTTTCCGGAAATTGGGATGGTTCCATGGCTGTTTGCGAGTATATCACTGAAGATGACCTCCACTTGGTCATTCTTCTAACAATAACAGAGTATAGCAGAAGAAAGAGTGACAGAAGTCAAGAGGTGAAGAGATTGTGTACCGAATAGAAGATTTAGGAACAGAATGTTTGCAGCAAGCATCAAGGTATGTAATGTGATCTGATCACATTCCTTGAACTATTTTTGAGAGTTGTATTTGACGTAATGAACTACTAACGAGTAAGCAGGTATGATAAGTGGCTCTAGAGTCGTTGTTTTCTCAAAAAGAATTGCATAAGAATAGACCTAATTTACAGTCAGAAGCCTGCGAGCTCTAGCGGAGGACAAACATAGATGATTATTCTCTTGATTTCGTCATATTGTAACTAACTGAAGAGGTATTCACAGATATAGGATTCCAAAATGAAGATGCAGGGGATAAAACAAATTCTGATGATAGAAATAAGCAAGCTCTAGTGGAGGACAAACATAGATGATTATTCTCTTGATGTCATCATATTGTAACTAACTGAAGAGGTATTCACAGATATAGGATTCCAAAATGAATATGCAGGTGATTAAACAAATTCTGATAATAGAAATAAGCAATGATTTCAATGAACATTGTGCTTACTTGATCCAAGATTCTTCGTCGGCGATATCTCTGAAGAACTGGTGCAAGGTATTGGCCTCGTTGAGTCTCGCCTGCCTGTGAGCTGCCAGGTTCTTGATACGCTCGTATCGTTCGTTTATAGACTGTCGTTTTTCTTGGATTGAAGCGGTGTCGAATTGACCACTTTCAATAAGGGAATCGGCTTGATTATTCATATCTGGAAAGTCGAAAAAAAGCAATAACAACGCTGAATGTCACAAAATTATGATGAAAAATGATATACCTGTGATTCTGTCTTCGTGATGCTGGATATCGGCTTCGACCAGCTGGTGCTTCTTCATCAAGTTCTGCACCGAAGCGAGATCTTTACCAGCATCCTCACTGGTCAATAGACTCTCCACTTCGCCCAACCAAAAGTCCAGGTCTTTGACGGCCGCGATGTACGTCCGCTGCTTGTTGGCCTCCTTCAACTTCAGCGACTTCTCGGTGGTCTTCTGCGTGAGGAACTCCCATTGGTCGGCGATGGATTCCAGGCGTTTTTGCACGGCTTCCTCGGATCCGGCGCACTGGCGCTTGTCGATGAGGTTGGCCCCATTGGCCAGCACGGCCTGGTGTCCAAACACGAAGGATTTAGTTGCGATTGAATGATGACAATGTTCATTGTAACACTTGATTTGTCGTGTCAGAGGTATTTCACAAAGACGTATTGATTTGCTATTGAATAATATCCAGTGATGTGAAATGAGGGTTATTTAAAAATCGTGACCAGTCATATGACCGTCATTTATAGTCATTTGTGGTTATTTATCATTTATAATATCCCAAGGCTATTGATAATTTCGAAATAATTTGTCGCATACTTGCTGTTACCTCAAAGCAACTCTCGCTTAAGGAAGACAACTAGGTAAATAGATGGATCAACGTTTTGATAAATAAATATAGAGGTTAGAGCTGTGGTTCTCGAATTCGAATGAAGTAATTCTATAAATCATTTCTTTCTGGAATAAGCTTCAATAATAGGAACATTCTAGATAATTGAATTGAATTGAAGTTCGAACGGTTCTATATAGAATAACTGCCAATGAAGGTGTGAATTGTCAGAATGCCTATAATTCCTAAATAAGTTGAAAACATTGCATATACTTTCTGAAAATGCTGAATAATGCACAAAATATAGAATCCCGTGATGAATGGAAATCAGATCGATTCCATCAGAGCACAACATGTATCATTACCTGGATGCGATCAGCGTTGGCCGCCAACTCAGCCTCGAACGCCTGGTGCTTCTGGTGCTTCGACTGGATGTTGGCCGGGTCCTTGTAGCTCTCCTCGGTGGCCAGCTGCAGCTTCTCCGCTATCCAGTTCTCGATCTCGTCCGCATCCCGGGAGAACTGCTGCAGCGTCTGGCTCTCGCCCAGCTTCGACCGTTTGTCGATGAGAGCGTCCTTCAGGTGCTTCCATCTGTCCAGCACCTGGTTGCACGAGTAGCGATTTCAGTTTTGTGTTGAGAGACGTTGCATAGAGTTATGCAGCGCACTGAATATTTATGGGATTTTTTAAATAATTTAGTTTCCGCAAATTTGCTACTTCCAATTTTATTCATTCATGTGTCTTAGTCATGATGAAAGGAAGATGGTGTAATCACTGGATTGTTTTTTTTTTCTTCAAAACATGTAGATAGGATAGATAAATAGATCGAAGGTTATGATATTTGTATGGCATTTCTGTATCTGACTGTGTCGAATAGCTAACAGCTTTATTTTGGTTTATGTGAATAAATTTGCGAAATTCATTGAAAAGTTGCGCCATCCGAAGTTGATTCTGCAAAGCCTTACAAAAGTATTGAAATTCATCATCAAGTAGGTGATCAATGTGTTCTAGAGTTGTATAAGATAGAGATAGATCACTATCTACCTTGGTCTCAGCCAATCAAAATATACTCCGCCCTGTAATTTTCTCAATTCTTCTCCGATTTTTATGTTTCGGAATGTTAGTCTGAAATTCAGTTTCCATGAAAAGCTGATGAATTAATTTCTTAATGCCCTGTGGCAAAAGTTAGTGGTTAAACTCAGCTTCTTTCTGTTCTGGATTAGAGTGTGATCCCTTCTCAACACAACGGTTTCAGGAAAATATTTTTTTCAATCTTTATTAACAATAATTCATAACCTATAGAGCATCTTTGGGATGAACTTCAGAGGCTCACTCGCCTTCGACCGACATTGTCGGAGAATCTTCAAGAGCTACGATTTGCCCTTCAAGAATGATTTGAGGCAATCGTCAAGACTGCTTGAGAAATTTCATAAACTGATGCCACGGTGGTTGAATGCTGTAATTGAAGTTCAAGGACGACATACTCATTATTGAATACATCTAAAAGATCTGTTTTGTTTGATTTTTGCCGGCGAGTGCTAAAAAAATGGTGGGAATGAGTGATATTAGTTTTTTAATGTATTTTAAAGTTCTTAATAATTGAAGTTCATGTGTTCAGAATTATTGTTAATGAAAATTAAAAAATTCATACTGGAAAAACTTGTATCACAAGATATTGACGTTTATCAAAAACCATTAAGTTAAGGAGAGATCACACTTCAATCCAAAACATGAGGAAGCTATGTTCAATAAATTCCTTCTGCCCCAGCGCGTTCCTTTTCCCTTTATAATGATCAAGCCATCAGCTTTTCTTGAGAACTAAAATTCATGGTAACATTCAGAAACCTAAATTCTACGATTTTGTACAGATTCCACCAAAATCGTACAAGAATTAAAAAAGTGCCAGATCGATCAATTTGGCAAACATTTTTATGGCCCTTTTTTGCCGCTAGTGTATCATCACAGTGTGAATAATCTACTCACATCATTGCTGTGAGAATATTTTGACTTTGATCCACTTTCAACATGATAACAATTATTCAAGAAACTAAATCAACAATGTACGATTTTTTTTGTGTTCTAATCCCACGAAAAGGGATATCCAGTAATGTTCAGAGAACATCGTGAAAAACATAAGCTTAAAATTTTTCAAAACAATCTAGTTTTATTGGATCTAAAATTTATAATAAAATGCCATCAAAATTAAAACGCCTACATATCATAACTTTCAAAAAAGAAGTTAAAAGTTGACTTATAAATAATGCGAAAAAAATCGATGATCTTTTTTAATCACCTCTATTTTTCGATATATCAATTTATTCTCATTATTGTATGAATTGATCATTTGTTTTCAGTTTAAGTATTTATATTATGAAAAAACTATTTTATACGTGAAATACTTCATCTCTTTCACACACAGACCACTAACCTATGTGAAGGAGATACAATATGAAATATATCGGGTGGTCACAAAAAAAACCGGAAGTTTTTATTTTCCTCGTGGTTTCATCATTTCTCAACCGAATTCGAATTTCTTGGCCTCGTTTCATAGCTAAAGGGCTATAGTATACAGTGGAATATTTGAAAATTTCATAATGAACAAAAACAAAATGGCGGATTCTACCAAAGTATTGTCATTTACAAAAACCGCTGGAGTAAAAGAAAATCAGATTTTTCCCAACCTGTACCGATGTCATCTTAGGCTATTCATTTCTGAAGAGAATAAATACTCGAACATCGAAATCGAACAAATAGTCCAGTAGATACACTCATTTCTTTGCAATTTGTTATGGAGTGAATGTGCTAATCTCGTATAAACGATCATTATTATTTTGCTTCATGCTTCATGAAAATTCAATCAAATTTGGATTTCTTAGAGTTATTTCAAAGATAAAGAGTTGTAGTTCACAATGGAACATTTGAAAATCCAATAATTGAAAGAAACAAAATGGTGGAGGATCCAGAATTTTGGTGACTTTCAAAAATCTCAGGCGAATAAAAAAAATGTTATTCTTCCAATCAGGACCGATACAATTTTAGATCATTGTGTACTACAGTTCTTTATCTTTGAAATAACTCTAAGAAATCCAAATTCGATTGAATTTTCATGAAGCCTGAAGCAAAATAATAATAATCGTTTATACGATAAGCACATTCACTCCATAACAAATTGCAAAGAAATGAGTGTATCTACTGTTTGTTCGATTTTGATGGTCGAGTACTCATTCTCTTCAGAAATGAATAGCCTAAGATGACATCGGTACAAGTTGGAAATAAATCGAATTTCTTTTTCTCCAGCGGTTTTTGTAAATGACAATACTTTGGTAGAATCCGCCATTTTGTTTTTGTTCATTATGAAATTTTCAAATATTCCACGGTATACTATAGCCCTTTAACTATGAAACGACGACAAGAAATTCGAATTCGGTTGAGAAATGATGAAACCACGAGGAAAATAAAAACTTCCGTTTTTTTTGTGACCACCCGATATATACATGTAATTGATATTCGATGAAAAAAATGCAGATTTTACTTAATTCAATAAATGAATAAATAAAAAAAAATTTAAGTGATTTTTAGAGATGATACACAGCATCTTGACAAGTATCACAAGGTCGTTTTATTCCTTTTTCGTTTCAAACACTCTACTTCAAGATACCATTGGATTATACTATAGTGTATCAAAAAAATTTTGAAACAATAATCAATAATAACAAGAGTCGACTGCTAGAAGAAGTCTCTCTCAACCATGCGCTAGAGGTAATTCCAATTTTAAAGATAATAATCCCAAATTGAGCTTGTCATAACCAGCCCGAATAAGAATCAAAGATCGTTTACCTGGTTCCTCTTATCGTCGATGGGCTTCGAAGCGTAATGCTCGCGTCCAATCAGCTGATCAGCCAGCGTCTGCAAAGTAGCGATCTTCTCCTCGTGCGCATTAATAGCCTTGTCAAAGTCCTCGTGCTTCTTGATCAGCGCCTCCACGTTGTCCCCATTCGAATCCACCTCGTCCGAAGCCAAAAACGCTTCTCTATCAGACATCCAGTTCTCGGCTTGCTCGCAATCGCGGTAGAACAGGTTGAGCTCGAGGTTCTGGTCCAGCTGCAGACGTCTGTCGATCCAGGCCCTTTCCAGGTCGGCCCTGGCGTTGTTCAGCTGCTCCAGCTTCTCCTGGATCTCGGGACTGGCGTAGTGGTTGGAGTTGAGGAGTTGCTGGCCGAATTGCTCCAAGGCGTGGAAAGTGCCTGCTCTGGCGTCGATCTCCGTGCGGTGTTCCTGCGTGGGAGAATTTTGGATGGGGTCAGCCGATGGGGCGATTATTTGAAGGATTCAAGGACCCGTATTTATAGTCGCTTCTTAAGGTGACCTCGTCCCTTATGGCATCCTTAAAGACCAGTTTCCAATTTATAGTCGTAATATGAGCTCTGAGGAAGCCTCAAGGAAATGTCAATTCCAAGGAAGGTAAGGAGGTACCGTGAGCATTCCTTGATTCAATTTCTAGTATTATTTCAGGTTATGTTATGAATTTCATGAAAGGAATGATGAAATGTCAATGTGGTAATCAAATGAATATTCAAGTCTGAAAAATTTGTACAGAGAATCTGTTTCGAGTATATATTGATTTCCAGTAGAAGCTGATTCAAGTATGGTTGAAAAGTAAATCCATGAATCTTTTATTTCGAATAATAGGTATTTATTACAAATAATGGAAACTACATATTTTCATTACATATAGATAGGTATCATCTTGATGATTTGTTCGTGGAATTGAAATTCATACATTTTCAATGAACAACCACACAAAATCACAGATACATTCGAAGTATTCAATCAAATGGATATTCTTTCTCTCCCCGGCATATTATTTCATTGCAGCTCGAAATAATCCGTATTTAATAGAGTAAACATTTTTGTATTGTAATTTTCCAACATCATCATCCATAATCTCTTCGACCCCATCTTCATTTTGCGGAAACTTGCTGCTAGGCCCAATTTGAACCAACCTTTGAAGATTATTAATGGATTATTGGAATCTTTCGATGTGTGGTCCACACTCCACAGTGAACAATAAACATTTTCAAATTTGACATTTTACATTTTGTGATAAACACGTGACTTGAAACAACAAATTTGGTCACAGAACACTAAAATTATACACTGTTGCCAAGTGTGAGGATTCCTTCTAGAAGGAATACTCAAGGGAGGTCTATAAAACTAGTTTAACGTCAAGTGCTGAGGAGTCCTCAGATAAGGAAGACTTGAGGAGTTCTTGAGAAAACGACTATAAATACGGGCCTTAGTGGTTTGTTATGATTGCAATTTTCAAGTACTGGCATGAAAATGTGATAGTAGGGACCATTCAGGACCTCGCTTCGCTCAAGTGAAATGCTAATTAAATAACAATTCAAGACCACAGGGGAAAAGGGAAATGTCACAAAAAGTAAGTTTCGAGAAAAACGCATTTCAAAGTTTAAAACCTCCTTACTTTTTGGAAAGTGGAGGAAATTGAAATCAATCAACCTGAATTCATTTGATGGAGTATAATGAGCAATAAAGTTGAACAACTAGAAATAAAATTCATATTTGAAAGGAAAAACCATCCACAACAAAAAATAAGTTCAAAGATTCAAGGGAAAAATGTGGAATGTCCAAATAAATCGTCAAAAAACTGGATTGTTGTTGTTGTTTACACTGAACAAAAGCGATCAGCGTGAATTAAAACACCATTTACTGAAAGGAAGAATCAACTAGCAGTGGCATAGTGTCATGGGGTGACGTTCGATTTTTGAAATTGTCATTTTAAGCGCAAGCGTCGTTACAACTCACTTACTGATGCAATTATTTGTTATCCTTTACAATGTTGTCGTGTTTCTGCGATTATTACAAGTAGTCCATATGAGCGAAGCGAGAGCCCTGATTTGTCTAAGGATGGTAGTAACGTTTGAGTTGAGCTGGACTGCATTAGAAATAGAAATCATTTCACCAAAGGTCAGAAAATGATTAGATACTATCCAAAACTCCGATGATTAATTGAGACTTTATAGTTCAAGAGCTGGCTGCAAATGTCGATCGTCATCTGATAACGAAATGACATAAATGTCCCACAGACATGTGAACACATCGTATTATATAAAATTATTCCGTTGTAGAATACTGATTGTTTGCCAATAATAGAGTTATATGGGTTTGCTATTAATGAATTCAACTGTCTGGTTGCATGAATATAAATTGTATTCACTTCAGTAGAGTTCAAGTTGGATTTTTTTTCTCACAAAATGAATGAAAGAACTATCATTTTGTCCAGGATAGTGATTGGCACAGCTGCCTTTCGATATAAAACGATGTTTTTACATCCCTTTTGGAACATAACATTTCATTATCAGAGGACGGTCGAAATTTAGGGTTTGAAGAAATCACCAAAACTGAAAGAGCTATATCTTTATTTCTACCAGAAATGTGAAACTTAGATTTTCTGTAACAAGAAATTATTCGTTTTTTTTTTTCGTATAGGCACTAAGCCCTCGTGAACAGGTGTTTCACTACTAAGGTAGTTTTCCTTTTGTATCAACTAGTTCAAGAGAAAATTTCTTTACACCAAAATCAGCTGATTGAGAAAATAAAACACATAATGAATGAATTATATTCCTCAGTCTTCCTTGTTGCATGGGAAATAGACACAACCAAAAAAAGAAACAGAAAATACTTTGCAAACATATTCTCATCTATTGAATGTGAAATGAATGATAGTCTACCAAACATTTTATATCAATCTGGTAGCTAGATCTTTTGATCATCATTGATATGATTGATTGGAATTATTATTATATTTTCTATAAAAAAAACAACTCTATTGTATATTTCAATAGATAACCTAGGTAGGTGATAAAGAAGTAAAGAATATTCTTCGTTTTGGATAATTTCACAACTAATTATGTTAATAACTTCAACTTTCATAGAAATATTCCTTAAATATGTTATGTTTTTGAAGCGCCAATTAGAAACCAGAAGTCCCTAAACCGTTACCATTATTATAAATCAAATAAGCATGAGAAAATTCGAATTCAGTTAGTAAAATTAAAACATTAGGCGCCATTAAACTACCTGTGGTACACGTGCGCCATACATCGCGTCTATTTCAGCCTTGTAGTTCTAAAAACCCAGTAAATTTGTCAAAATCAAAGTCATAAAAAATTAGTCTACAACTATAACTTTCTAAAAAATAACTACTATTCATGATTATTTTAGATTATCCTATAGGCCCTAGGATATGAAGAAAAAATATGTTGGCATGAAAAAATGCCATTGCCTAAGAAGTTACATATATCTCAACCTATTAGAAAAAAAAAAATCAAAAGTAAAAAAAATCTACTAAAAAGCTTTTAGTCAAAAGCTCTAGAAAAAAATAAAATGGAATGTTCCTTTATAATTGCAACTATCAACTTATAACCTCATTATACACATTTTATATTATCATTAAAGCTTGTCACAGGATCTGCTTGTGTGACTAAACTAGAACTATTTTAATTTTGTAAAATCTGCTGTTTAAATTTTTGAAATTCCCATTCAATTCAATATCGCAACAAGCTTTAATGATAATATAAATTGTGTATAATGAAGTTATAAGTTGATAGGTGAAATTATTATAAATGAACATTTCATTTTATTCTTTTTAGAGCGTTTAAATAATTCCAATTCAAGAGAAAAACCACTACCTATCGACCGAGAGGTGAGTGGCAATCGTCCATGGAAATATCTTTAAAATAGAGCCAGATCGCCAACTTTTCTACGGTGTTCCAGAGAAGTGAGTGAGTTTGTGAGCGAGACATCATCCACGAGACGAATTGCCCTTTTTTGGACAGAATCCAACAGTTTCAGGGTATGTTTGGTTGCTGCACTCCAAATATAGGAACAGTATTCCAGGACAGGTCGGATCTGTGCCTTATAGATCATTAGCAGCTGACTGGAAGTGAAATAGCTCCTGACCCGAAACAGAAAACCAAGTTTTGGGATGCACTTTCAGCAATTGATCTCACGTGATTTTGCCAAGAAAGGTTATTGCTGATAGTAATACCAAGCATCAAAATGGATGTCTTCAAAGGTATGGTTACCCCTGATAAGCTTATGTTGGGCACAGTGAGATCGACTTTTCTAGAGAAAATGCATGCTTGTGTTTTGTTTGCATTGGAATCTACCAAGTTATTGAATCCCCATTCGAGAATTGAATAATTGTATACAATTCATCACCATAAATTGAAAAATATACATGATGCAAGAAGATTTAAAATTAATCTTCAAAAATATCTGCTCTGCACAATTTGATTGAGAAATATGTGGCATAATAATATTATTACTCAGAAATGAGATATTATAACTTTCATCTTTGTACTCATGTATCCCTATCAAAAACAGAAATGTTTCTTGGGGTAATAAAGACAGATTTTAGAAAACTGTTGCGAAATACATGGTCTTTCAACAACTCTGAAACCGCCCCAACGCTAATCGCTAAAGAAACTGGCTGACTGACAGCAGGGCTATTGCTATATGCCTTTAGGAAACCACTCACTTCACGGTGTCTAATCTAATCTAAAACCATACAAAAAAAAATACATCGAACATAACCAACCTGGTGTCTTTCGATCAAAGCTTCGGCTCCGGTCACATCGTTGGCCAGCTCCTCGGAGCTGACCAATCCCAGCATGGAATTGATCCAGGCGAGCAGGTCGCGGTGGTCGTTGAGGAACCGCTGCAGATCGTACGAGTCCAGAAGCTTCTCCTTGCGGCTGTTGGCCTTGGCGGTGAGCTGCGTCCACATCTCATTGATTTCCTGTTGCTTGGTCAGCGTCTGCTCGGCCGTTTCCGGGTGCGAGGTCACCAGACGATTGGCGATTTCGTCCAATTGTTTTATCTGTGTTGGAAAGATATAGTTTTCATTACATTATATTATGTATATATGCAAGTGATATAGTACACAATTGGCGCAGTCGGTAGGACACGAGTATGAATCATTCCGGAACCTGAGCGATCTGCTACATTTTTACAGAGAGGCAATCATTGCATTCTGATATAAGTAGATCAATGAGGTATTTTCGATAAAAGCAGTACGTTTTCATTTCCATTTGCAGCAATCTCAAACAACATACAATATATATATATATATATATATTAGATCAATTGGCACAGTCGGTAGGACACGATTATGAATGTGTCCAGAATCTTGGAGATCGGCTATATTTTTGACTCCAGCAGCTTTTCCTTGCGGTTTTTTGCTTGATGAGCAGCATCTACATAATAATAATAATATTCATTCACGTTCATACATATATTACATTATATTATGCATATATGCAAGTGATATAGTCCACAATTGGCGCAGTCGGTAGGACACGAGTATGAATCATTCCGGAATCTAAGAGATCTGCTACATTTTTACAGAGAGGCAATCATTGCATTCTGATATAAGTAGATCAATGAGGTATTTTCAATAAAAGCAGTACGTTTTCATTTCCATTTGCAGCAATCTCAAACAACATACAATATATATATTTTAGATCAATTGGCACAGTCGGTAGGACACGATTATGAATCTATCCAGAATCTTGGAGATCGGCTATATTTTTGACTCCAGCAGCTTTTCCTTGCGGTTTTTTGCCTTGATGAGCAGCATCTACATAATAATAATAATAATAATAATAATAATATTCATTCACGTTCATACATATAACATGTCATGGATGATTGATGGTAATAGATGAACTCGGTAATTTCCTGTTGTTTAGTGAGCGTTTGCTCGGCCGTCACCAAACGGTTGGCAATTTCGTCCAGTTGTTTTATCTGTGATGAAAGCGCTAAAAGAGATTGTGAAGTGCTCAGAATATATTTTTTTGATCATTGTATTTCGCATAATTGAATATAATGAGTTTGAGTAGAGTGTGTCTGTACTGGACCGAGCAAGCAGTCATCATTGATTTGAAGATTTGGTACAGTGTAATTGGTGAGAATAATACCAGTCAACAAATAATAGAGGTGATATATATCTACTTTGAGATTGGCGGTGAGAGCCATCAATATGAGTGTGGCATCAGTTGCTGAGTCAATTAATGTTCGAATATTCGAAAACAATTAACTCTCGTCCTCTCAGATCAATGTGAACCGATATATTCCATATTCGCGGCATTGAGAAACTATTTTACTACTATAACATGTTAACTAGATTAATCTTGTTTCTTTTCGCAAGTCTGCTCCCCTTGAGAAACTTGACAATGACGCCTAAATATCTAGACTGTCTGACGGGTTATACATGACTGTTCATTCAGCGAATATCGCCAAAATCGCCCTGTCATTCGAGTTTGGAGAGCTTTGTTCGGGATATTAAGAAAAAATGTGAAAAGGCCAACAAAATGAAGTGGTTTGGAGTGTTCATGCCAAATAACGCTATTATTATAACCCGTCAGTCTAGATATTTAGCTGTCATTGACCTTGCGATTCTCTGAGTGGCTGAGAGAATCTGGTGTGGATCAAACAGACTGTCCAAAATGCAAATGAGAGTAAGAATTTGTTGACTAATATACAGTGGTCTACAATGGTCGTTTGCTTTAGCGCCTTACGTAAATAGCGAATTGCTTTCTTCTGTAAAATGAAGACAGAATTCAACAGATTGACTACGAAAACCTCAGAAGGCTGTGCCATACCTGATATGAAAGTCTATAAGAGAAAAATACGTGTTTCTAGCAATAGCAGGTGCAATCTCATTTGATACAACTCTAGAGAGTCATGACGGTATCCTCTATTCATATATTTCAGTCAATCCTTGAAGTACAGAAGGACAAAAATGATTATGACATCAATGCTGACTTTTAACACTTTGCCACGCCAAATCATATCCCATAAGAAATGCTGCTTGTAAAGCGTGCTACTCTAGCATACACACGCCGAACGGCGAAACATTGATGCACGCCTATGTATACTAGAATATACATGTGGCGACCTGGGCCAAGCCACTGTGTATTATCAAAGATACACATGGCAGTTAATGGTGTTAAGATTACAATACTAAGGGCAAGCAATTAATAAGACCTGTTGAATTCAGATTGAAAAAATCCAACAAAAATTCTATTGATGATAGTGATTTCCTATATAAAGGAATTGGACAGCAATAGTTTCTATGTTGTATTGTATACTCTATATAATGAAGGAATACATAGCTTTCATGTTCCCTAGTTCTCATTGTGAATGTATGTGGTTGTGCTAATACATCAGCATATTACAATATTATCTGTATTTACCCCTCTACTCGGTTTTTTTCCTTTTTAACAGCCATTAGTTCAGAATTAGTAACTTGACATACCAATTCATCTTATTTGTATTCTGTTCTATCTAAACTATCTGCCTATCTAACATACCTTGTCGCCCAACGCCGCCAGATCCCTCTCCAGCCCCTCGTGCTTCCTTTGCAGCGCCTGCACGCTGCGCAGATCCTTGCCCAAATCCTCGTTGTTCAACGCCTCGTCCTTCTCGTTGATCCAGTCCTTGGTCTCGTCCACGTCCCGGTGGAAACGCTGCACCTCGTGCGCGGAGCCCAGCTGGCTGGCTCGCTCGCTGGTCAGCTGCTGCAGCCCCGTCCACTTCTGATTCAGATCCTGCATCTGCGTCTGGATCTTCAAGAAAAAAAAACGCGTATTCGAAGCATACAGGTATCCGAGACAAATCCTCTTTCAAAATATCCCTCAGGAAAAAACCTTCAGGAAATAACGTCACTGGAAAACTTCTCCTGTGGAAAAATCCCCTATATTCACATATTCATATATTCATATATTCATAGCTATTGAAGAACATTACATGATGGTGTACAATATTATTGTTATTATTACACTGTAAAAATCTGGACGCTTCACCTAAGCACAGAAATGCTCGTGTTGTGATTCGTCCATGAGTGTTACGGCGTATATCGGTCAGTTATCATTTCTTCTTAGCGACATACATTAATCGAGTAGCTATCATTTATTATTATGTAGCAATGAATAGTAGATTGGTGATGAATGTATCCTGTAACGATAAAAAAAAGAATTTTTTATAGGAAGTGATGGAAAATAATATGAAAGAATATCTCTAGAAAAATATTCCTCAAGGAAGAACATCCAGGAATCAGGTCAGGTAAGATTTACATTTGGTGAGAAATGAAGGATTCTCTAGACAGAAACTCATGACAACAAATACAATTTATTTTGAAATTTCAGTTCCAACCATAATAATCTATCATTTCAAATTATTTCAATAACTCAGATTTAATAACACATGAATAATCTCATACCAGATATTAATCTGTCTACTTATTCATGTTATTTCATTGTAAATCCTCATAAAATATATTAATATTTATATGAGATGCAATGATATGTTTATAACAGAGAATGAAATAATTATTATTATCATTATTATTAATATTACAAGTGATACAAACAATACAAAAAGAACTTGATACAGGAAATTATGTGATAGCAATTTTTATTGATCTCGAAAAGGAAATAGATGGATTGTTATTCTTTTTTTTTTTAATGATTTTTGTTCACCAATATGGAATGATTTATTCAATGTATTAAAATATTAAATTATTTATGAGTTTGTTACAATTGTATAGTTAGTTATTATTGTTAACTATACTTCCTCATACCAGAACTTGTCTCTGACTGAAAATCACATTTTCAATAAATAAAATAAACGAATCCAATCTCCAAATTATCCAATTCCAGTGTTTACAGAGAGATCCAACAGTGAACCCAAGACGGAAGTTTCCGGAAAACACACTATTGGCATGCTTAATCAATTATTCAGAAGACTGAAATTCCTTCAAAATTCTTGCCTCATAATAGAATTTTTTTCTTTTATTACACTAGCATTGGAAATCAACTCTATAACATGGAAAAAGTGTTTCTGATATGTCTTGATATCTCAAATTTTCATAAAAACCCGTTTTTTAAGTTGGCTAATGCAATTATGCCCTCTAGCGGCTGTCCTGGAAGCTTGAAAATAATTTCCAGAGATTTTGCTTGGCCACTTTTATCATAAATATTTTTTTCCGAAACCTGTGCGGCAAATAGTTTCCGAGATACAGCCGGCGTCCTTTCTTACTGGTACACCCGGTACAGTTTAGGTAGGTCTTTGTGCGTTTTACCCGACGACCCTCTCCGAAAATCGGGTCGATTCTATTTGCAAATAGCAATATGGTTGTAGAGAAGATATTGCTATCATAGCAAGATTCGAAAAAGTGGAATTCTAATCGTCGATTTTTGGCCTTATGATCTGTCAATTTCAATGACATCTGGTCAGCTTTCTTGCTATCTCGGCAACATCAATTTTGTGCTTGCTATCTTATAACAAGGTAGTGGATTCTTTGTTTTTGCACAACAAATTCTTCCAACTGTATGAAAATTCAGAAAATAGTGGATTAATAACATATGAGAGTTCAGTTGTGTCACTGACTACTCGAAAACCTTTCCTCAAAGTTTCAATTCGTAGAAGAATTATTGAAAAACTTAGAATGGTGATTACAAACATATTATGTTCATTACCGTGACCAACTACTTGAAAACCTTTTCTTGAAGTTCCAATTTGTAGAGGAGAAATAAGACTATACAATTTCGGCATATCAGAGAAATTTCAGTTGCCTGATGGATAGTTTATCCATTGTGCTAGAATATTTAATAAAAAATCACGATTTGTTTCATCCGGCTTTTAGTTGTTTTCTCATTTCGGGGACATGATTGATTACTTGCACCAGTCGCACAACGACGACCAGATTCAGCAAATACAAAATCTCTCGATTTAAACAATATAATTTTGTAAAATGTCAGTACAGGAATGACTAATTTGAGAGGTTAGATAATCATGAACTCTTCTTCTTCTTCAAGAAATAACTGCAAAATCGATATCTAACACCTAAACAATGAGTTGAAAACAGTGTTGTCAGCTCAAAAATTCTCAATTTTTCAACAATATTGCTATCACTTGAACTTATAACCAGTCTTGCAATTACTCTGCAAACAGAATGCAGAACCAAATAGCAATATTGTTATATGTTATGATTATAACAATATTATTATCTTAGCAATGTTATAACAAGATCCAAACAGAATCGACCCGAATGGCTCTATCTATATTGTAAGTACTATTTAACAATTTTATAAATTGTATGTCGTATCTATACTTAATGATTCCTCTTCTATACGATGATAATCTAATAAATGTATCTATGTTTTGGATATGGTTTTTACTATTTCTCATACCCCTTAACTATTAGTGTCTTGAGTTAATATAATCTACCCTATCTGAGCTACCCTCAAAGATGATCCAGTGGTCTTATCCCATCAGGAAGCCAGGGATCGTGACAATATTATCGGTTTATTCGTACCTTGAGAGCAGCCTCGGTCTGCCCGAGCGACACCAGCTGCATAGCGATCTCGTTCATCTCGGCCAGCCGCACCTCGTTCGCCTTCAGATCGGTCTGGAAGTCGTCGAACTTCTTCTGCAGCACCTCGACCTGCTCCAGGTCTTCGCCCACGTCCTGCACCTCGGCGTGCATCTCCTTGTCCTTGAAACAATCAATCAATCAATCGAAACTGAGCTTTATTGTCCAAGAATCATTTTTCCCAAGAGCGATTCAAAATAAGCGAGACGCCCACTTACGGATATTACAGTTACTAATAGAAAGTAACAGGGTCTTCACGTATATTTTGAACCCCCCTTAACTATTTTATTTATCATCGAATTTTCTTTCCAAAGAACAGTCTTTTATAATTTTTCCTGTAGATTTTGAATATGTTAACAGAAAAACAATTGAACATCTCAAAAAAAAGTTATGGACAAGATGTATAAATTATTTGAATGGAGCACCCTGTATTTTATTGCATTTTTAGATCCTCCCTGAAGAGCTGATTTCATCAATCTATCACAGTTGGGGGTCTAGCTGAAATGATTACAGAGATATAGGGTGTGAAAAAATGAGATTATTTCAACTTTCGGAATTTTTTGTGTCGAAACTATTTGGCCATGTCTCTATATTAACTTTTGATCTATTATCTACTGTCATTTGATTGAAACGAATACAGGGTGGTTCAAATTTCGGAATTCTGATCACCCTGTATGTAACTGTCTCTCCTCTTTTTATATGTCTATGGGAAAGGCTCTTTATTATTGTTCGGTTTCCCATGTTGTCATTGTGAATTTTCTTACTGTATTTCACAGAAAATGATACATAAATCGGTGTATCTAAAATATTTTTACTTTGAATTTCAGTGGTAATTTATTCCCAAAAGTGGGAAGCGCCAAAAGAAGTCTGGAAAATGTAATATGATTCCACAGAATTATCTCCACCATTCGCGATTTCATTCATTTATCCATGTTTGTCATTCTGGCTTGTTGACGTACACTCTCCAATGATTGATGAATGAATGGAGGTGTCTGTGTCTATCTATTGTTATTCAGTCCGAGATGCTATATTATTTACCTTATAAGTGCGGAAAGTAGTGATTTTCCACACACAACGACAGTTGCAAGAATGACGCGGAGCGGAGTTTGGGCAAGCCGTTAGGTACAATGTTTTTCCTGTGAGTGTTTTGTCCTTTTTGTTTATTAAAATGAAAGGTTTCAACAAACAAGATTATATAATAATGCTAACAAATGACACATAAGAGGGAATGGTTACATAGATCTATTGATCAGTTCTAAATATTCGCGATAGAAGATAAGCATACGCCACCTATCGGAGTTCTTGAAAGCTGTCAAAGCGGCATGTTTACTTTATTTTCATTGGCTCACATTTGTTTTTTGTTTGTGCTTATTGATCATTTCATCAAAACAAACCGCTCAGAAGTGTTCAAGTTGCTGCCGTCAGGTGGGGCGACGTGTTATTTTCTATCGCGAATCCTCATTCTCAACAATACAAAAATCATTTCCAGCACTATTGCGGTAAAGTAATTTTTCCGCGAGATTTCAACGATTTATCGTGCGGTGAAGTGAAAAGCCTACGGATAAGTACAACTTTCTAAAAGAGAACCCGTGTGAGAAGGTTAAATTTCAGCACTAGTGAGGTAATGTGACTTTTCCGTAAGATTTCATCGATTTATCGTGCGGAAAAGTAAAAACCGTGCGGAAAAGTAAAATCGTACGAAAAAGTACCACTGTCGACACGACAATCGTGCGGAAGAGTCGTAGGAAATAGTAGATTGTTTTATTAGGATCAAAAGTGACACTTTGTTTGACAAGCGAATTTTGCATTTGCGAGGCGGAGCGTTTAGCGAAGCCGAGCGAAAGCAAAATTTGCGAGTCGAACAAAGTCACTTTTGATCCGAATGAAACATGCTATTTTTTCTGCAACCGAAACAATTAACTCAAATAAACATGTGAAGTAACCACCAATGCCGTGCAATATGTATGCAATGCAACAAATATTGACAAATAATCCATGTGGTGAGAATATTCTACCTGCATTAACAGCAGGTTAGGTTTTCAAGGATGTTCGAATTGTAGTTTCAATATAAATACAACCACAGAGTGACATATTTGTGTATGGACCAGGTGCTCTAATGGCAAATACCGCGCCAGTGCCAGCTTAGGAACAAGACGTGGAAAATGTTAGGTTAGTGAGCATATCAACAATGATAATAGTGATTATTTATTCCTCTCCATACTACACTGCGTTTGACTTGATAATCAAATGAAGCTAAACAATATTGTTGTTTGAGACAAAAAACTATTGCTTGCCGTGATTATTCAAAAACAAGTTATCCATCCCGAGAATAACGAATGAAATACAGATCAAGCAAGTATTTGAATCTTGAAGGCTTCCCTGATCAAACAAAAATACTTAGCTGAGATGTTTATAATTCCAACACCAAACTATAATAAGGTGTATTCATATCTCCAGCATGGGTATGAAATGTCAAATCTGCTGAAATCGCGGAAACAAATCAGGTATGCGTCTCAACCCAAATAACCAACCGTCCCAATGTTGTTTATTCTTGATGACGTCCAGTACATCCTTTTTAGTTCCTAGGAGCTAAATGTGTTGCCTAGCAACATACCTATTTTTGTGTCAGTAATAGAAACGTCAATTTAAGAGCTAATTTTGGTATCAAAATAGACGACTTTTGTGTCGGTTGCAGAAAAACATTTTTTTCAGTGACTTTACCTTGATCCAGCCGGCCAATTCGGCTGCCTCGCGCACCAGCACGTACGCCTTGACGGTCTCGTCGAGCTTGTTCCTTCGCTCGTTGGCCAGCGCCAGCAGCCGGTCGTACTGCTGGTTGATTTGGCTCTGGCGCGCCGAGATCGAGTTGTTGTCGAGCAGGTTCTGCTGCGAAGCGGTCAGGCCGGCCTCCACCTTTTTCACGTAGGCGGCCGGGACGAAGCCTTGGCGGTCGTGGATCTCCACCTTCCACCAGTCCTAAGAGGAGATTGAGAAAAAAATGAGAGCGAAATATCGATTTGAATGTTAAAAAAGCATTGGCCAGCGTCAGCCGGTTATTCTACTGGTTCATTTGGCTCTGGCACGCGGAGATAGAGTTTTTGTCCTTTTTCAAGTAGGCGGCCGGGACGAAAAGGTCCTAAGAAATTGAGAGAAAAATGAAAGACATCCGAGTTGTTATCAAGCTGGTTCTGCTGCGAGGCGGTCAGGTCGACTTATACCTTCTTCACGTAGGCGACGGGGACGAAGCCTTGGCGGTCGTGGATTTCCACTTTCCACTAATCCTAGAATGGGGAAGTTTTCTTCAGATGCATTTTCATAAAATTAGTTCGGAACTCCCCAGTTTCATGTCCACGATGTGCAGAATGGCGATAGATAAAGTCCAAGCAGTCATTTTAATTTTCAAAATAAAGCAATTTCCAATTTTCGGGGCGGCAAACTGTGACGTACATTCTGAATCTAATCTGAATTTAGCTGATGACGAAGAATATAGCTAGCGAATATCTAACGAATAAAAAAATAGAAAGACAACTTGGAGTCGTTGTTGATGTTTATATCATGAAAAATAGCGATGATCACCTAACCAACAAAACAACTATAAACTGTAGAAATAGGCTAACGAATAACTGGAGATCAGAAATCGACACAAGTAAAACTGGCAAACAGAAGCATACATAACCACTATATCAGATCAGCTGTCGGTGTGCCTGTTAGTATTTTGTGTCGTGTGGACGGGCTCACCTAGAAAATAGATCCGTTTTATGAAGGAACGAATTCATTTGCAAAATAATGACTGACAAGTTATCATTGTCATTTTGTAATATAACGAAAGAGAAAAATTATAGATTCTATCGCCAAATATCATAATGAACCTTTATTAGTAATAAACTTCAGATAGCAATAAAAGGTTATGAACATTATTCATAATACTCGACGAACTAGGACTAAAAAAACCTATTGCTGTTATGATATTGTTATAATTAATTCAAAGAATAAATTCCGGAATTCTAGACATATTGATGATGCCGACAACGTCGTATTGACAAACGGAATCGTATTTCCTCTCTGTGTGAATGTGGCTTTTCTAGGTAGTACCTCATAGGAATGGAGCAGAAGCCAAGTTCCTTTTTCATTTATTTTTTCTGAAGTGAAAGTTCAGTTCACGAAAAAAAACATATATTACAATTTGGCAAACTTCACACTCAGAAAAAACCTCAATATTGTGAACTTCCTCATTGAGAAATGGTTATACTCTGATTTTTTTGCTGTTAATTCTAGTAAGATTCAATATATCACGTTTTGCCAAAGAGGTATAGAAAATATTGACCTGAATAGTCAAATGAGAAATGAACAACCTCCTCAAAGGGAGATACCATTCATTATTGGTGCTATAGATGTCCTGAATTCAGTGAACATACATCAAATTTCATCGTCTATTCACACATCCTCAGTTGACTAAACTATCTGATGAATATTTGGAGATCTTGTTCAAAAAATAGTTTCAACGAAATGTCTGTTCTATATGTATAAAAAGTCTTCCATATGATACTATAACTAATCTACTGTACGGTGCAAAGTTGAAGATCAAGTCGAGTAAATTTATAAGATTTAGACAAACCAAAACTTGCGATTAAACGCTACTCAACAATCTTAAGATCCCCCGGCAGAGCATCATTGGACAAGTACGATGACAAAACATACAGTTTTAGCAAGCCAGCTATCTACAGTAGGGTCCCTTGATGTAATTTGACGTATTTGTCATCTTAACAGGGTACGGACAGATCATAGCTCCTTTCTCTTTTAATCATCTAGTGACTTTGGTTTTGTGTATTGGCGTCCCTGACATGACGTTGCCGTCACGTCCATAGGCGTTAAAAGAAATTTCACAAAATTTTAATTAGTACTCAATCTTAATACGACATTGGTCAATTCTGTTTTGGAAGGATGGTAAGATGTGCTGCATTAGGCAATCAGTTGGTTGGCTAATTTTAAATTGATAGCTTTCCAACAAATGCAAATGAACTTAGAACATGGAAAGTGAAGAGACCAAATTTGGAAAATCGGTGAATACATCAGCAAAATATGCGAGGTAGGACTATGAAATAACGTATTATACTTTCTCATTGTGTCTAATTATCCACACCATTGACCAATGTCAATAGTTCGTGTTTATCGGAAATCGAGTCGAGAATAGTGGCTATATGACAGCTATACATAGGTTTAATAGTGTTATGTGATGGTGCTTACCTTGTTGTTGGAGTTCAGCAGATGTAGAAGGTCCCCTTTCTTCATAGACACCTCTCTGGCCGATTTTTCGGTGTAATCGTACAGAGCCTGGACGGTTTCTCTGCCTGTCACGTCGACAACTGGTGGTTCTTGTTGCTGAAAGGGAAGTTGTTTCATAAAGTGACAGATATCGAGCAAATGAAGTCAAATAAACGTGTAATTCTAAAACGACGTGGTAACAATGCAATCCTCGTTGTTTTGAATTTGATCTGACTACAGCTTCACTCAACTTTTTGAGTTATGTGTTTCTTTTGGGTCCTTGAAATTTTTGAATTTAGATTATATTTGGTGAGAAGGGTGAAACTGATTAGAGGAGGTTTCACCAGTGTTTATAACATTTGTGCTAACGAGCTATCAAATTCTTCCCAAACAACTCGCTAAAACAGAGAAAGGACCGACCGTTTAAAGTTCGATAACGTTTCCTGCGGTCGAATTCCCGATCCAAAACGAATTCTCTTCCAGTTGATCACTTTTTGTTTCTCTAGTAGAATAGTGCAATATGAAATTTAGAGTGCCAGAAGTGAAAAACCACGACAGCTCCGGAAGTCACAGCAAACCTCGTTTTTCTGAATTTGTTAATACTACAGCTCCACACAACTCTTTTTCTAAAGTTCTGTTCAATCATTGCAAAGAATTGCCTACTGCTTTAACCTCGATTTCTTTCTTTCGAGAGCTTTGAAACTTTGAATTTTATATCATCATATTTGATAAGGTTGGAAGTGGAACGATTCCTATGTGTGATGAATCTGAAGATTATGAAGGATGTCTCAATGAAGAAGGAGTTGTCTTATTTCTCGAAAGCTTCCAAATTATAAGAAAATAATGTGCATTTGTCTCTTCTTTCTTAGGATGGTAGTTTGTTATGTTTTGTTATGTTTATATTTTTGATACGGACTGACAAGTGACATAACCAAGTAACAAGACGAATTACCCAATGAGAATGTCTGTTCAAAGTGTAGGACGCGGTGTGACGAGCCTTGTATTCATTCGCCCAATGAAATGCCATTAATATTTCGCGCGCATTCGAGCTATCGTTTGAGGTTCAATTTAGTAATTTTTTACTGGGTCATCCACAATCGTGAAAAAAAAGAGAAATTGCTGTATTTACCCAATATGTGAAAAAAAAGTCAACAAATCATGGTGGAATTTCCTATTTTGTTAAAGTGAATAATTTGGTGTAAAGGTAATTTTCGAACACTTACACGGCAGCTTCGGGCTTGTTCTTTGAGAGCCTCGATGGTGTTGCCGAAGGCGGTCAAATCGCTCATCAGAGCCTCGTGCTTCTTCAGCAACGCCTCCGAGGAGTCCTCGTCTTTGCCGTAGTCAGGGTTGCTGACGATCGGTTCTTTCTCCTTCATCCAGGACTCGGCCTCGTTTGCGTCGGCGTAGTATTGATGTGCCTGAATGGAAATCATAAAATTATGCATCATAAGCCCTGTTCGATTGTCATGCTCACGTTCACAGAACTCAAAGACCTAGAAGGCTAATGCATGTGTGAGAAATCGCTGAAATCTGATACAACCAGTGTGTGTCAACATTGACAGTTCACAAAAATCATATTTAAAATTTTCGCGACAAAATTCATAGACTCACTGATATTAATTGAATGACTAACAACAGATCCATGAATTATTATGAACTTCTAATTTCTTACGAGTTCATTTGGCAACTGTGTAAGAATGTACCTCCGTCATTTTGTCTGACGTAGACTTAAGACAGAGCCAGATTAGTTCAAGTTTTTCAGTGTTTGCTTTGCGTTTAACGTCTTTCCGTTAGTGAATTTGAGATTATTGAAGAGTTTTGGTATTTAACTCCAGTTTGGATGGTTTATTGTAGTCATAGTGACAAGTACAGTACTTATTTGATTCGGCATTCATTGACTGATTTGTGTACAATGTTTTCAGAATGAATGATTTGGTGTCAAGAATTCCAGGAATGTCTTACTTCAGGTAAATTTATATCGTCAACAACCTTTGTTCTATTATATTTTTTTTTTCTATAGCAAAAATACAAAATGAATCTTGTTTTACTGTGTTCGATAAATCAATGAGGTACTTTGTATGCCATCAATGTTATTTCCGTATCTGATATCACGATGACTTTCATTGTGTTATTATTCCACAAAATCTCATCTCCTATGAAATGTCGAATTTCAAGCCGTGACAGCCCTGTCTAATAGAAGAACATTACTTAGGAGAAAATTCGATGAACTCGTAAAGGAAGACCCAAATCGAAACTCCAAAAGAGTGATTTTCAAAACTGAGCTTCAGAAGGATGTATCTCCCTTGAAGAGTTTTAAAAAAATGATGATATGCATGGTGAATTATTGCTAATATCGCCTGAATCACCCTGTATATCACCACGCCCATTTCAATCCAATGAACACTTTGAGAAATACCCCTCATGAACGTTCGGTTTCAAACCATTTAGCAACATTTCTTCAACGTCACTGTGCTCATTGGGAACGATATCGTATTTGTATATTAGAAGTTACTGAATAGACCCCTAAATCACTCGCCTGCAGGGAATCCTCGAGATCCTGCTTGCGCTGCGCCGCCCGCTCCCTGAGCGCCTCCCAATGTCCGCTCAGGGCGTCCACGCGGCTCCTGATCTCCTCGCTGGCGAAGTGCTCGTCCTCGGTCATCTGCCGGCCGGCGTCGAGGACGGCACGAATGCGCGCCTCGTGGTTGCCGATCTCCGCCGAGACGGCCTGGTGTTTCTTGATCAGGTTCTGCACGCCGATCAGGTCGCGACCTGAAAGAAAAACAGTAGATTTCAGATTTGGAATGGGGCCTTCGGGCTATCTGCCTCCACACTGCGACCTTTTCAGATCTATTGTGTCTGCCCTCAAAATCGATTAGAGTTCTTCGGCTAGCCCCGCCTTCTCTATGAGACTCCATAGGCTAACTTTCAGATCTCCTGTGTATCTCTGGGCTCCTGGTTTTTCCTCACCCAGCGTAAGGAACCTTAGTGTCAAGCCCTCACAGTGGCAAAGTATGTGTACTGCTGTTTCTTCCTCTTCTTGACAGAACATGTACAGCAGTTCTTCAGTCAGACCTATCATACTCATGTGTTTGTTGAGCCTACAATGCCTTGTGAAAAGTCCCACTAGTATTCTAGTTGAACTTCGTTGCTGGCTTAGTAGATATTCTGTGAATGTTGGCGATGGTTTTTTAAAAAACTCTTTAGCCTGTCTCATTCCTGGCGAGTTGTTCCACCATTCTTGAGATTTGGTTTGCATCCATGATTTGATACTAGTCTTTAGTATAGCTTTCGCAATACCACAGAAGGGTTCTGGCCCATTAAGAGCTTTGTTTGCTCCCGCTCGGGAAAAAAAAACAGAGTAACTTGCCAGCAAACCAAGGCCTATTAACTTCTATAAGGTAACCTCATAGTATAGCATTAGGGTGCGGGGGTGCGCGGAGAGAGGGAATGATCTGTGACGTCACTGTTTCCCGCCGTGAGATTGCTTTCGTATTTTGTCACTGTCAAATGGTTTGAAAAAAAAAATTTAATTTGAATTCGGAAGATAAGCGAATTTTAGACTTTAGTTGAAAACGTGGTGACAAGTAGACTGAAGATACCTTTGAAAGAGGGTGAGAGGCTATGGTGTATTATTCAAAGCTGTGTGGAGTCAAGAGTGGATATAGAATAAACAAATGTTATAAAGAGCCTGTGTTTACAATCATCTGCTCTTGATGAGCTGTGGAAATGTGAATGTTCCTGTGAAGCAGGCATGTCATGGTTCTGTAAACACATTTCATAGGGACTTATATTGACAGGTAGGAAGGTGCACTTTTGATCTATCACACACAGGTAAAAAATAAATGGAATTTCAGGAATGAAGACTTGGAATATGTGAAGCTGCATATATAACACACACAGAATTGGTGAAAAGATAATAATAAGACTAGATCAATCAAAGATCTATTATACAGCAAAACCATTTCAATAGTTCTGATATCCACTTCTTAAAAGAAGGAAAGCGACCCCCTAACGAACAGTACCTACCTACACCTAGGGTCCCTTGATGGAAATTGACGTTGAAGTCATCTTAACAGGGTACGGACAGATCCTCGTCTCCTCTCACTTTAAAGAGTTTGTGAAACAGTTATATAGTTCCATCCTTATTCAATTCTGGGGATAAACACTAGATTTTTGATATTCGTTGTTTTTTGGGTTATATTGAGGTCACTGGCGTATCATAAGTAATTTCCATATGAAATTCCTGATTCAACTATACCAAGATATAGATGAACAATTCTCCAGTTTTAGACTTTACTACTCCAGCATAATCTTTGCGAGGTAGGGAACATATAAATTGTGCTGAAAGCTTGATATATTTCACCAAAAGAGACTGTTCTTAGACTGTATATACCAGGGTTGACTGAATTGACTGAACGAATTCTGATTTCAAGCTGAGCAGAAGTTTATCAATGACCTGAATGAGCTGAGCCTTATGATAGAGAAATGGTGGAAACCTCGATGTGAGTATCTGAACTACTGTACTCATGTCATGTGTGCTGAATATATTTTCGGAAATCCAATTCGGAGAAGAATTTATGGAGTGACTTATATCACACTATGTATAAAACTTCGTCTGGGAAGAAAAGTAGGCAAATGAAAAGTAATACGTAAAATGTGCAGGAAAATAAAGAATAGAATATACTATACCACCATGTTATACATATGAGTTTTCCGTCTCCCTGCTTGAAAAAATGTCATTGTCGAATAATTTATTGATGAAAGTTACAAAGAAGTAGGTATACGCAGTATAACTTATTGACACGTTATTTCCACTCTTGCATCCTACATATTTTCTATTTGTGGTAGAGTAATAATTATATAAGCTAATGTCTTTCGCCATATTGGATACGTCATCTTGAATTTCCAAATTTTGACGAAACAATCATTATCTTCTACCCCGAAAACCCCCAGATACCAATTTTGAATAGAATCGGATCTTCATTACAAAACTCGTCCAACATATTGGATCTGCCATCTTGAATATCCCAATTTTGACGAAATAATTATAATCTCCGACCCCGGAAATCCCCAGATATCAATTTTGATTTTTGAATAGAATCGTATAATAATTATAAAATTTGTTCGCCATATTGGATCCGTCATCTTGAATTTCCCAATTTAGATAAACAATCATGAAGTTCGACCCCGAAAACCCTCAGATACCAATCCTAAATAGAATCATATCATAATTAGAAATTTCTTTCGCTATATATTGGATCCGACATCTTGAATTTTCCAAGTTTGACGAAACAATCATTATCTCCAACCCCGGAAAACTACAGACACCTTCCAATTTTGAATAGAATCGGATCATAATTACAAAACTCGTTCGCCATATGATCTTCCTCAACAAGTAAATACCCTGTACATACCTATTTTTAAAAATTTTAATGATTTTCTGTAGCGCCCATGGATGTGACGTGGCAGCAATGTCAGGGATGCCAGTAGACAAAACTAAAGTCTCTAGATCATTGAAAAAGAATGCAGCTATGATCTGTCCGTACCCTGTTAAGATGACTTCAACGTCAATTTCCATCAAGACACCCTACCTACACCTACATGCAGGGTCACGTAGTAAAAATGGAAATCAATGGGAAAATCATTCTCCTTGATAAATTGATTGATGATAAAATGCATATACAAAAAATTTCACTCAATGTGAACATTTTGTATTTGAAATATTTATGAAAAAGCTACCAATTAATCGACAACCATGATATCATTCAAAATAATCAAGGATACCCAAGGAACAGAACAAATGAGGGTTGACAGTAAACATTAAGACAGTTTGGTGACATCAACTTCTCATCTAATGATCTTTTAGCATGTTAAAAATATGGTTTGCGAAATTTTAGAGTTAAACTGAGTATCGTTGCAACAAACATAAAGTTTGTGATTCCCTAAAAAAATCAAAATCCAAGTTGATTGCACAAATATGCTTGAATGAACGAAGGTATGCTCAACTGATTTTGTTATGATTCACTTATAGAAGTGTTCAGGGTGAATATAAAAAAAACTACAAGTTTAGAAATTATTAACGAAAAGAATTGAAAAACTAAAAAAATGTCTCGAGAGGCCATGTTCTGGTATTTGGGCATAATTTTCAATTGTAAACAACTCATCTCAATAACATTTTGCTGAATTTTCTGAAAGAGGGGTACCTTACTCTTGAGCAATTTTTATATTTTTTGACCTACCCTGAATGCTGTTTGACTTGCAACCATGCTGAGTGCACCTAAAATGATTACAGAACATGCACCAAGTTTCGACACTATCTGTATTTTGGTTGTGCGATTCATTAAAAAGATTCCCATATGTTGCACACTTAAATGACCACACTGTATATATTTCATCAATATTAAAATTTGTATTTCTTTGTGAGTTTGTAGGAATTTAAAATGTACGTATTTTTCCTTTTTTTCTCAAGTTCGAATCATTCTTTACAGCATGCAGGTAAAACTAAGAACATTCATCAGAAGGATACCTCCCCGACTTACCTCTGTTGGTGCTAGCGGCGATCGGTTCCTTCTCACGTACCCACGCCTCCTCGTCCTCCACATCTCTGAACAGCTGCTGCACCTGCAGCGAGTCGAGCAGCCGCTGTTTGCGCACCGCCATCGGCGTCTGCAGCGCCGCGTACCGGTCGGTCAGCACTTTCTGCTTGTGCGCGATGTTGTCGGCGTCGAAATGGCCGCGCTCGACGAACTGCGTCGCCGCCGAAGTAATACTCTCGATCCTAAGACACAAAGTGGATAGCTGATACAACTCGAAGGACCATGTAATTACCACTCTTTATAATGAAATAGTATTCCTAGTTTTTCTCACTTTTTATTGACGATCCATTTCTGTTATTAAGAATAACAATAGACAATCGAAATTAAACAATAACTAACAGATATTTCTTCAACACTAAAGTATACGGTTTTGATGGCCGCTTTACAGTGGTGAACAATCCGCCAAATTCAATTCCAGACTTTTTTCCTTGCTGAAGACTAGTGTCATGTATAGTCTTTGCAAAGTCTGAGAATCTGCCGCCACCAACAGCGGAGAATAATATTATTTTGTTTCGGTACCACGAATAAAAGCTGTTATCAAAAGAGTCTTAGATTGTTCATACGGAAACGGTTGAGATTACATATATCTCCGTTTTTGAACATAAGAGGTTAGAGGAATGAAAAATTGAACTGCAGAACACGGAATATTGGGAAGTTTCCAAATCACCCATGAGGTATCACCACAGCCCTACATTGTTTTTGGTGAGTTTTCTCCCATAAGTAATCTCAACCAGAGGTATATATATAAATATATATATATAAGAAAACTAATGTAATGTAATTCTTCCTACTGGTCAGCAACGACTTCCCTTCTATATATATATATATATATAATAGCCGGCTTCTCCGACACCATAAAGTATATGGCGTCGATGGCCGCTTTGCACTAGTACACAACCTGCCAAATTCAGTTTAGGAATAATATTTTCCTCGCTGAAGATGAACCTATTGAGTCTTTGTTAATCTTTCGAGAATCTGCCGCTAACAAATTTTGTTGCAGTATAGCGACTAAAAGCTGCTTTCAAATTATAGATAGTTCATACGGAAACGGTTGAGCTTACCAAAAATGAAGAATTTTGTAACATGAGAAGTGAGAGAAATGAAAAATTTGAGATCTTGGAAGATCTGCAGTACACGGAATATTGGCGAGTTTCCAGATCACCCATGAGGTATTACCACGACCCTTCATTTTTATTAGAGAATGTCCGCCAATAGGTAATCTCAAATAGATGTACATACCTATAAAAACCGCCTTCTCGGTAATCTTATTAACAATCAGAGAGGGATTCGATTCTAGATTCTGTATTTTCGTGATCCATGAACAAATCACGGTGTGTATCAGGGTTGCGACAATTTGATTTTTTTTTTATTTGAATTTAATGAAGATTGTTTATTCAAAACTAAGTGTTTACATACTTACATTATGTAAGTGTAAAACCACAACTAATTATCATCAGTCCAAAGTAAATATTCATTCAACCACACCTTATAAAGACGAACGATTTTTTTTTGTTATGACATGAAAACGGCGATACGCTATCAAAAATTTTCATGTCAACACAATTTATTTTTGTATGTTGCTGAAGAGATTTCTCAACTGTAATTCTAGGTAACAAATATTTTAGGGCATGTTGAAAAAACTGTGAAAATTAGAAAAATTCAGTATAAGTAAATACAATATATGACAAGCCTCAGAAAGGTGAAAATGAGATATTTGACTCTGAATGTTAAAAAAATAATATATTATATTAAATCTAGTAAGAAATTTATTTTTTTTAGTCTACAGTGTGTCCCACTTACCATGCTCACCATGGGTATCTTTTTAACGGTGAGAGATACGAGGTCGGTTAAATGACACCAAATGTGGAGTTTGTCAAGACCAACTTAAATGTGAAGAAATATTTTGATCATTTTCATGTCTCCTCCGTAACTTCTTTATTTATGAAAATATTCAAATAGGAATTTCACATTCTCATGGCAGTTTTTCAAAGTGATTTCGAAAAAATATGAAATTTATACCAACTCTTCTAGAATTTGAGATATCAGCACCAACTTTAGTTTTTCGAATGTAGGTCATAGCTCACTATGACTTAGTTACAAATAACTTTTTTTCTCTTTCAGATGATGTGTCGCAGTAATAGTTTTGTGTTGATAACAACGGAGTTATCGTCATTTATACAAAAACAAAAAATTATTTGGAAGCCGCCATCTTGAATTTATGAATTTAACAAAAAAATCATGATCTCCGACCTCAAAAACCCCCACTTACCAATCTTGAATGGAATCGGACCAAATCTTGTCCTCCATCTTGGAGCAGCCATTTTTTTTAATTTCAACAAAAATTCCATAACTCCGATTAACTTGGAATTTGGCAGGTGTTCATAATTTCGGTGACAATACATTATGTTACTAAAATCATTGCAGACAAAATGTTCCTCACAAGCTTCATACTTGTTCCTAATTTGCTTTGAATTTTTTGTTGCATATACACATCTTCCAAGTCCTGCGCCGCGTGTATACTTCTGGCACACACACTGAACACACATGCGCACTAATATTTTTTGTCAAAAATTCCATTTATTATTTCAATTGAGTGATCCAAAGATAATTGTGAGAAAAAATTATCGTAACCTTGCACTGACTCGACTGGAGTCAGTCCGAAATCTTACCTGTCTTGATGAGCGCTGACGTCGGCCTCCAACAGCGCGTGCTTCTTCTGCAAGTTCTGCACCGAGGTGAGGTCCTTGCCGTAGTCCTCGGACATCAGCTGGCCCTCGATCTCGCTCAGCCACAGCTCGACGTCCTCGATGGTCCTGTTGAACTGCTGCTGCTGGCTGGCCTCCTGCAGCTTCGAGTTCTTCTTGTCGGTGGCTCGGACGAGGCTCTCCCACAGGTCGACGATCTCCTCCATGCGCGACTGGATGCGGGCTGAGAACAGGGCAACTTTATTGTCTGAAGAGCATTTTTTTATTTTATGTTCTGGTTCCCACGAAAAGGGATATCCTGTATCATTCAAACATAAAATTCACAATGGAAATAGAAACAGAAAAGTCGATCAATTTCTAAGATTTGACAATAAGTAAAATTAATAATAAACATGATTTTTCAATTTTTCATAAACCTTCCCACACTGATATCACTTTTCACAATAATTCAACACACCCTTATCAACATAAAATTGCAGCATATAATAGTATGATACACAGGCTAGTGAATGTCCCTCTTTCGGAAGTAAATTTCAATAAAGAACTCAATATTGTCATGTAGTAAATCTTAATCAATTTTTCATCCATCTGAATTCGAACATTAACATTCATTTCAAATTCAATGTATTGCATGACAGTCATACCTAGACAGGAACTAAAGTTTCCTAATACAACTAATACTTCCATAACCTGTATGAACTCAGATTGAACGTAAAATACGTTGATTCTAAAACTGCTGAGGTATATAAATTAATATACCATCAGAGAGGGAAATATTGGTTGGAGTAGTTTGATTATGAAAAATAGGAAGTCAGTCTACTTCGGGCGTAGAGCAGGAAAGGTTCCCTGAGCCCATTGAAGATGGTTCCCCTGGTATCCAAATTGTGAGTAGGTACTGTTATAATTGTTTTAGTGAATAAACATGTTTCTTTTATGTTTTTAAATACTCTCTTCATTTCTTTGTGTTCCACAATTCAACAACAACCCTCTCAAAGCCAAGCGAGTAAGTAAATTAAGTCTATGGAATAAGTACCCTCAAGCGGGGTATAATATTTCGAAAAGGTCGTCATAAATACCTACACGACAATATCATAAAACAGATTGCAGTCAACAACGGATGCAATGTTAATTTGATAGACAGTATTCTTTCTAAAAAACTTCATAATAAAGCTATTCAAGAATAATAATCAAAATTATAGAACTTTAACCTATTATATTAAACTTAGCTTCATTTCTACATAAACAGGACTGAAAAGTAGCATATAGAACAAATATCACATCAAAACTTCTAAATTCGAGAACTCAGGAGTATATATCGGTCAGACAGGTCGTACGTTTAATCAGCACATTCATAAACATAAGAATTTTTTGAAAAAGAAAACAAATTCAACATACGCCAACCATATATTAGAAGAAAACCATAGTTTTGATGATAATTTCGAAATTCTATATGTAGAAAATAAAGGAATGAAACTCAATCATTTTGAATCATTAGAAATTCTGACATTGACATTTTACTTAACGATCAATTAGACCTCAATAGTTCACCACTGTTGAATTTGTTTTCTTAGTAGGTAATAATATTTATTTGCTATCAACCCTTTCAAGTTAATCCGGAATACCGTAATTTAATGTAGATATTGTGCCTAATTTCCGAAAATGAAAGTTTATCGATCCTGTCCACAGGTAACTAATCCTTCAAGTTGGGAAAGTAGGATATATGAGAGTTAAGCAAGCCAACGTTGGTTTAGTTCACTGTACCAGTATATCACCTGACGAAGCTACTGTGTTAGTGAAACATGTTGTGTGTTCAAGAATTTTGTGGAAATCTTATAGTATGTGAAGTTTTTACATACAGGGTGATTCAAAAGTAAGCGGCATCCTTTCAGAGGCGTATTCCTTGCATGAAAATAAGGCAAAAAGTTCCTATTGATAAGGATCCGAAAATGCTTCCTAAGGGAGCTACGGCCCTTTGAATAGGACACCTCAAAGACGGTTTTTTCTCTATAACTTTAAAATCCTTCACAACAAATTTTTAAAAATTGGTGTACGGCATAAACATTCGATGGTAAATAGGACTCCGTATTCGAAATAATTTCCAAACGAAATCACAGTAACCTGAATATCCGGAGAAGAAGGGATATTTTTACACTTACCCTCTCCCGCATGTGACGCCCCTGAATGAAATTCTGAAATTTCGAATACGGAGTCCTATTTACCATCGAATGTTTATGCCGTACACCAATTTTTAAAAATTTGTTGTGAAGGATTTTAAAGTTATAGAGAAAAAACCGTCTTTGAGGTGTTCTATTCAAAGGGCCGTAGCTCCCTTAGGAAGCATTTTCGGATCCTTATCAATAGGAACTTTTTGCCTTATTTTCAAGCAAGGAATACGCCTCTGAAAGGATGCCGCTTACTTTTGAATCACCCTGTATACTATTTCTTCCTGTGAAACTTACGAGCAGCATAGTGGTCGGCCTCGATGAGCTCCTGCCCGGTCGAAGTGATGTCCTCCATTCGGGACTTGTTCGCGTTCAGTTCCTGTTCGAAGTTCTGGTGCTTCTGCACCTTGCCGCCAAGGTTCGTCGGGTCGAGGTAGCTCTCATCTGTGGCGAACTTCAGCTTCTCGTTGATCCAGCCCTTGGTCTCGTCGCAGTCGCGCTCGAACTGCTGCAGCTTGTAAGCGTCGATCAGCGTCTCCCTGGATAAGAAGGTTTTGTTTTCGAATGACAGTTCTATTTCGAGGAGTTTTGGAATTAATCAGAGGAGGCAGTGGAGCTTGAGCCTCCTCAAGAATTTCCGTACACCAAATAGTGTTCTGCATATGTTTGCATTACTAAAGATAATATATCAAATTTATTTTCACCCCACCCCGTATACCTGCTATTGATATCTGAATTAGTCGGGAAGTGATCGGTCGGCAGAATGATGTGACTAATCATTAGTCATTAGAATGATTAATCAAAATAATCAGCAGTTACAACGTTCTAGATTTCATCGGATACGGTCGATTCAAGTGATTTTAAAAATTATATTATATTATGGTATTTAGCGGTTTAGCGATTGTATTTCATTTGAATGCGTGAAAGTTATATTTTTTCAATGTTAGTGTTTTTATATATGAATATGGAAGTATTCATCACGTTGTAGATATTTTGCTTCTGTATATTTCCATATAACGTGTGACAAAACACACATTATACTCATCTCGCAATATTCTTGTTTTATTATTAATCTTATTCGGTATAACTTCCATTTTCACATCATCTTACAAAATGTCATACTGAAAATGTTTCACTTAATTGGATAAATCTACTTATATGGTTTCGCCCTGTAGGTTACTAATTTTATATTGTGTCGCGCGGTTTGATGCTATAAAAACTGTGGGGCTATTTTTCTGGAAACCTATTTGGCGTCTGTATAGCAATGAGTAATTTTATTTGGCATCGACCACTTACTTTGTGCTTATACAGGGTGAGTCATGAGGAACTGTACATACTCCTACCACAAATAGAGGCCTCCGAATGTCCATCAAACAGTGTCTTCTTCATTTCTTTCAAAATATATAGGGTGAATCATGAGATTTCGCAAAATATCTTTTGGTCATAACTTTCCAACAGCTTCTTCGATTCTTATGATTTTTTCATGGAATATTCCGCTACTATTCTCTAATCGACTGACTTATTCAGAATCGGGCAAACCCAGGACCGTTCTTGAAAAATTTTGATACTTCAGTTTATAGCAAAAAGTTCATCCTGTATATCGTTTTTGTAAACTGTGACAGGGAATTTTCAGAGGTCACACACAAACATCAGGAATAAAATATTTAAAATTTTCCTCACACTTTCACTGCAGTCTGAAAAAAACTATGAATTTTATGAAAAATGAAAATTTGGCAAAAAAATTATTTATTTGGAAATAAATGCTTCGCAACCCATAAATTTCACGATTAAAAGTTAGACATTTTCATTACTTCAGCTCAATGGAAATCGAAATATTATTTTATTTTTAGGCCTGGATATAGTAATTCAATTTTTTTTGTGTAGGATAATAATCACCCTGTAGATCTTTTTCGAATCAGTGGATGGGGAAGTATCTGTGAAAATTTTTATGGCCATCGCAAAAAATAATTTTATTATTTCAATTCACAGTTTTATTTATTCGATTTGTTTTATTCAGTTAATTTGGTCACTTATTTTCCGTATACTAGAATTATTATCCGCCTTCGTCAGTATATAGTTTTTGAAAAATAATTGTAAATTAACCTATATTTTCTGTTCGACTATCTTGAATTATTTGAATTGATGACCATTAACATCCAAACAGATACCCCATCATCTGATTCGAAAAAGATCTACAGGGTGATTATTACCCTCCACAAAAAATGAAATGACGAAATGCAGGCCTGATGGAAATGAAAGAACATGTGGATTTCCATTGGGCTAAAGCATTAAAAATGTGCGTCTTACTTTTATTTGTGAAATTTATGCGTTGTGAAGTAATTATTCTCGAATGAATACATTTGTTATCAAACATTCGTTTTTGCTTATAATTTATCGTTTTTTGAATAATTCTGTGAAAGTGTGAGGAGAATTCTGAATATTTTATTTTTGATGCTTGTTTGTTTGCTTTGAAAATTCCCTGTCACAGTTTACAAAAACCATTTTGGATATAATATAATAATAATAATATAATATAATTTGTTATACATGGGTATGTACAGGTATTGATACTTTTAGTCATGATGACTGATATTTTGTTTGCTTATTATTATTATACAGGATGAACATTTTGATAAAAACTCAACTATTGAAATTTTTCAAAAACGGTCCTGGATTTTCCCGATTCTGGAAATGTCAGTCGATTAGGGTTAAGTAGAGCAATATTTCATTAAAAAATCAGAGTTATGCCCAGAAGATATTTTTGCCGAATCTCATAATTCACCCAATATATTGGTAAAGACGGGAAGAAGACACGTTCTGATGATCTTTAGGTATTTCCCTCAAGGGACTCGTGATAGGAGTATGTACAGTTCCTCACGATCCACCCTGTATGCCCCCGGGACATCCTGATTCGTGACATTGGACGTCCTCAAAGCGTCCGTCGTCCTAAAATGGACGTTTTTCAAGAGGTTCTAAAGGTCCAGGCTGGACGCTCTCAAAACGTCCATGTGCTGACCGGGTATTTACCTGCGAACGTTCGACTTCTCCTTCAGGGCCTTCCTTCGCTCCAACAGCATGGCACGCCGCTGTGCAACGTCGTCCGCCGCATAATGCTCCCCGTCGATCAACTTAGTGGCGAACTCGTCCAACGCTTTGATCTTCTCTTCCTGCGCGGCTAGCGACTTCTCGAAGTCCTCGAATCAAATCAAAATAGTTATGTAACCAAGTAATGACCTTTTTATTGGGTTGCGTGCAAGAACCATCAGATGACTCATCCTGGAGGTGAAACATTGAAACAGAACCTCACTTTTCTCATTTGTTTGCAAATTATTGAAATAGTTTTTCACAATTATTTTGGCATAGGAATAGTGTTTTTCGGCTAGTCATCAATTCGCGCATGCCTTAACATCTTGCTGTTGTACAATGCACAGAAAATGCAACGGGAGACGAAGGAATCCGGTTGTTACATTATGATTCAAAAGTAAGCACCTACTATAGTCACTCACATAGTTTTCATTTTGAAATTTGGTAATTTCTCTGATTTCTCATCGGAATTCCTTCTGCGATAGAAGCTAATAAAAATACTCGTGAAATTAATATTATGTAGAAGTCCATACTGTTCTCTAAGTGTAGTGATGAGAGGGTTAGAAAACACAAAATCATCTCCACAACGTTGTGATGATTTGTGGAGACGATTTTGCGTTTTCTAACCCACAACGTTGTGGAGATGATTTTGTGTTTTCGAACCCTCTCACTCGTGAAATTTCTAAAAGAATGCAAGATTGTATTCATGCAATCAAACAGAAGGACTGGTCTGACATGCCGACGAAATATGATCGTGTGTGTTGTAGACATTTTCAATCTATTAGCAGTATTAGCTTCAATTGCAGAAGTGGCAGAAGGAATTTTAATAAGAAATGACAAAATTTCATAATGAAAACTATGTGAGATTACTATTTACCTGAAAAATCATATTCCTTCGTCTCTCGCTGCAATTTTTGTACATTGTACAACAGCACAATGAGAAGGCATGCTTGAATTAATGAATAGGGCAAAACACACGATTCGTATGCCAAAATATTGTGGAAAACTATTTCAATCCTTTGATTCCTCTATAAACCAATAAAAAAAGTGAGGTTTTGTTTCAATGTTTTACTGAAAAGTGAGGTGTTTCAATGTTTTATCTCTAGGGTCGGTCATCGTGCACGCGACCTATATAAAAGTTGATTACAAAACGTTTTCGTCGACTTTTCTCCTGCAATGAAGAAAACTTAGTTCGCGAATTCATCATTCATCCAGAAACTACTAACAACCACGCCAGAAAAATCTGGCCCTTCAGCCATGTTTTCCATGTTTGCATCATTCTGTCAATGTCTGTTGCTATGCTTGACACTTGGCTCATCCCTTGGCTTTTGTCTTTCACTAAATGGCCATTATAGGATGAAACTCGTTTGAGTGAATTCATTTTTTTCCCAATTTTGTGTCACTGTTTAACTTGATGATCGTTGGGTTCTTTTGGCTGTTCAGTCGGTTCAAAAAGTCAAGTATTCCTTTACCGGGCTGATTTTTTGGATTAAGTGACTCCACGGCTCTTTTAAAATTTTATAATGTGATTTCCACGTGGCCTTATACAGTGTGTTACAATTTGGTCCACCCCACCCCTGTACTTTCGTATTCCTAGGGAGATTTGATTTTTTTTTCCTTACAGTATACTACTCAAAGTTATCTACTTTTTCGAGGAAACAAAATTCATCAATTACAATTTCTTGGCGTACTGCGATCACAAAAACTCCAGCAAAATTGAAGAAAATGGATTAGGCATTTTTTTAAAAACATTTTGATGTAGGCAATCGATTTGGACTAGTCACAAATACTCTTATATCAATTATCAAAACAATATCTCATGCGGGGTGTTTTTTATCATCGTTACAATTTTTGAATAATTGCACTGTTCAAGTCACCGTGTATTATAATTCTTTGAATTTGTCACTCATAATCATTTTTATTAGATATGGACATAATATTCATCTGTAATATTTATATACAGAGTACAGCAGTTTCAGCACAAACGATAAGATTTCCACAAAATTCTCAAACACATGATATGTTTCGCTAACACAGTAGCTTCGTCAGGTGATATACTGGTACGCACATACGTAAGTACATCGTACCTGTGTTTGCAAAACATGTCATGTGTTTGAGAATTTTGTGTAAATCTTATCGTTTGTGAAGTTTTTACATTTGCCATGGATTTCCATCAAGTAACGGCCGAGTCAGATGAAAAAAAAAAAAGTTACCTCGTGCTTCTTGATGAGCGACTCGACCGAGTCCAGCGAGTCGCCGAGGTCCTCGTTGGCGAGGAAGGCCTCCTGCTTGGCCATCCAGGTGTCGGCCTGTTCGGTATCGCGGTAGAACAGCTGCAGGTCCATGCATTGCTCGTAGAGGATCCTCCGTTCGTCCCACAGAGCTGAAAGAGCGCATACATCGATCGATCGATTCATTGATCCTTTGGAACTCACAGGAGTTCAAGGACGATTTAAATGGGTTGCGTGCAAGAACTGTCAGATGACCGACCCGACCCTGGAGGTGAAACATCGTAACACAACATCACCACAGAATACCCAACAATCAGAATAGCATCTGTAGCGCTGGAGTGGGTTCGCGCATTTGAACGGCGCAGGTTGTCGGCCATCTTCCTGTAGTCATAAGGGCTCAAAAAAAATTAGAGGTGGTCGTGTGTGCGCTGCTATAGGTTGCAAAAACAATTCTAAGACTTGGTTTTATTCCTCATCTGATCAGAGTCAGTTGAATGAATATACCCTGTTTACCTATTGACCAAGCAGAACTGCAATTGAGAAAAAATGAATTTAGTTTTTCCAAAAAAACAACTTGAAAAAATAATCTAATGGAAACCTGGTCAAATCAATCAATTTAAATTTTCAGCAATGTTTGTGTTCAAATCTGCCCTACTGAGGAAAAAAGTTAACTTTTGTGAACAATTTTTCATTGAGTTAAGTGTAAGTGTAATTCTGTTAGAATTGAATACATCTTACTGGTGTCGATAAATAACACACAGAGTGAATGAATTCAGTTAGTACAGTCATGTCATTTTTCATAGAACGGCCCTGCTTGCTAACCGAAGAACATGGCGGATCCCAGAAAACAGATCCTAAAATCTCAAAGGAGCCGACCAGAGAAGCACTTCTGATTGTTGGGTATTCTGCGACATCACTTTTCTTATTTGTTTACAAATGATTAAAATAGTTTTTCACAATTATTATCTTGTTTTTCGGCTATTCATTAATTCGCACATGCCATCACATTGTGCTGTTATACAATGCACAAAAAATGCAGCAGGAGACGAAGGAATCCGGTTGATACATTATGATTTGAGAGTAAGAACCTACTATAGTCACTCAGATATAGTTTTCATTTTGAAATTTATTTATTTCCCTGATTTCTCATCGGAATTCCTTCTGCAATTGGAGCTAATAGAAATACTTGTGAAATTTCTAAAGGAATGCAAGAAGATTGGATTCATGCAATCAAACGGGAGGACTGCTCTGACATGCTGACGAAATATCATCGTGTGTGTTGTAGACATTTTTAATCTATTAGCAGTACCTATTAGCTTCTATTAATAAGAAATGACAAAATTTTATAATGAAAATTATGCGAGATTACTATTTACCTGAAAAATCATATTCCTTCGTCTCTCCCTGCATTTTTTGTGTATTGTACAAGAGCACAATGAGAAAGCATGCTCGAATTAATGAATAGCGCAAAAAACACGATTCGTATGCCAAAATATTGTAAAAATTATTTAAATCTTTTGATTCCTCTATAAACAAATGAAAAAAGTGAGGTTGTGTTTCAATATTTTACCTCCAGGGTCGGTCATCGTGCACGCGACCCATAATAATGTGATGAAAATGTATCTTCAGGCTGTGTCAAGGATGTGGTTTGACCGGGCACATACGTTCAGTATTAATTCCGACCATCAGTCTGACCAGCCAGCTGTTTGGTAACATCGGTCATGTTTCAAACCTGCCCACAAAGTTGCCACATCAACTTCTAATGGAAGTCGAGTCAGCCATTGACCATTCTGGTATCACCACTGTGGTCGAATGAAAGACTCGACACAGCCTCAATGTACCACGTAATTCTAACTTTGTCCTGATGATTTTGCCAAATTATCCAGGAAATTCCAGACTCTGCTACCACTCATTGTAGGCCGAAATTGATTTAGAATAAAAGAATATAATAACTATAGTAGATAGAAATTAGGAATTTGTTAGCTAGGATACTATTATTGGTGCCGAAACTGCGACCCAAGTTAAATTTATTCAGGAACCTATTTGGAAATGAAATAAGTAAATAAATTCCAAAATCATTTAATTTCCTGGAAACAATCTGGTATGGATTTTCTTACCGATTACTACAGGAGGTTAAATTATTTTCCGGAAACTTTTTCGACCTCATGGATATTTTGAAAATTATTCCGAGTCGAAGGTGAGGTTTTACAAGTGAAAATTCATACTTGAAAACTTTGGATAGCTATTAAAATACTCATAAGATTGGAAGCGAAAAACAAAATATAAGATGATGGGTCTCTTAAATGATGTCCAAAATTAAGAATAAGGTAGATAATTTGATTAAAACCAAGTGTTTACATATATACATTATATGTTTAAGTGTAAAAACGAATTTTCTTGTTCAGACAGGAAATCAGCGGCACCCTGCCGAAAATTTTTATTTGAACACAAGTGTTTTGCTTGCCACCGAGGAGAATCTCTAAGTGAACAACAAATATTTCTGGGCGAATAGAGAAAAATTGCATTTCCCAAACTCACCGACTAGCGACTTCTTATCAGAATCCAACATCGACAGCTTCTCCTTCACCTCGTCGCTGGCATAATGCCCTTTGTCCAGCAGCTGCCTGCCAGCCTCCGTCGAAGCCACGAAACTGTCCTCTCTGGCGTCGATCTCACCGCGATGTTCCTGGTGTTGGTAAAATAATGTAAATTCAACTCATACATACTTTGTATAATGGTTGCTATGATATGTTATTTGATATTTTGAGTAATAGTAGGAAAGCCCAAGCGAGGATTTCGTGATCTAATTGATTGATTGATTGTCTTTATTACCCCAAGAAACATTTCTGTTTATGATAGGGATACATAAATACATATAAAAAAATAATAATAAAGGGTTAACTATAATGAATTCCACTCAGTGGAAACGAATTAATATTGTGTCTTATAAGATTAAAGTTATATTTCATTCCTAAGTAATCAAATCATGCCACATATTTTTCTTTCAAATTGTCCTGAGCAAGTATTTTTTAAGATTGATTTTAAACCTTCTTGCATCATGTATATTTTTCAACTCATTCGGTAATGAATTGTATAACATTATTCCATTGTGAAAAACAGATTGTTTGCCAATGTTTGACTTGAATGTATTTGCTATCAAGTAATTCAATTGTCTAGTCCCATAATTATGGACTGTATTGACTTCATTGAAAGCTAAATTTGATATTTTCAACTTATTCCTGGAAAAATGAATAAAGCAACATATTTTAAGTTTATATAACGAAATCAGGTTCAAAAAAAGGTCTTGGTTTGTATAAATTTATCGTTGGTTCTAGCAAATGTAGATTAAAAATGCACTTAATTGATTTGTTTTGTAATTTCATTAGTGACGTGAAATATTTGTACTCCCCCAAATGGAAATTAAATATTGCAAATTTGAATAAATGAGGCAAAAGTAAATACATTTCAAGTATTTTATGGGAATAATATTTCGGATTTTGAATAAAATGCCTATGATCGAATTTATTTTATTTCTCAAATAGTCTATATGTTTAGTCCATAATAATATTTCGTCGATATAGAGACCTAAAAATGTCACGTCTGTCCTTTAATTAATCTATTGTTGAAAGTTATAGCATTATTCGAAATATCAACTGATCTCTTCGAGATATACATATATGAAGATTTGTTATAATTAGGAGTCAACTTATGAATTTGCATCCAAGATGATATGTTTTCCAAATCTCTTGTAATATCATTTAATTCTTTGGATATATAAATCAATGTTGTATCATCCGCAAATAATTTTAGCTTTCCTTTCAATTTCAGATTAAAAGGGGGGTATCCTTGGACCTATCGATGCTTGAACCTTCTCATTTTTTGATATTTTTTAGAGAAAAAATTATTGAATTCAGTGCAGTGAGTTTCATGTTACAACAATGAGTGACAATAGTTCGAATTGTGTATTTTGTGAGAAAAAAACATTCGAAAAATAATGAAATTTACGTCGGAAACATTGAAAAAATGTAAAACAGTTTTGTATTATCGTCGAAGTAAGCCGGTTCGCAGAAAATCTCGAGGCAAATTTAATGCTGTAGAATTTTCGGATGAAACATCAATACAATACAATTTTTGCACCCTATGAAAAACAATAGAAAAATGTTGTAAGAGGTTCTTGAATTGTATTGAGTACTAAGCCAAATTTTTAAGAGTACCTATTTTTCCATAAACATTTCACTATCAAGGCCGTGTCTCACGGTCCAAGAATTTGATCAAATTTGTTTTATGTGACGTCATTCTTGCCTGTTTGACTCAAATGGTTTGATATGTCAAGAAATCTTTGTCACACGATTTGAAGACAAAAATATTGGTTAAGTAGGTTCTCTAGAATAGGAAAAATCACAAGGAAAAATGAAATAAAAATTCATTATATGGTAAGTATTTTGTGTTGTATTTGTAATACAAAGTGATTTAAAAAAGAAGAGGGAGATATGTACAAGATAATGGCTTCAAAGAAGAAATATTGGTAAAGGAGTCCTACCTATGATTTTTGATGAAGTCAGACTGAAAGATATCCCATAGAAAATTTCAAAACTCACCCAGTCCAATTACCAGGACAGGCATTTTTGAAGTATTGATAATATTGATGACAGTATTTCTTGTTAATTCCTAATATTCGCGGGAATCAATGTTACCAGGTGGCGCTCGATTTTCATCGTTCCATGTCAAAGCCACGTCAAAACTGGGGGAAAACAAACTCAATCCTCGCTCAATCCCATCAGTGCCATTAGCTTGTGTACTGTGTACTGATAAGAGTGATAAGTTTTTAAATTTCTTGACATTAATATTTGTCAATATTCGATCGAAAACGCTAATAATGCCTGTTGTAGATGTACTTTTGGCAGATATTCTGCTCTATTTAGACGGAAAAAACCGACCAGTAGTGGAAGGAGAAGCAGTTCTCCGTGCTAATCATGTGATTTTGTGTGAGGCAGAAGACTTCAACAAAAGGCACATTTTTCCACTTTGTCTACAAACTTCGGCGATGAAATCTTCCCCACATGAAGTAAAATTAAAGCTGGTTTCCAGAGGAACTCGTGTAGAACAATGGATTTGTATTTGTTTATGCAAAGCAGGACAATCTGGGTATTGTAAACATGTTGTAGCTGTTCTTTTATATGTCAATTGATTTACTCGTCATAAGTTTGTTTGAATTGTTTGAACTATCTCTAATTCTTCACCCGTTCACTGTTCACTATACTAATAAAAATGTAATAATGTGACAAAATTAACCAACTCAACCATCATCACTACCAACAGTGCCAACACTAGGTGCGTTCGGTTATAACATATCTGTTAGCTCGATTCCATCTGTTAGCTCGGAAAGCGTTCGATAAATCAGATCTACTTCCTCTGTCTAATCTGCTCCGTGTTCGTTAATTGTCAGAGCGAGCTGAAAGATGTAATCTGTTTGCTCCGCCTTGAGGAGCAGATCATTCAGATTTGATCGGTTATTCGGTTGTCAATTGTCAACAAATCAATGTCAACAACATGTTATTGAAATTATATCTCTTTTATGTCGAAAAATTGAAGACTCGATCAACTGGAAACGAAACACGAAACTGAATTTTGTAGAATCCTCCTTGTCCAGAATCGCCAGAATGACCGACGAATTTGCTGTAGGTAGCATATTAATTATATATCTGTAATATATGCGATCACAATTGCCCTGGATCCACAGTTAATGACCGATCATATGAGACAGAATCATTCCTTCCCTAGTAATTTTCAAAATATAAACAACAAACATTCAAAAGAACTTTGTTGCCCTGACGTGTTTTTAAAAGTAATACGGTTGAGTGAATTGTTTCTGTTTTCTGTTACTTCTGACAGCTGGCGCTCGCAATCTACTACCTCGTTGAGCGTTCGTTAAATACCATTAGCTCTATCTGCTAGGTGATCACGTGACACCAAATCTGCATCTGCTCGCTCGGCTCCGATTTTGTTAAACCGAACGCCCCTACTTTATGTCTTTGACAAGTTTGACTACAGCTGCAGCAAGCTGAATGTAATGTAGTCTAAGCATTTTATCCATAGACAACAGTTTGTTTTCCCCCAGTTTGAAGTTCGTATTATGTAACCTAGATGTCGCCCACTTCGTGAATCTCGCGAATATAAAATGATAATCAATGAAGAAAACATGAAAACAAACATCCTAACCTTATTATATTTAGAACAAGTTCTAAATTTCAGATGCTGTTTGACGTGACGTCACTGATGATATCACAGATCTGTAGTATGATCAAATTGCTCAGATAGTCAGGCGGCCATTCAATCTTTAACATGCAATAAAATCAGATCAAAACTGGTCTGGGATTGCCTTCAAAGCCTGCCAACCCTGGCTAACCACAACAAGGTAACTCTTCAATGGGTGCCAGGGCATAAGGGAATTGTAGGCAATGAAGCAGCTGACGCTCTTGCCAGGCAAGGGTCTGCGACGTTGTTTATGGGACCGGAACCTGTATTCGATATCCCCAAAACCTTAATACGCGGCTGGCTGGCAAGGTGGATGCAAGGAAGACATCAGGCATACTGGAACAATGTCTCAGGACAAAGACACAGTAAACTGATGGTTGGAACACTGTCCAAAACAGTGACTAACGACATTCTGAACCTAAACAGAAGTCAGATCAAACAAATGACGGGACTAATAACCGGTCACTGCCCCTTGAGGGAACATATGCATCAAATGGGCATCTATACAGACGAACCCATATGCAGACTATGCAATGAGGAGGAGGAAACTGCCACCCATGTAATATTGGAGTGCGAAGCACTAGCGCGTTGGAGATACAACCTTCTGGGAGCAGTACACTCTCAAGAGGCATTTTCAAAGAATGATTTGCTGGACCGTGAGACACAGCCTTTAGAAGGTGAATGAAAGGTAATAAGGGAGGTAAGGTAAGTTTTCGAAAATGCCTTTTAAGGGTGTCATTTGCATCAACGTTTCTTCAAGAATTAACAAAAAAAAGATCGATACCTGGTGCCTCTCCAACAGCGCCTCGGCCCCCGCCACATCTTTGGCCAGTTCGTCCGCTGAAATGATGGCTTTCATGTCATTTATCCAAGACACGAGGTCTCTGAAGTCGGCCAAGAAGCGATGCAAGGCGTAGGACTCTTCCAGCTTGTCGCGTCTCTCTCTAGCTTTCTCGGTCAAGCTGCGCCAATAGTCCTCGATCTCCGTCCGCTTGTCCTGGATGATATCGGCGTGGTCACCATGAATCGCGCACAGCCTATCGGTGGGGTTGGAAGAATTAAACTGTTATTCAGGTTCACTTGAAATTTTCATGAAATACACTTCCCGGCAAATTAGTCGAATTGATCGCCCTGTAATATCTTTTATTCCTGTCCCATATTGGTGAAATTTCGACCAAATCGTAGATTTATGTTTCAAAATGTTAACCTGAATTCTATTTCTCAAAAAAAAAACGATGGATTGATCATTACACAGGGAAAAACAAAAGTTACTGCTTCATGCTTAACTTCTCAACGCCCTGTGGCAACTGGTACTGGTGGGGGACGTCTGCACGTCAGCAACTAGTCACTAACGGGACCTTTTTGCAATTCCCAAGGTGTTTTTAATGAGTGATGTGGTTCGCTCAAGAGAGCTGGCTAACATCCTTTTCAGGCACCGTCCATCAGCTCTCTTTCAGAGTTTTTTCGGCTGTGTTTTGTAGGCTAGTAATGTACTCACTACCATATGCTGCAGTGGCAGGCCTGCTAGCTATTCTCGTTAACCCCCCCCCCCTAGAGACCGAGGTCCACTAAGCAACATTGGCCCGCTCACACGCTCAGCTGGTAGTTTTCCACACCCACCTAGATACACCGTCCTACTTCTTCTCTGATGCTCACAACCACATCATCATCTCTTTCTGCGTTTTCTGTGTAGGCTTTCTCATTAACTCCATGCGCCACTTCAGGAGCAGCACTGTTAATTGAAACGCAACAGCGAATCGTGCAGGACTATCCCCAGCCGAAATTCCTAAATTAAAATTTGAAAAATTTCCTTGCTCGTGCTGGGAATCGACCCACGACCTCGCGGTCGTGAGACGGACGCTCTTCCACTGCGCCAATCCCGGCTTGCCCTGTGGCAAAAGTAAGTGATTGAACTTAGCTTCATCATGTTGAAGACTGAAGTGTGATTCTTTTTCAATTCAATATCATATTATCTTTTTGAGAGAAGAAGCAAGTATTTCAAGAACGAATGGAATTTTAAGATTTGCAAAACATACATGAACTAGAAAAGCAGACGTCCTAGATGTAGTCATTTACGGATAAGCCCTTCTGGAGCATGAATTCAATCCAAATGTGCATATAAATGAAATACCGGGTGTAACAGGATCATGGTACACCCCCTTTTCCTCCAATAGTTCTAGAGATAAGTGATTGAAATTTTGAATGATCCATCAACATGATAAATGTCAGATTTTGACATAAATATGCACTATTTTCCACATTATTTTCTGTATCCAAGGATGCCAAATAAATGACATTTCGAACTTCAATATTGATTTTTATCATTTTTGATTTTCCATCTGAGTGTGCCATGACTATTCTGATCGAGTCTGATGTACTCATATCGACAGGTGTAATGCTAAAAAAATTGATTCCTGTAAAAAATGTAAAAATTTTTGATTTTTCACCAAATTAAGTTTATCAAAATGGTTTGGTATACCATGATCCACTTACACTCGATTAAATATCTAAACCTAACATCAGGCGGGCACTTCTAGGGCGCAAATTCATTACTACATGGGAGATATCCTTCAGAGTTTCAGCTATTCAGTGACTTGACCACGAATGACATTCCAAAAAGGGCAGCCGTTGTCGTCACTCTATTTAATCTAGTCACTCTAACCCTACCTATCGGCCTCCTTGCCCAAGGTCGACACCTTGTCTTCCAGCGCTGCCAAATCCCTCTCCACCCCCTCGTGCTTGCGCTGCAGCGCCTGAACGCTCGCCAAATCTCTGCCGTAGTCGTCCGAGGACAAAACTTGGTCCTTCTCGGCTATCCAGGCCACCGATTCGTCGGCGTCCCGGTTGAAGCGCTGGATCTCATGGGCGCCGTACAGCTTGTCCTGTCGCATCAGCGTCATCTGCTTGAGGCGCTGCCAGGAGGTGTTCAGCTCGTCCTTGCGATGGACGATCTGGTCGCGCTCCGGATGGCCGTCTTGGAGGAGTTTGTCGGCCAGTTCGTTCACCTCCGCCACTCTAATCATGTGTTGTCGTTAATAATGATCCTCGCATGAGAATTGAAAGAATGTTGTAAGAACTTGCAATTAGGTATAATCGACCTTTCCAGTCATTGAAATGTATATACAGGGAGTTTCTTAAGTACGTGTAGAAAATTCAGGAGAAAAGAAGAAAAGTTCTTATGAATACAGGGTAACTCACGGTCCATGGTACGTTAGACGTTTACGGAGAACGGAACATAGGATCATTCTGAAATTTTGGTTACTCACGTAGTTGCTCTTGGTCTATCGATCTAAAATATTTTCAGTTCTGCGGCGTTGCCGCTTCTATCGAAAAGTAGCAACAACTTTGTTATTTTAAATGGAACACCCTGTATTTTATTGCATTTTCAGATTCTCTCTGAAGAGCTGATTTCATCGATGCATCACATTTGGGGTCTAGCGGAAATGATTACAAAGATATAGGGTGTGAAAAATCGTCATTTTTCAACTTTAGGAATTTTTTTGTCGAAACTATTCATTATTGGTCAAAACTGCTTACATGTCCCTACCTCAACTTTTGATTAACTATCTACTGATATTTAATTGGGACATATACCGGGTGATCAAGATTCTGAATTCTGCACCACCCTGTATTTGTTTCAATTAAATGACGTACCATCGTACCATCGATCGTGAGTTACCCTGTATATGTCCGAAAGATACTGGAAGGCCCATTGCATTCAAGAACTAGCATTAGAGATAATAATTGCAAGTTTCTGTAACTGGCAATCAGATATAACTGCCAAATTGAACTGACAATCATGGATAATTGCAAGTCAGGAATACAATTAAAGATAATTGCATATTATTTGATAGTTGCAATCATTGAGAATAACTAGTGCATAGATCAAGGACAAATTCTACTTACAAGTGACAATTAAAATAATCAACAGCTATAACTTGCAATGGGAGATAATGGCAAGTTATAGAAGTTGAGATTGATAATAAGTTGGGACTTGAAAACTGCAAGTTGCAACTGACAAACAGGGATGACTTGCAATTAACAACAACTGCAATTTACAATTAGAAAAAAATTATAAATGCAACTGTCCATTGCAATTCATCCAAATTGAGAACTTGCAATAATTAATAACTTCAAGTTAAAACTCCCGTTCACTAATTTCAAGTTATAACTTTTGATGGTTGACTGCAAGTTCAACTGACAATCATAGAATGATTACATGACAGAATTTGCAATTTACATTTGCAATTTGCAATCAGGGAGAATTGCCAGTTGCAATTTGCAATTAGGAATAATTGCATGTTAGAGTTAGAACTTGAGATTACGTGAAATTGCATATTCAATATTTGGTCACGGCCTTAGTATAATTCAATACTACAATCAAGGATAACTATTGCCAGATCATTAAACTGAAAAGCAGGGGGAAAAGTTAGTTAACTGACAATTAGGAATAACAGTTACAACAGACAACTGGGGATGAATGGTACTCACAATTAATATTTGCAGTTAGAACTCGAAAAAACTATTGATTGTAAGGTAGAACTGACATTAAGAAACATCTGCCAGTTGTAGCTTTTCATCAAAAATGATTGGAAATGAGAACTTGCAAATAATAATAATGAGAAGTTGCAACTGACAAGTGACAATGAGGGTTAATTACATGATTTAAGTGCAATATACATATACGCAAATTGTACCTTTCAGGGATACTTAATTTAGGAGTTGCAATAAAAAATAACTGACAATTAGGGATTATTGAAGTTGAGAACTTACAGCAAGAGATGACAGTGCACATATTATTGAAGTTGAGAATATGTAGGAAGAGATGACAGTGCAAATGAGAACTCATCATCAGTAATAACAACTAGTGATAATATTTTCTCATGTCATGCAATGCATTGACCCCTGCAGGATAACACTGTTTTCTCATAAATACCTATATTCTTGGGATGCCATGTCCTTTTGGAACTCATCGAATTTCCTCTGGAGCACCTCCACGTGTTCCAAGTCATGCCCAAACTCCTCGGTGGACAGAAAAGCGCTCTTCTCATTGATCCAGAACATCACCTCGTCGCAGTGTCTGATAAACTGGACCAGCACGAGCGCCTGCTGCAGCTTCATGCCCTTCTCGGCCAGCTTCGACAGCAGCTGCTCCCACAGCCGGTGCAGCTCCTCCAGCCGCCTGCGGATGGTCTCGCTCTCGTAGTGGTTCTGGTTGATCATTTCCCTTCCGGTGTTGTCCAAAACTACGATGGCGTTGCTGTGAGCCGCCACTTCGGCTTCGAAGGCCTGGTGCTTCTGGATTTTGGCTTGCAGGTTCGTCGGGTCTTTGTAGCTCTCGTCGGATGCTGCTTGGAGCTTCTCCAGGATCCATGATTCTAGTTCGTCTGCGTCTCGTTTGAAGTATTGGAATCTTCGGGAGTCTTCGAGCTTTTCTCGTTTTGCTCGGGCGTCGGCTTTGAAGTTGTCATAGCGTGAAAGGACTTCTTTTCGGCGTTCTTGGATGTCCTCGGCTGTTTCGAGGATTTTCACCTCTTTGGGAGGCGGTATTTGATCCATTTTTCAGGTCGGTGTACTCTTCTGGAATCGAAACAAGTGAGCTGATGCAATAACCATGTCAAAGACAAGAATCTCACTGAGCTTAGGTGAATACACGACGGTGTTTCAGGCGGAGTTGTCGCAATATATCATTGCTTAAAAGAATTGCTAAGGCAAGAGTTTATATAGAGAACCATCGCAGCCAGGACAGCCATCAAAGCAGTCAACTCAATGCAAATTGATTTACATCTCGTCTGGAATTGTTTAGAAACCCTGAACAGACTGATTCTGGCAAGTGAACCTGAACAAATGACACGCATCGAATCATGGATGCAAACAGAATCTCAATATTGGTGGAACAATTCGGTAGAAGTGAGACAGGCAAAAGAGAATATCTACTGAGCAAGAAACGAAGTTCGACTAAAATATCAGTGGAACTTCTCAGTTTTCACAGACTCTGTTATCAAACAGCGAGCGACAAAATGGCGTGCGACAAAATAGTGCTTGGACATTTCACAGGGGGTCAAAATTGCGCGGTATTGAACAGCACTCCGACTTTTGGGAATGCGGCGAAATAGCGCCCAAAACGAATTGTCACGTTTCTCAGTAAGAAAAAGGTTGTGCTATTTTGATCTATGTACATCTCTTATAGAAGTCTTTATTGAACCATGGAAAATTACATTTTCATAGAGGTTCTTACTCTAAAAAAACATGTCATATAAAAAAAAAGAATAATTGAAATTATTGCATTGGTTGCAGTGAAGTATTAAAAATAGCCTAATTATATCACAGAATGTGTCACTACTTATCATTACTTTGCGTTTTTACAAAAATTCTTGAGAAGATTACAAATGTAGCCAGATCAATCAATTCAAAGTGTCTATTTACTCATAAGGTATTTTCTCAGTTTTTTTATTGAATAATTTGCTGTTACATTCTTTTATTTCAACAGGCAGTTGATAATATATTTGAACACCTCTAAAGTAGTTTAAAGCAAATGGATTTTTTACAGGCTTCCATAGATGCATTGGGTAAGAATAACTTCTTGCTATTGCGTGTATTGTATGAATATAAACTATCAAATGTCATAAATGACAGATTTGAAAATTTTTTACCGTTGATGGTTTGATGAATGTGATTGGATATTTGGAGTTCATACATATTATCTAAACTTAAAATATTGGAATTTTCATAAAGATTAACTATACTATATTTATAGGGCAGTGAGTATATATTTTTGATGGCTTTATTTTGGAGTGTCTTCACTTGTTTCACCAATTTATTACAGGCTGGAAACCAAATCATTACCAGATATTGAAGGTGGCAGTGTATCAGAGAGTAATACACTGATCTTAGTAAAAATCTTGGAACATACCACGACAGACGCTTCAAGATGCCAATTGGGCACTAATCTTTTTGGTCAAACGATTTATGTGATTACTCTATGACAGTGTTGAGTCAATGTATAGACCTAGATATTTTATTTCACAGGCATATTTGATTCGGTTATTGCCAAAGATAAGAGGTTCAGTTGAATTGATTTTATTGTTTGAGACAAACATGAAACGTGACTTCTCGGTATTTAAAGTCAATTTGTGACTTGCAAGCCATTTTTCAACAAGTAGGAGATCAAGCATCATGCCATCTCTTATTTGTTCTATAGATCTACCTGAATAAAGTAGTATCATCAGCATACAATTTTATTTTCCCTCGGAGGCGCAGGTTTGACATTGAATTGACATAAATCAGGAATAATGTTGGTCCTAATATTGTGCCCTGAGGGACACCACATGTTATTGTTTGATTAGTACTAGCTTCACCATCAATTGCTACATGTTGTAGTCTACCTGAGAGGTACTCTTTGAACAATTTCAAAATTACGCCTCTGATACCTGACCTTTCTAATTTGGACAATAGAATATGGTGATCAACTGTGTCAAACGCCTTCCTCAGGTCGAGAGACACCAGGCCAGTTTTATCATGATTATTGGTGTTTTGTTGTATCTCAGTGACTAAATCTATTGCTGCCGACCCTCTCACTTCCACTTCCTGGAGATGTACGAAGAAATATTGCTTTAACCATCAATTTCAAAAAACTCTTCAATGCCACCATCCTTCGCTATTCGAAAAATGAGTCATTTTGCGATATTTATGACGATGTACCGTGCAGGAAATACAGGGTGTTACAAATTTGTGGCTAAACATGGAGATCTCTGTAACCTTAGGAGATGCACTGTGTGGGCTTGTCAAGGCTAAGGTTCCTTTTGCTGGGAGAAGAAAAACCAAGAACAGAAAGATACACAGTGGATCTAAAACTACCCAATGGTCTCATAGAGAAGAAGGGGCAAGTCAAATAACTCTAAACGATTTGGAAGGCAAACACAGTAGATTTGGAAAGGTCGCGATGTTTAGGCAGATAGCCCGAAGGCGCCTATACAGGGTGTCCCAAAATTACCCTGCCAAACTTCACCAGCTTCTATACGATCAAAAATAGGAAGAAAAAAGTTTCAATGAACATGAGACGAGAAATGTCTCCACGCCCAATGCAGTGAAGATAAAATAATTTCAAAATTTTACTCAGGAGTGTATAATTCAGGATGGGGATACATTAAATATTGCTCAAAATTTTTTGTATGCATAATTTAATCTCGGATTATGAAAATCCACACTGTTCAAGGAATATGCCCTTAAGGTATGGGCATCGAGTCACGGGACACCCTGTATATTGTTTTTTTATGATTTTTCCTTTGAAAACAAAATTCTTAAAGGAATCAATTAATCTTCTTCTCACGTCTGTTCGTATTTCGGTTCTTATTAGCATCAGTTGACATCAACTTCTGGACTAATTATTTCGACTCTGGAGCTGAAAGCTCAACAATCTATACTTTTCTGGTTTGTTTAATCGTTTTTTCAGAATGTTTTCACTGCTTGGTCAGTCATTTTAAAGAATTTTCAATTGAAATTGAATCACAAACACAGTAAAAAAACGAAAGTGAGTTTGTTTTACATCCAGAGACTTTGTCATCCAAACCATCGAACCAATAATAATAAGGGTTACTTCGATTACCTACAGATTATCTTCTATATTTTGGATCGCACGAAATACAATCCCTTTTATGAACGTGAAAAATCATGCGATCCTGGGATATATAGGGAGAGAAGGTAGGCACTAAACTACGTAAAAGTAAGACACAATACCAGCTAGAGGTCTGTTACACTTTATTCAAAATAATTGATCTTATCTACTCGGCAGTGGACCTTGTAAGTTTCAGATTTAAAAGCATTCGACCTTGAACCCTTGAACAAAAAAAAATCTTTTGCGGCCCATTTTTGGTTGCTTCACCTCACCCCCTCTTCTGGCACCCATCAGGGTTGCGACGATTTAAATCAACTGATGTTTTCAATTTTATTCGTTATTTGAATTAAATTATAAATTGCTCTGAAAACAGGTTGCCAAAGTAGATAACTCATCAGGAAATTCAATGAAAGGACGTTTATCAACGAAGTGTTAACATTCATTTTGTAAGTGCGAGTGTGAACAGAATCGTTGCTCAGGCTAACCTATAAAAAAACATAAAAAAATATATGTGTTTAGGAAGTCAGTGGTAATACTTATAGAGGAAAACTAAATTAGCAGCCTTTTCGATCAGCCCAAGCGATTTCGAAGTTTGGAATGTACCAAACCAAATGTCGAAAACACTCTTTCGACAGATGCTGAAGAAACTGTAGCAGATAACAGTTGTTCAATGGTGGGCAGTACTTTTTGAATAGCATTGACATTCTGTTGGGATTTCCACCAATTTGAAGCTTTTGAAGTTTTGAGAATTTCTTCATCAAACATTATGAAGACGAAGGAATGTTCCGACAATACAGCCGCGGCACGCCGCCAAAAATGTTCATGTCAACACAAGTTTTTTTTTATGTCGCCGAGAAGATTTTTTATCTGTGAATCTAGATAACAAATATTTTTGGGCGAATAGAGACAACAAATGTAAATAAGTGTTTTAAAATTCATTATTTTCATATTTAAAGAAACAATAAGTTTAAATCAAAAAAATCTGTAGAAATCAAAAAAATCATGATTCAATCGAAAAAATCGTGATTTTTTGCAACTCTGCAGTGGTACCCATTGAAAATAACAAAACTCGCCCTGCTACCTGACATGACATTATATCATTATAATGATCTCGGTATCTAGGTGATATTATTCAGTGCCAATATGCGTTTGGTTTATTATCCAAAATTTTCCTCAGGCACGGCACTGTTCCATAATTAAATGAAGTTGATAAACTAGTAGTAAAACGATCTAAATTGTTATGACTAAATTTTTTGACTGGTTTGAGAACGATCACCCACTTTATAGAGTGTTTATCACAATTATTTTTATCATCAGGAATGACTAATCGTATTACCAATCTCACCAACCTAGGAGTGCTCGGATAATATTAAACATCTACGATAATATATCGACCAATACATACAGTGTGGATACATTAACTGGAATAAATTCGTTAGCGAGGAGGTGGAATTTTTTTCTAAAAATTCCCGACATACTTCAACGATTTAATATATTCAACAACCGATTGCAAGCAATATCCAGTATACACCGTGTCCCAGCTAAAATGTCCCCCCCTGTAAAAAATCAACCGCGCGATCGAATAACTTAAAATTTGGTCACCCAGTATATTTGATGATGCTCACTCGAAATATGCTATTGAATAAATCGTAGGTATACAGGATAACATCGAAGTGCACCTAAACTTTCCTATTTGAATAGGGACACCCAGTATATTATTCCATATTCAAGTATTATTACAATTCCAACAATGCCGGGTTTGATTGGATTTTTTCAAACGACTACGAAGATATGGCGAAAAATAAAACGATTCAATAAAATATTTATATGATAAGATTTTATCAATATAACAGGATTGAAATCGAATGAAATGAAAATAATTAAAACCTCAACTGCTCAATATGTCGTCCATATTGCTGCAAAAATTTCCTAGTTCTTTTGATAACGTTCATTTTGACCCTATGTATCACGTTGCGATCAATTTGAGCGCATAAATTTGTGATTTTCTCTTTCATTTCTTCCATATTCACAATTGGCGACTCATGAACCTGTTGTTTCAAGTAGCCCTACGAATAAAAATCAAGTGGGGTGAGGTCTGGCGACCGAGCTGGCCAGTTGCTATCACCATCGAGACAATTATTAGATTTTGTCCAAACCCGGCATCGTTGAATTTGTAATAATTAACTCGAATTGAATATGGAATAATATACTGGGTGTCCCTATTCAAATAAGATTTTTTTAAGTGTTACCTACCTAATTGAACAAATATACTGTAGAGGCATTTACTGTTGAGGCTGATAGTCATTCGCAATTTCAATGTTGTTTTTTTTTTCTGTAGATTGAACACCAAGGACGTACCCAGGGTATGAACTAGCTCATATTTGTTTCGAGGAAATGATAAGGAACTGAAAACTACCGAGAAACTGTATTAAACACTGAGATTGGAATGAAAAAAAAAATAGTTGACCCGGCAAACGTTATTATTTTGCTATGTACACACACTATTATGATTTCATGTTGTAATTTTTAGTTTAGCTATCTATAAATGCGTATTTCTTTAGTTTTTCTGAATACTATTAATTTTCTACTACTTTTTAGTTCGCTTGAATTTCCCAATTATGTCGAAAGAATCATAATCTTCGACCACGAAAACCCCCGATACAAATTTTGATTAGAATCGGATCATTATAATTACAAAAATTGTTCGCCATATTGGATCCGCCATCTTGAATTTCCTAATTTTGAAGAAGAAATCATAATCTCTGACCCCAAAAACCACCAGATACCAATTTTGAATAGAATCGGATCATAATTACAAAGCTCGGCCACTATTTTGGACCCGCCATCTTGAATTTCCAAATTTTGACGAGAGAAATATAACCTCCGAGCCCGAAAACCCTTAGATAACAATATTGGATGGAATCGGATAAATACTACAAAACTCGTCCGCCATATTGGATCCGCCTTCTTGAATTTCCTATTCAAAAAATAGTTTACGACCGATTTTCAGACCTACCGATTGAAATCCATTTATTCAAAAATAAAACATGTAACAATACCTACAGAGTGTATAAATAAAATCTTTACAAGGGACGGTGACAGTTAAAAAATAAAATAATGTAGGACACTAAATCAACTTCAAATGATTACTCTCCAAGGGAGCCCTTCAGAGGCGGCCGATATATAGGCCTCAGACGACGATTTTTATATAACACTCTGATGGAAGTCATGTACGTATTTTAAATTCCTTTAATTTGTCGAATATGTGTGGGTTGTTTATATTGGGTTCATTGGAATTAGGTTTTGATAATGTTATAGGCTATAAGTATTTCTGTGCGTCAGGGTGGGTTTTAAGAGGGTCGCGGATGCTGCCTCCCTGCCCCTCGCTGGGTACGCCCTTGCTGAACACGCAGTGTTGCCGTTCCAGAATTTCAATTTGTACTAGAAGTCATTCCGGAATTGTACTAAATTCAAGTATATTGTACTAAATTGAGAAAATAACACTTCAAAAAATTCACGATTCACACATTTGATGAAAAACTTCATATCCATTTATGAAAATTTAAAATAATAATACCAGTCAGACGAACTAGACAAGCAAAGTCAGCACATCCCTTCGTTGTCAACCTCGAAAGATGCCGAACAGCACTTTATCAAAACTCCTTCATCCATAGAACGGCTGGGCTCTGGAATTCATTGCCTGAGGAAGTATTCCCAACAACATATAATCTCCAGAAGTTCAAAAAGAATTCCAATACCTACCTCCTATCCCTATCCTCCCTAGGAACGCACGATGTTCTTTGAACATTATAGAGATTCCCTCTCGTGCGCTCCAAGCGATAAAAAAAATAATAATATACAGCACATTGATACACGTCATGAAACAATTATAACTGATAAAAGCCGAAAATAAGGGATGGAAATCACAGATTGAGATCAAATACTATCAATAAGATTAAATAGATGACTCAAACTTCAGAGTCAAATCAATTCATCAATAACAGCTAATTGTTTCTCCGTTGAATTGGAAATTATGGACTTTTTATCAATAAGGGCTTCATTAGGTTACATTCCTAACATATATCTTCTCCAAATAATTGTTTTGTATACAATAATAGCTTGGGCAATGCAATCCCATGGGGCTATCCTGTTCTTGTTTTTGTACTAGATTAGTGTTAATTGTATTGACGTACTAAATTTGTATGAAATGTACTAGAAAAGTACAATGGTACTAAAAACGGCAAGTCTGCTTGGGTTGGGGAGTCTTGAGACATTTTCCCTTAGATCATACAGGATTTGTTATGTACAGTGAAATGCAAAGAACATGTCGCGGTTGGATGGTGTTAGGGCTCTTATTGTGAGTGACTTGAAGTGCTCTATCATTGCCCAAGTGTGACATTTTCTTTTGCATCTGACTGTACGCACCTAATTGAAATCATAATGGTGGGTTTATACCCACTTATAACTAATTTAGAACTAAATTTAACAATCGAGGCAACTCAATTAACATTAACAATTAATTAGCAAGTAGGTGTGTTGTCAGTTGCATTAAGTCTTAAATCATAAAGTATGCATGTATTATGAATAGGTATTACTTAATACTAATAGTAATTTAGATGATGTGGGATCTTTCCTTAAGCTGGGCCCATCTAGAAGATTAGGTACCTAAATCCGATAAATCCTAATTGAAATGGGTGTGTGATCACCTTGATTTAGGAATACCATTATTAAAAAAAATAAGCTTTTGATCAAGCTCTGTTGATAAAGTAATAACTCAACTAGAAGTAGGATTGGAATTGATCTTGGATACCCACTATAATTATAAAAAAAAATCTTGTACATCAGTGATACCTACTGAACCTACACCAAAAATTTGGTTTTTGTTCCTTATCTTGAAAATTCGTGGTAAATAGGTAGCAGTATTTAAGATTTTATTGTGCATACTACTGGGTAGGTATATCATGCATTGTATAGAAAGATTATGAAGTTCATTACTTATTCAGCAACTGATATAAGCAATAATCCAATAATAATAATGTGCCCTAATTCGTGTTTTCAATGACCTGGGTGTGGTAGATTAAACATCCTCTTGTCATCACACTTCCATCTTGCTGTGGTCTGGTTGCTACAAACTCACCTCAATATTTTTTACTTTGTCAAATCTTCCTCAGTCACATAAAGAAACTTATATTTTATATTTAAAAGAAATATCTCGCCGTAGTTGTTTCAACAAGAACCATACACATCACAAAATACATTAACCATTAAATTAACGGTACGTTATAGTTCCCGAATGAAAATTTTATCGATGACGTCACACGATATACTGCATCACGCATCTGCAATGCGCACGAACCTGATTTCTGTATTCACCAGTGGCGTAACAGTTGAGAGGTCGGTGACAGAATTCCAATAAAAAAAAAAACAACTTTTATATTACATTGTGAGAATACGGTAACTATTCAAATTTCAAAAATAAAATAACAGTTGATTGATTTTCATATATTCCATGATGAAGTTCTGCCATGATCTTTAATGAATATTCCACATTTTTCCACCTCTTTTCTCACCCTATCACACTGATTCAAAATATCCACATTTTTATTAGCTATGCCTATTACCCTCATTTCCTGCCTAAAACTGTTTAAAATATCCATGACATCACTGTAGTTTTTAGACACACTGTTCTTCTCTTCAAATCCCAGTCCCATCACACCCATTGTACTTAGGAAGAAGTTTTTAACAGCTAATACAGAAATGAGACCACTTCTGTCATCACTGGAAGCAGTACTATACAACATAGAATTTGTTAAAGAAACTAATTCATTCAATGTTTTGAGCACAGAGGGAGTATCAAAATTATCACAAAAAGATCTATGAACCTCATCTATAGATTTGATTAAATAAGCATTCAGAACATCAGAAGATACTTTAGCTTTCAAATGACCAGCACTATAATTATCACAAGAATTTATGAAGTTGCTGAATGTTCTATAAACATTTTCAGCAGTAGTGAACAAATTTTTACTATATTCCATATGACTTTGATAATGAGACATGATACAAGCCATCCTAAAAACTTCTGAGGAAGTTTCTCTCAACATCTCCTGTATTGAAACAGTGTTTTTTAGTGATTTTGACATCTTTTCTGAATGATTCACTTGAAGATGTCCAGTATGTAACCAGTAGTTGACCCATTGATTAGTGTTATGGAAAGCACATGATTGAGCTTCTTCATTTTCATGGTGAGGAAACCTCAGATCAATACCACCTGCATGAACATCAATATTTGAACCTGTAAATAAAAAAATATGGTCTCTGAATAAAGGAAATTGACAGTTTACCTAGGAAATGTGATGCTAAAGCAGAACACTCTATATGCCACCCAGGTCTTCCTCTTCCCCAAGGGCTCTCCCAGGATGGATCACCTTGTTCTTTGGTACTTTTCCAAAGAGCAAAGTCCATATCACTTTGCTTGATTTTGCTTTTCTGCTCCTTAGTTGTCTTGGAAATATTTTGTAATTTTCCATAGTTTTTGATGTCTTGAACATGAAAATACACAGAACCATCTTCAGCCTTATAGGCCAAACCATTTTCTTCAAGTCTTCTGATGAAACTGATTATCAGATCCATATATTCAGTGACTCTTGGAATAATATCAGGTTTTTTTACACCCAGGTCATCCATATCAGTCCAAAATTCTTGTTCATATTTTTCAGCAATATCTTTGTATGAACAATTCATGTCATTTGATTTTTTCACTATTTTATCATCAATATCTGTTATATTCATGACTGATATTAGATTATGTTTGAAGTAACCTTCTATAATTCTTTGTATGATATCTAATTTAACATAACAACTGGCATGTCCAACATGGGAAGAATCATAAACTGTGGGGCCACATGAATACCAAGTGAATATGTGCTTATTTCTCAATACTAGAGCTTCTTTCTTTTTCGTTACACAGTTATAAACTTTTATTCCTGTATCATATCCATCTGGAATTGACCAAGAATGGGTGAGTCCATATGCAGAATACAGATTTTTCCGTAAAAGAAACATTTCCTCCTGTTGCCTCTGGCACAGTTTTTTTTCTCTACAATGTTGTACAAAAGTTATCAATGTTATCATGAGGCAGGCACATCACATTTTGAGTAAAGAGTAATAGTGTTTCAGTAAAATCCTTGATCTTTTCTTCAGCACAAATGATACGTTCATCTGTATTTTACCATTTTTTACTTGAAATAAACATGAAAATGAAAACACTCAAATGTAACCTTACACTTTTTCTAGAAATCTGGCAATGACCGGAAAAAAGAAGACAATGGAGTTGGGTCAGTTGGATGGATGTCCAATTTTAGATGGAGTCAAGAAACTAGAAGATTATAATTGTGGCAGTTGTTCGAAGAAAAAGAAGAGCTAGAAGGAGAGGAAGAGAAGAAAATTAGAAGAAGTAACCATAAGAGCAAAACAAAAACAAAACCTTTAATTTGAAAAAAAAACTGTTCCCGTTTCCCGTGAATATTTGTTTCTGTTGTTGGGTTTTTTGGATCAAAATGAACAAACCAGAACTAGAAGGAACTGCTCATTTACTGGACGAACTCGACAGTAATTAATAATTCTGATATATTTTTCCTCACAGGAATAAGCTGTATTTTGGTCATGCTTGCCAAGTATTTATTAATTTATTATAATTAATCTATTATTTATATATTTTTATAATGAAATGTACCAGGCATAAAATGTCCAATATCTAGCAAAAATTAATTGATAGAAATCAGTTTAAAAGGGACCATATTAGATTGAAATGTGCACTTGGTCAACTTGGTGGCTGAATTTTTACAATCATTTGGTATATTTCAGAAAAGTTGATGGTTTTACTCAGAGATGGAAGAACTCTCATTGGATACCTGAGGAGTGTGGATCAATTTGCAAATCTAGTACTACATCAGACCATAGAGCGCATACATGTAGGAAAAGAGTATGGGGACATACCTAGAGGTGTATTCATAGTAAGAGGAGAGAATGTTGTATTACTTGGAGAAATTGTAAGCCCATTCAAAATTTCTTTAAACAGTATTTCATTTTCAATTCTTCAAGGATTCCAGCAAAGAAAGTGAACTACCTTTAACAGAAGTATCTGTAGATGATATATTAGCTGCCCAAAGAAGAGAACAGGAATTGAAGCAAGAGAAACAGAAGTTGCTATCAAAAGCTTTGAAAGAAAGAGGATTACATCTCCTAGCAGACCTCACTCATGATGACATGTTCTGAGCTGCTAAGTTGAAATTATATATTTTCCATATTTATTAATGAGACTTATTTCATTTTTTAAACAGTATATTAAAACAAAATTATAAGAATACTTGTATATAAAAATTACATATTGATACTATTTGCATTTATAATTGAAACCTATAAAAGCTAACTTCCATCAAAAAGATGTTTCAAATACAATAGGTGTTCCATTAGCATCAAATTGCTTTGGTTTCAACAACAATTCTTTTTCATCATTTTCAGTCATATCAACGTCGTCATCAGGTTTATTTCCATCCAAACAATAAAGCAGAGATTCACTCAGCTTATTTTGGCTCCAGTCATTGAGATCATCAGTAGAATTGAAGTCGTCAGTCCTACTAGAAAAACTAGAATCTTCGTCATCAGATAAAGTCAGGATGTCTCTGTTACTCAGATAATCCTTGAATGTTTCTGATAATACTGTGGGGGGCTCACTATTATTCATTTTGCTAGTGCTAGACTTAGTTCCTATGTCACCTTCACTTTTGGACTTCTTAAATTCTTTCTGATCATTGACATTAGGAGTTTCTGATACTTCTTCAGTCACATTGTCCATTGCCCAACTGGTCTGCTCTGGCTTGTACAGGGTGTTGATGTTGGTACCCGATAATAGTAAAACTGGCTTTCTGCTCCTTGGTGTCATCATAGTTTCCTAAAAAAATTGACCCATGGGTTTTCTGAACAGGGTGTCCCACTTGAATGTGCCTCCCCTTTATTCTCGTGATTCTCAACATATAGTGACATTTTGAAAATTTCCCACACTCAATATTTCCCTTCCAGTAAGTAAATAATAAAATAATATGAAAAATCAAGAAGATAGGACAATTATATTTTCAAGGAGGACACTTATTAAAATTAATTTTTTACAGTACCCGTCTAAAGTCCGTTCCCCCCCTACTAATTTTTGAACCACCTGGTATATCGCAACTAAATTTGGAGGGCTTCAATGGGACATGAAAACCTTCTTTTTTATGAAAAAATTAAAGCCAAAAGTTTCAAAGTGGCGGCTTAGCGCCATCTTCAATATATTTTTTAAATAGAACACCCCGTATATTATTCTATTTTCGACATTTGCTTATATTTATCAATTGTTTTCTCTCATACCCTTTACTCCCTGAAAAGTTTTCTGGAATATTTTTTTACGATTTTTTGAAATCTGCTCACTTTTTCTTTATACCAAAAAAAATTTTTTTTTCAAATGAAATGATCGATCTATATTTTTTTCCACAATTCGATTAAGCCAGTCAATCTGAATTCAAAAATTTACCTATATCATTCATATATTATCATCGAATAAAATTCAGATCATTTCATTTGAAGAAACTTTTTTTCTTAGCACCCCTGTATTTTGTTGATATAAAAAAAGCACAGATTCAAAAAATTCGCCAAAAATAAAAATATGTTGAGAATTACAAGGATAAAGTTTGGTGACACATCCAAGTGGGACACCCTGTACATACAGGAAAAATCATCTGTTACAGTTTTGCAGTGAGCGACACAAAAGAAAGTTGTATGAGGAGCAAGAAAAAAGCAGGACAAAAAAATTTTGTGTAAATAGTAGACACAAACATATTTTTGAAATATATCACAATTTATTTAGAAATTGGAGGCAGCTGAGTTCAGTGAACCCGACATTTCTGAATTTCAGTCAGAAATGTTCAGGTATATACATTTCTGAATGTTTCGGTATATACAGTATGATGCAAATGTATGGAATAAATTCATTTCAAAACAAGACGACTTTCGAAAAAAAAAAAAAAAAACTAGAGTTAAGAACTTTTTTTTCGACGTATTTTTTTAACTAGACGACCCTTCGATGTTCAATTCTCAGTAGCAGACCTCTGCAAGATTCAATTAATCACATGATAATCCATTTTAATTTCAATCTTCTTATGCAACATTTTGAATGTTGAATAGACGATCGGTAGAACTTTCAATCAAGGTGTCACATGACCCCTATTTGTATTTGAAAAAATCGTCCATTACGTCTTTACTCCAACACCGGTGACGTAACATCTCTCATATGAATATCATGAGATGAGGCTTCAGAAATGTAAACTCACGTGTTTTTGGAATTTTTTCAAATGTCGCCCATTTCTGAAATAATGAATTTATTCCATACATTTGCATCATACTGTATAGGGTGATTTTTTGAGAAACACTCACCCTACATATAAATATCTCAAAAGCTCAAAATAATAGAAATTCCTAAAAAACTTCAAGGTAATCTCTATCCAAATATGAAATAATGAGTCACAAGAAAATTTAAATAGTACTTTCAAATCGCATGGGTTGAATGATGCTTTCACTGCAAAAATAGCATTCATAGTCTTCTGGGTAACCCAAAAGATACAATTACGACTAATAATGAGTATAGTATATGATGAATATATTGGCCAAACACGTCAAACCATAGGCACAAGATTCAAAGAGCATATTGCTCACTCCAGATATAAAATCGGTTTCATAAATCTATATAGTGGCTGCCAACATATTTAAGATAATTGGAATCTCCTTCAAGATCTTGCAAACAAAATGGTTTGGAAGTTCAGAAGTTTTCTTACCTATGATATTGAATATGAAATAAATATTGTTTTGGTTAACAGAGAAGTAAACACGTGCTATAGTTATTGCAAATGTTATGAAAAGTTAAAGTAATCACAATAAGGAATCAGATCATTCTCATCATGCTGTGACAAAGTGATTCTTCAATGCTGGCATACCAGTCCTCAAAAACATGGGATGGTTAACAATAAATAACATCTGCTATAGTTAATGCAAATGTAATGAAAAGTAATTAAAATAAAAAATCAGATCATTCTCATCATGCTGTTACAAACTGATTCTTAATGCTTGAGAAATTTGTCTTCATGCCACGGCGGTTGAATGCTGTAATTCAAGCTGGAGGAAGGCATGCTCCTTATTGAATACATCTAGGAGGTCTGCTTTTTGTAATGAAGGTTTCTCTTTGCCAGTGAGAGTCAAGAAAACGAGGTGGAAAAAAGTGATATCATTTTTTTTTGCAATACACTCAAAAGTCGTCCTAATTTTTTCCAAAATCATTTCTTGAAGTTGACGTTTCTCTTACTGACACAATAAAATAATTGGATATCAATTATTTCGATTGCAGAACAAATAGCATGTTTCATTCGGATCAAAAGTGACTCTGTTTGACTCGCACAATTTGCGTGCTCGGCTTCGCGGTCGCCCCGCTTCGCAAACGCAATAGTATATTGTTTAATGGGTACGGAATGATAGTGAAAATAGCATTCCGTGCCTAACGGTATATGTTCGAACATTCCATGAAGTTGTACGGTATTCAAATGGTGTTTTTTGAAATATTATACCGGGTGACCAGTTATATTCTGACCCATTTCAAATGCTTATATCTCTGAAACCATTCAAGTTATCGTTGTGCAGTTTGGACTAGTCTATTTTGATATTTTTCAAGTTTTTTTTGACAGGTTCACCTTCTCTCTTGAACTTCCGGTTCTACCGGAAACAAACTAGCCATTATTCAGGTATAGGGCAACTTTTTTATTTCATCGAAGCACCCTGTATATTTTTGCACATTCAGAAAGACTGGTCTTTTCTCTTCCTAACAATGTATAACAAGTTATGTTTTCTTAGAAAACTATCAGAGTTATAACTCTTTGAAGCATCTACTGCATATTAGGATGTTATCCTGAAATGCTGAATTACTGTATATTGAGTATAAATCTGATGCAGATTTATGATGAGTTCATTTGCTTTTTCAGTCAAAGTAAACATTTTTTCAACTCGAAGAAAGTACAAATGCTCGACAATCTTTATTTGACACATCTAATCTGGCATTTCATGTGTTGTGATCAGGATTTCCAAAGACGAATTTGGTTACATTGCAAAATCTCATTAAACCATTCCACAAGCAGTAGTTGTTTCAAACAGTTATAACTCTGATAGTTTTCTAAGAAAACATAGTTTGTTATACATTATTAGAAAGAGAAAAGACCAGTCTTTCTGAATGTGCAAAAATATACAGGGTGATTCAATGAAATAAAAAAGTTGCCCTATACCTGAATAATGGCTAGTTTGTTTCCGGTAGAACCGGATGTTCAAGAGAGAAGGTGAACCTGTCAAAAAAAACTTGAAAAATATCAAAATAGACTAGTCCAAACTGCACAACGATAACTTGAATGGTTTCAGAGATATAAGCATTTGAAATGGGTCAGAATATAACTGGTCACCCGGTATCATATTTTATCAAAAAATTGATACATTCATGATATATTACTGCTATATTTTAATAGGCGGGTAAACTTTTTTTATTTCTTTAATAGAATCATCTGTCAAATACCTTTCAATTTCTATTTTCAAGAATTTTTCAGTCGATTTTTAGGTGCTAAAATCATCAATAATGCCACGGTAATTTTCAAACGGCTAGAAATTTGCCAACAGTAAAAACTGACGCCATGATTTTGTAAGTAGGGGCAGACCATAGCATAGTTGCCATGTGTTGAAATACGATTGGGAACTTCAGAAATATTAGTTATTCAATAATTCATTAATTCTCAATTGAGTATTGGTAATATTCCCAATTAGAAATAAAAATTCAATTGTCCCAAAATGTTCCCTTATGATTTGTGTAAATAATAATCAATTCACACTAGAGGACAATTGAATCGGTGAACATGACAACCCCGCGCACGACCAGTGGGCGTGGTCTAGTCAGTTCTCAGCATTCAGAACAATGTTGCCAAGTCTCCAACATTCACATGATATTTTGTTATGGAGAATAAGACATATTTGGACATGCTAATTGCTCGAAAAAATCAAGAATGAACTATAATGTCATGAGTGCCTCCTATTATGTTTCATTCAACGACAGTTACATCTTTTTGATAACTTGATATTGATTGGTGACTTGATAACCTAGCTTCACGAGTTCGCCAAATGGCGCCCGAGACGTTACGCTTGAAATGAGCTCTGAAATTCAACGATTTTGTACAACGCATAGAATTATTATTGACATAAAAAAGCATGAGAAGTAATGCGAAAATTACTTTACGTTCCTAACGACACAGTGGAGCAAAGATCATACACACACTAGATAATGGGCAACGCTAAGTTGGGACGAACAGAGCGGTGATAATCCGCTGTGCGCATCTATTCATTATAACGCCGCGTACTCCACCGACTCGGACAATAATATTTGTTCAACAAATAGCACAGCCGATTAGCCGCCGGTCTGTTAGATCTCATTGGAGCATTGCCAATTTTTACACAGGCATTGACTATCTAGTGTGTGTATGATCTTTGAGTGGAGTAATTGAATGCCAATTATTCATGATCAGTTCACTCGCCCATTATATGCTCATTTAAATTGAATTCAAGGATTTGTGTCCTCGCCTATAAATTTTTTACTGACCCTTTGTTTAGCCAGTGAATGTATGCATTTATTTTTTGAATACTTTGATTTCCAGCAGAATATTTAAACATTTGTTTGTTGCGCCCTCTGTTGGCTACTATTGCCATCATTAATATGACGTCATTTCGATTATCCATCGTGTGTGTTACCGATTGATGTTTCGTGCCTGTAATAAAGTTAGTTGTTGCAGTAAGTTTATGTGCGTTTGATTTCTCTCTGCCTGAAAATCTAACCGAAACATTTCCGCCACTCTCCGTCTACAAACACGAACCTGCATCGCTCTAGTCATTCTCTGCGTCGACCTCGTTATAGGCGACATCGACTTCGGGCTTTGCTGGTCGGGCGTGAACAAATTTTCGCGGCACGCCCTCATAGGCACACACGCAGGCGTGCTCGTCACGCAAACTTTATGCGCATGCGTCCCCCCACCACCGCTCACGTCCGCATCGGGCGACGTCGTCGCGTCCTCGGCCATCTTCGGCTTCTTCGGCGGGTTCTCTTCCCCGCTGCGATCGTTGCTGGTGTCGCAGTTATGGTGGCAGAATAGGCGAGCCCTAGCGACAATCGATTGAGAGTTTGAAGGGCTCTGAAAGTGAGAGGGAAGCGAGACATGCAGGCACATAAAACAAACAAAAAAAATGAAGGTTCAAGCAGAAGCAGCACAAAAAGCATACACTTGAAAATGTTCGGGGGGTCTAATGCTATCACAATGGATGATGAATAATAATTGAACGCTGCTGGTGGAATGTTAATGAAATATGCACTCAGTTTCCTGACTTTTATGATGGTATTTTGATCGCAGGAGGGTTATGAAATGATGGGTCAGACTCTATTTATAGACAATCTAATACTTTAATAGGTGTTATTGTTTGAATGTGAACTGAGGAAAAATTCCCAATAAACATGGTTGTGATAATTTGAAAACTATGACCCACTCAAGTTTGGCAGATGTAAGTTTAAATTGAAAAATTAGTAAGAAACCAAAATGATGAGATCAATTTTGATCATTTTTAAAATGTCCAGAAAAAGCAACAGACTGGATATTCTATTTTCCATTTCCATATGATTTTATGATTACTTGACATTAATCTTGTCTGGTTATAGACCAAAGCATTTTGATTTAAAAGCAGTAAATGAAATGAAAAGATGTATATACACATCACCAATGGAGTCACTAACATGAAAACATAATAGACTGATTATTTTGTGTTTAACCATTATGTTGCTATGCATTTTTTTGCAAAATATTCTGTACCAGAATGAAGAATATATGAAGGCTGCAACTTGGAACAGCAGGACCTTCTTCTAAAACTCATGTCAAAAATGAGTAGCTGTTTTCAATTCAATCTTGAGTTTTGCATGGAATCTTGGGTTTAGACATTGAAAAATAAACCAGTAAATATTTGGTTTTAAAACAGTGGCAAAATGATTATAAAATTTGGTTACATTTCTAGTTTGCTGAAAACCCAAAATGCAACATCCCAGGCAAAATCATACAGAACTAAATAATGTAACTTCAGTAAATTGGTAGCAGCTTGGCCTTATTTCTCAAATTCTCAATATTTTCATTGGAAATTGATTTTATGAACCCTTGATATGAAAATAAAATGATGATAAATATACCACCATAAAATCTAGAATTTCAAATGACCATCTATTTAAAATAAGCTTTCAACCTGCAGCTTATTGAATTTTTTTATATTTTTTTCTTAATTTGAACATAATCAAAACAAATGATTTTCATTAACAAAGAGGACTACTCATCCTCAAAAGACCTGTTGGAATCTGCAATAATAACTGCATTTGAGAATGTAAAATACAGTTCAAAATGCAGATTTATTTTGGACTCATTCTCTTAAGAGCATTCAAATTTTCCACCAATTTGAGTAATAGAACTTTTTGAGATCTTTTACCAAACAGTGAAATTGATAAATAATTCTCATAGTGATATAATTCATTTTCAGTAAAAAATTTGGAAGTATATAGCCACAAGCAACATTATCTGAAATTATCATGAAAACTCTTACATCCAATACTTCATCACTAGATGAAGACCTGAGCAAATAACCTCTCTTTTTTGCCAAACTCTTTTGGAAAATGTGTTTCTTGATGGAATCTCCAAAACTCTTATTTTTAGAGTGTCCACTTTTGATAACTTGCAGAGGAGTACCATGTCCATTTTCTTTGTTGAATTGTTTAACCAACTTCCTCTTCTTAGATGACTCTGGTAAGCTTTGGATATGGGCATACAACTGAGCTAAAGCTGTTTCTGTTGGATTAGACTCATTTTCTTTGGCTGTCCTTTCTTGATCTACAAAAGTGAAGACTGTGTTTGCAGCATCTGATACAGATTCATTAAACTTCTTTGTAGGTGACAAAACTTTTTTCTTCTCATATCTGGCCCTGAACTCCAATACCAATTTTGGAGGAATTTTGAAAAGCTCTGGGGTTTTTGTTATCATGAAACTGATTATTCCAAACAAGGTTTGTGAATCTTTCAATAGATTCTCTGGTGACAGCTTCCTTGGGCACAGCAAATGGGGAGTGAATAATTTTGCCAAATTGTCTGCTGACATTCTATTGAAACTCTCAAAAGATGCTGTGAGATGTAATAGTTCCAAGATGTCTTTCAATAGAACTTTGTTATCTGTTGGTAATAGCAACAGAAGGAGTTGTATTGCTTCTAATAATTTTATTTCTTGAGTAGGTTTCTGAGCAATACCACAACTTTCTGCTATTTGGCAGTATACTGGAAAATGTGCTTCAGTTAGCAATGGATCTGGTAATTCAGCCAGGAAGCCCTTTAGGACTGAAGCACAATCATGGACACTATATGTACTTTCTTCTAGCTGTAATGTGACACCTTGGTTCAAGAAATTCCTGAGATCTTGCTGCCTTTCTATTGAACCAGTCCTTCTGAATATACCTTCACTTTTCATATCTACAATATTATATAAGTCAGGCTCACTGACAACTACATAATATGGGCCAAATTCTAGTAATAAGCACATTATAGTTCATAGTACTTACTGTCTTCTTTTTTGAGAAATTCTATAAGCTGATAAACTTGACATATACCTTCCTGAGTAAGTGGTGCCCCTTCCATAACACCACGAAATTTAGATTTCTTTGTGAAGGGGGCAAATTTTTTAAGTTTCCCTTTTTCTGATAAGCATTCATTCCTATGGAAAAAATTGTGTGTTCAAGTTTGAGACCTAATAGATGGAAGTACTTACTCATCTGTGTTGATGTCTAATAAAAAAGACAGGTGCATTCGTACTAAAATGTGGAACTGTTCAGTATAATCTCTTTTGAATCTTTCAGCAATGCATTCGTCAGTTTCCTTATTCAGAGAACACATTCTCGAATATGGAATCGGAATCTCAGTCAATTCAGTTTATCGATTCAACACACATATTGTCTAATAAATAGATTTTCTATTTACGAAAATGGTTCAACCATTTTAAAAACGTTAACTAGTAACGACATTTTTTTTAAACATCCAAAACAATAACCCTAAACGTCAAAATTTATCGTCTTCTCTTTTTTTTCCTGTCTTGTTATTTTAGTTCGGTGCCAGATATCTTCTTCTGTTTTCATTTGCATGGTAGCTTACGACGATAACCCGGTAATAATTGCTGAACCGGATCATTGTTGGAATGCGAGAAATCATGATTTTTAATAAAATGTTTTTTTTCTGTGACGGGAAAAAGGTTTGACACTTCATCTCGGTTGACAGGTTACAAAATGTCACCATTCATAAATTACTTTTTTACACACTTTCTTTTCGGATACCGGATATACATAGGTGATTAGGTGTATACGTTGATGGCATTTGTTGTGCCAGTTCCGAAAAATATGCCAAAACAACATCGTCTGCGAGAAAGAACTGAAAGTCCATTTTATCTTCCATCCGCGTAAATTACTGAACAACAAAACACAGAATAGGCCTTTTCATATAGATATATTCTTAATACGCATGCGCTCGTTTTTAGATCCAAAATTCGATTGGGTAATGCGAAGGTGAAGTCTCATTGGCTATAGTTCCGACACAAAATTCTGATTGGCCATTTCGAATATGGCGGTTATTATTGAAGTTCTGACAAATGTCAACCACCATGGGCATTCGTCATTGAGAAACAACAATAACAATATAGTATTTCCGTTTCTATATTCCTGGTGAGTATTAATTGTATTATATTAATTTAAATCGAAAAGCCGTTACTTATTCGTTACTAAAGAGTGTGGTGCAAGTGTTTCGGTGAAAATGGCCGCCACTGTCGTTGGATGCGAGATGTAAACACAGATAGTCATTTGTCATCTTAACGAAAATATCTGATTACAAATTGTTGATATGAAAATGTCATCTTCCGCAGCTCAAAAAACACCTACAAGGTGACTTTTTGTTATTATTGAAGTTACAAAAGTGTTTAAATCGTCAAACTGCCAGTATTTTAAATGAGAAGAATGTGCTTTATGAACCCTATTACTTTTATTTGATACTTAACAGAAAAAAAATAAAGAACAGGGATTTTCATGTAAAAACATTGTATTTTTCATCAAAACTCGAGAACAAGATGCTCAATTGTATTATTTTCTTCCATTTTTACACTTTAAAGAGCGCTGAAAATACTTGAACAATGTTGAAGTACCTTTGATGATATCAAAGTATCAATATACACTTATTAATTTGAATAATTTTGTACAGGGCGTCTCCTTATATTTTGACTAATACCTACGACAGCTTCAACGAAACGAGGTGGAAGAACTTCAAATATGAAATTTGTGGGGTTGCATATCTGTACCATCTTTTGGTACTACTCTAGTAAACAAATGCGAATCGCAAAATAGAAACAGAACAAGAGTCCAAATCAGTTTTTCGAAAAGGAACACCCTGTCTATTTTTAGCTAATGTGAAAGATATTTTTCTTCTGTTACAAATATATGTATGTAGTTTGCTCATGTTCCCTTATTTAGCCGTTTTCGACTAAATTCTTGCTGCACTACTGAATTTTTTGCAATATTTTCATAATATAATCTTACCATCCCGCGTATTTTTCCTCTATGGAACAACCCATTTTTGTTAAAAACTGCCAGAGATGTCAAAAACTCTGCCTGTTTTGTTTCCATCGAATGTCTGTCATGTCGACAGCCATCAAAATGTTATTGGCAACTTTGATGCAATGCTAAATAGGTGAAAAACGGCTTAAAACATTAGCAAACTATACATACAAATTTTTGAACAGCAGAAGAGATCTTTCCCTAGAGATGAAAATATACAGGGTGTTCCATTTGAAAGACTGATTTGGAGTGTTTTTTTCTATTTTGCCATTCGAATTTGTTTTTTTGAGGAGTGCCAAAAGATACTTAGTACAGATGAAGTTTTTTTCTATCTCGTATAGTTGAAGCTGTAGGTAGGGGTCAAAATATACAGAGACACCCTGTAATGTAATGTTTCCATTATGTATTTTCTGAATGCTTAGAGGGATATAATAGTTCATTCAATGATACCATAACCATGGACGTTTAAGTGTGTTTTCACGACCACGGCCATAACAGATATAAAATTTACTCAAGTACATAATTACTTCATAATAGACTATACATTTTCATTCAATAATAAAACAGATTTGTGACAAACATGATTTCGGCTAGAATCTAGTAAATATTGCCAAAAACATGTGTCTCACAAAACCATCAGTATTTTCAACCACAAGAAATTCGTTTAAATTCCAGTGTAAAATCCAAGCACGTGACAGTTTATACTTTGTTCAATGAATTATAAATGTAGAATCAAACAAGAATCTACCATGGCATTATACAGTCTCATTATTCTTGGGTGGCACATAGTACATGGAATCCAAGAATAGCCTTGTGAAATCGCCAACAATAGATCTATCAGGCAGCTGTTGGGCAACTCCATAAAGTGCCATCTACAACATAATAAGTTCAATATTAACATCAGAATATCACCAACATCCTTGATAATTTACACCAACAAGATGATCCACCTCCATGTAAAATGTTGAAGCCAAATTTGGTGCTCGCGAAACTCAGCAAAACATATGGCCGATTTGTCTTTAATATCCGAATTTGCTCTAGTCTATCTATCTGCAAGTTGCTGAACTATTTAGGATTATCCTTCTTTCTGATTCAGGAAAATCACTAACTTTCAAATTCTAAAGGTTTTTAAATAAAAGTATTTTAATCCGGCCCTGATGAGATATTCCCACTTCTTGCATGAAAACATTTGAAAATAATTTTCGAAAATATTCTGCATTACCGATCTCTACCCTTCGCTACTCAACATATTCGACAAATTTCGAGCAAGCAGTCTCGCAAGCAGCTAAGAACCTCCAAAGCGCGCTGAATTCTCTTCAGGAGTACTTCCTAAGACGGAAGATCAAATTGAATCCTGCAAAAACACAATTGGTCGCACTCGGAAGGGAGCGGAGGCCTCCCAGAACCAGAATAGTCCTGGATGGTCATGAGTTAGGAAGGCCTTCACAAGTTGAATACTTAGGTGTGTGCATTGACCAAAAGCTCACCTGGGCCCAGCACATTGAACAGCAAGTTTTAAAAGCTAAACGAGCCATTGGAGCCCTGTATCCATTTCTAAACAGACGAAGTAAATTGGATTTGAGACAAAAATTGAATATTCACATCATGGCTATCAGGCCAATTTTACTGTATGCCTCGGTAGTCTGGGACCACACAGCTAAATCCCATATCACCAGATTACAAACATTACAAAACAAAATCGCGAGAATGGTGACAGGATCTCCTTGGTATGTTCGGAATAACCAGATCGCCAGGGATCTGAAACTCCCTTCAATCGTGTATTAGAGAACGAAACATCAAGACTTTCGAAAACGCTGAGGTTCATGAGAATCAGCTTCTTCGAAATGCAGTTGATTATGACCCAGGTGATCAATCAAAGTTCAAAAGACCAAGGTTGTCCATAAACCAAAGAAAATATCAACATTATGACCAAATTTACTATTCTCAAGTTTTTGATATTTATTTGTTCCGTTCGATCTTTCTCAATTCTCAGAATGTATTTCTGAAACTTATTTGGGACAGAAGGGCTGTTCGCATCAAACTTCAATACCGTTTTCATTTTTTTTTTTTGTTTCATGATAGATATCAGGATAATAGGGACTCTTCTGTGGTCTGATTCAAATAAAAGAAAGATCCAATATAGGTCACCTCGCGCTTATTGATACCGCCACCTACTAAACAGAATTACTTCTGGCTTCATTGCTCTCATAAGTATGGTTCATCTTGTAAGGGTAAATACTCAAGGCTAACATCCACAGTTTTCCTCACCTTGCCCTCAACAGGCTCTGAAGGATTCTTCATGATCTCTGTCAAGGAACTTTTCACGTCTTCCAAAAATTTATCCGCTACACCTGGTTGGGTGTGCATATGTGTGATGCATAAGTGAATACTACAATCGAATTCAAAAAGTAAAAAAAAGACGGAATATCAGTTTTTATTCGTAAATAGAATTTCTCGACGACTATATTACAAATGGCGCAGTCGGTAGGAAGCGAGATTTATAAGTGATATTTTATAGGTTACTAGCTGTACCCTGCGCAAGTTGCTACGCTTCTTACTAAAATAAATTTGAAGGAAAGACAGTACACAAATATTGAAATTATTTCGAGTAATTTTATTGATTATAGCTGACCCGGCAAACGTTGTTTTGCTATATACGTTATATCTAGAAAATATTTTTTCAGTCAAATACTTTTTTCGAAACACTATTTATTACAAAGCTATCGTTCGACATATTAAATCCGCCATCTTGAATTTTCTAATTATGACGAAGGAATCCTAATCTCCCAGCCCGAAAACCCTGATACCAATTTGAAATAGAATCGGATCATACTTAGAATAAACTTGTATGCCGTATTGGATCTTCCATCTTGAATTTCCAAAATTTGACGAATGAATGCCAATTTTGAACAGAATCGGATCATAATTACAAAAGTCGTCCGCGATATTGGATTCGCCATCTTAGATTCTCAAATTTGAAGAAAAAAATTGAAATCTTTGGCCCAAAAATTCCCCAGATACCAATTTTGAATAGAGTCGGTTCATAATTATTACAAAATTCGTTCACCATATTGGATCCGCCATCTTGAATTTACAAATTTTGAGGAAAGAATCATAATTCCCCCCAAAAATCCCCAGATACCAATTCGGAAAAGAATCGAAACATAATCACAAAACTCGTCCGCCATCTTGAATTTTCCAAATTTTGACAAAAGAATCATCACCGATCCCAAAAATCTCCGGATACCAATTTTGAATAGAATCGGATTATAATTACAAAACTCGTCCGGCATATTGGATCCGCCATCTTGAATTTATAATTTTTTTCTCATAGGAACCTTTCAATGACAATAACCAACAAAACAAAAATAATTAGTGAAATCGGTCACGCCGTTTACGATTCTATTAAAGATATAAACACATACACATTCACTTATGTATATTTATTTATATAGATTAAAAGAACCGATTTTGACTTACTCTTTGCATTATTATATTGCTATTATTGATATGAATTATTATGTTGCTATTGATCATTGTCACATTTAATTATCTCAGGAGCTGTAGAATTGAAATAGGAGAAAATATATTGAATTTGTTTGCCAATTAGTATTATGTTAATAATAAATTATAGTTTTGAACAACACAGATATGAATCAACCAGCTTCATAAACTTAGGCCATAACCATGACTAAAAGCGAATGTCATTGGCAGGAGCTGGTGGAGCTTTTCTGCCCCCATTGTATATGTTTCCTTCTTACTCTCATGTGTTAAACAGAAGTAAATATACACTCAGTAGAGAAACACTCCACCAGTTTCTGCTAATGGAATTTACTATAGGCCTGCTGAACTTGATTTTTTTCTATGACTATCTCTGTTCACATTATGCAATGAACAGAGACAAATATGGAAAAAGAAAAACTCTAGCAAGTTCTGCAATACAAACGAACAGACCATATAAGTAATGAATCATATAAAAGCAAGTTACATACCCAGAGGGAAACTGCAACACATTCAAATTCCATCCCCTCTCTTTCAAAGCAGTTGACAGCCTGTATATTTCGAAATCCTCCGAACCCAAGGCTATCACGCTGGTTACAGGTTGGCCGAAAATGAATATACCTTTCATGCGTCTGAGTCTACAACAACATAACAACATTCGAAAAAAAAAAACTTCTTTCTGATAGGACCAGGGCCGGATTATCCATAAGGCGGACTAGGCAACTGCCTAGGGTCCCCACACCGACTAGGGGCCCCGTGCACGAACAAACAAAAACGTTTCATCGAATGAGTTTGTTTTTGAAAATTTGTATACTTCCTCATTTCTATTTCCTGATCCATCATGATCACCATTCCGTTCTTTTTTCAGATGATTATAATCAATTTATAAAACGATGGATCGATGGATGGCAATTTTTTCTTGTATGCATTCAAATATATTCCAAGTAGGAACAGGAAATGATCTAGTTTTAATTTAATTAGTTTTCCAATAACGTAATTTTTCTACTGATGACAGGCAATAGGTACTTGTTGTCAAATTGACACATCGAATGACGTATCCATTGTACTATTGGAGAATTTCTTTTTCACAGCAACGATGCAACGACTGACTCAATTGATGAGTTGGATAATCAATCACTGATAGATAGGTATAATGGCTAATGAGATATGTTTGAAATGTGAAAACATTCAAGATTTGGGATGGGCTTATTTCACAAAAAAAAAAATTATTTCATAATTCGATAGAACTCACCCAACTAGCTCACCACCGCAAACCGTTTCTTGCTGTGAGCTCCCTACGTTTTATAAAAAATTATTGAGATCCCCGATTTTTCGGACCTCTGAAAACGAGACGATGATGTAACGTCAAAACCCTAATACTGAAACAAGACTATTCCAGACAGAGATGAATGATACATGATTTCTGACAGAGTGAATTAGCGCGAGATCACAGTTGAAATAATTAATATATCAGTTGCCTCAGTCTCCGTCCTCCGGCGTTTGGTATTTTCTATGGCGAGATGAGGTTTCTACGTCATAAGAGGGTCCGTTTTCAGAAGGTACTATTATTTATGTCCAAAAATAAAACAGTCCAGTTGATTTTTCGATCGAATTATGTCGTCAATCATTATTTATGTATAAAATGATCATTATAAACATGGTTTGAGTTGAGAGTTCTACTAAGGTGTACACGCCCATTCAAGGTAACAATGTTATTACAATATCACACGAGAGATTGAAGTAACAGTATACCAAAGGTGTTGATCTGATCGACTAGACATTTGTTTCAAAAATCAAAAAAGCATAAAAGAAAGAGGATAGTTGCATTGCCTAGGGGGCCTGATAGGGTTAATCCGGCCCTGGATAGGACTAATTCCTTACCCTTTTTCGATATACATCGTTGTGTGGATAATATTTCTCGTTGCCTCGACATAACCTTCTTTGCCGAAATTTAATAGGGTGGCCCAGCATACGGCTATGCTTCCCCCAGGTCGGGAACCACCTATACTAGGGGACCCGTAAACACCACCAGGCCAATCAGTTGTCACTGTATACTGATGGTGACGATATTTTTTCTCTCGGTACAGGATCACAGAAGAACCTACCAATAATTCGTTTGGTTGGTTTTGATTGATGGTTATGATGAATTTTCATGAGGGAATATAGTAGTTTGAAAAACTAAAGAAACACCCTTTTATAGATAGCCAAATTGAAAAGTTGAAAATAAAACAATAAAGTTGTGTTGACCACATCCTGGATAAATGTAAGTGACGATACCTATCTAGAACCATATAATGTCGAGACTAAGTACCACAATATCTTGGACACGCTGTCATTTCAAAATTTCATGCAATTCAATAATGTTCACAATAAAAACAACAAGCTACTGGATCTCATTTTGTGCAATAAGATCAAAATTTCTCAGCTACATCACTGCTCTAATCCATTGGTTTATGAGGACAGTCACCATCCCTCAATTGAGTTTTTATGTGACATAACCCAAAACAGAGGCCTTCGATATCAATCAAATGATTGGCAATACAACTTCAAAAAAGCCGCATATCAGCACATAAACCAGGCAATATCTGATATTGCATGGGATAATATTTTTTCTGGGCGATCCCTCACCATCAATGTAACTTCTTTTTATGGGATTATCAGGAATATCGTTGACAAAAATGTTCCTAAGTACAGCAAGTGTAGGCATTTTCCACCATTTTATAAAGTAGCAACCATACGCGCCGTTAAAGAAAAAAATAAATATCACAAAAAATGGAAAATATATAAAAATGAAAATGACTACAATTTATTCAAAGTTCTCCGTGCGCGCTCGAAAAAACTGATCGAAACTGATTTCAAAAATTATTTACACTCTATAGAACAAGAATTGCCGTCAAACTCCAAACAGTTCTGGAAATATGCCTCTCTCAAAAGGCAGTGCATAAGTAAAATCCCGAATGAACTAATATATGACGATGTAATTGCTAATAATGGACAAGATATAAGCAACCTATTTTCCACATATTTCCAAAGCGTATTTGTGCCAGACACTCACGATTTCAACCATAATAGTTCATCAACAACTGATACTAATAACGAACTTTGTCTTTTCCGGTTAACAGAAAATGAAGTCGAAAACGGCTTAAAGGAGCTTGATAGTAACAAAGCCGCAGGGCCTGATGAATTGCCACCACTTTTATTGAAAAACTGTAGTAAATCTCTGGCAAAACCTCTAACCTTGATTTTTAACCAGTCACTAAGCAAAGGTGAATTCCCAGATATTTGGAAAATAGCTGCTGTCTTACCAATTTTCAAAAATGGAAAGAAAAACATGGTACGTAATTATAGACCCATCAGTAAACTTTCGGCGATCCCAAAACTTTTTGAAAAACTAGTGTATACATATATATTCTTCCTCGTGAAGTCTATCATTATATCAGAGCAGCATGGTTTTTATGCTGGGCGATCACTTGAATCGAATTTGGTTGAATATACCGAATACTTGTATATGAATATGGACCAAAGATTACAGGTGGATGCCATTTACACCGATTTCAGCAAGGCGTTCGATAAGATCAGTCATAATCTTCTTCTCGAGCGCCTTGCTGGGGTTGGGGTGAGTGGATCTCTCTTAAGATGGGTGGAGTCGTATATAAAAAATAGGTCACAATTCGTTACTGTACAGGGATTCAATTCAGAAAAATATAATATTACATCAGGTGTTCCTCAAGGATCACACCTCGGTCCGTTATTTTTTATTATTTATGTCAATTCTATAAAATCGTGTTTCAAATATTGTAAATTTTCCTTATACGCAGATGATCTGAAATTTTATCTCACCATAAATACATTATCAGATTGTTGCAAGATTCAGGAAGACCTAAATAGATTGACAGAATATTGCAACTCATCTAGTTTATTCTTGAATTTTCAGAAGTGTAACTGCATTAGCTTCACAAGAAATTTTTATTCGATTCACAGCAATTATTACATAGGGAATGATCAAATAGTGAGAGTTAACAACATTAGGGACCTAGGCACTATATATGACTCCAAACTGATTTTTGATTTACATGTGGAATCAATTGCAAATTCAGCCTCACGTATGTTGGGTTATGTATTAAGAACTTGTAAATATTTTTCAAACACCAAAGCCTTAATATGTGTATATTACGCATTTGTATTTAGTAAAATAAATTTTGCCTGTGTAGTTTGGTGCCCACAATATAAAACATACATAAACCGCCTGGAAAACATTCAGAACAAGTTCATTAGATATATTAGCTTCAAAGATAATTACAATTACAACGGCGATATAAATAACGCCAGAAAACATTTCAAACTGGTATCCCTGTCAAACAGAAGAGAGATCATGGATATATTATTCTTACATAAAATCACCAACAGCATCATAGACAACCCCAATCTATTGAATCAAATTCTAATGAATGTTCCCAGTCGGCATCTAAGAACGAACAATTTATTCCACATACCTTTTAGGCGAACAAACTCGTCGCAGAATTCTCCATTATGTAGAATTGCCCGAAACTCAAATATTTACAATGATCAAATTGATATTTTTTCTTCATCCCAACAAAAAATTAAACATACTCTAAAACATTTTTTCTTACAATGAAGACTACACTTCATCCTTCTTCGAAGTGAGCACGTTTCAAATTATTGTTCCAAAAAATTGTATTCTATTAGGTATAAGGTATAATAACTAGATGTATAATAATTTTAATGTTTCGCATTTTATGTTCACATGAAATTATTTTCATAAATTTGTATTAACAAAGGCTCAAAACAAAAATGTGTCTATAGTATATATATGTTACATAACCATTGTAATCTTCTCGTAGATACTTTAGTGGACTACTTGTCTGTTTGTATCTTGATGACAATGAAATAAATAAATAAATAAATAAATAAATGCACAACATAGAAAATATTAGCATCTCCTCAAACAGTACATTCTATGTTGTGTATTTATCAACAAACTTTTATTATTTCAATTTCTACTTCTTTTTAGTTTGGCTAAGTATAAAAAGGTGTTTCTTTAGTTTTTAAACTACTAATTATTTTCTATTTTTTTAGTTCGGCTAACAACAAAAGCGTGTTTTTTAGTGTTCTTAAATTTTTTGTATGTACCCAATTTTGACGAAAGAATCATAATCTCCGACCTCGTTAACCACCAGATACAAATTTTGAGTAGAATCGTATCATAATAATCGCAAAGCTCGTCCTTCATGTTAGATCTGCCATCTTGAATTTTCAAATTTTGACGATAGAATCATAATCCTCGATACTGGAAACCCCCAGATACAAATTTTGAATAGATTCGGATCATAATTACAAAACTCGTCCACCATATTGAATCCGCCATCTTGAATTTACCAATTTCGACGAAAGAATCATTATCTCCGACCTCTAAAACCCCCCGATACCAATTTTGAATAGAATCGGATTATGATTACAGAACTATTCACCCATATTGGATCCGCCATCTTGAATTTTGAGAAATTTTGAGAAAAGAATCATAATCTCTGATTCCGAAAAACCCGCAGATACAAATTTTGAATAGATTCGGATCATAATAACAAAACTTGTCCTTCATATTGAATCCGCCATATTGATCTTCCAAATTGCCTAGTATTGTAATTTCGAAAAGATGAGGCAAAAATATATATTTTTCACATGTTTTTTATTGACATATCTCCTAATTCTGAATAAAATTTCAGGAGTTCTATTCTCGAGTTTACTTCCTATACGAATTCGATCGTCTATTCCACTTCAACATACATTACATACGTAAGATCATCTTTCTTTATTCGTATACGATTTGAATTCGAACGGTTCGAGAATAGACCCCCAGTTATTGGGTTCAGTTTTTTTCTTAGGATTTCAATGTGTTTGCTCCGAGTTACTTGGATATCTGCAAGAGAGTGTATGGCTTATTTTGAATCGCCTATAGCAAATAAACACCAAACCTTACTTGTGATAGTGATGTGTTTGAAAATATTATTTTTGGTAGAGGGATCTATTTTTTGAATTGACTCGGCTGATGCTTGATGGAAATCCATAGTAAATAAAAATACTTCACAAACGATAAGATTTTCACAAAATTCTTTACATTGATTTACCCAACTTTTATATTCCACTTTCTGAACCTTAAGGATTAAAATTTCCTGTGGAAAGACATTTAAATTCGGTGTATCTACTTGAGAAGGATGAAAGCACAAGAATTTTGTGGAAGGAAATCTTATCATTTGTGAAGTTTTTTAGAGGGCTCTAGATTTCACCCTGTAGATGTCACATATCTTGGAACTCAAGAGAATAAAGTACACAAACTCATTCCTACTGAATTTTGAACTGTTGACGAATCAGAATAGTATTTTTTTTCAAATATTTGATTTTGAATAAACAATTCCAGATTATAACTAGTGTGTTGAAGATGACTGATAATTTTGGACAGATGATTTGCTTATCTCCGCCTCTACTCTCTAACAAAAATGTAGTCAACAAGAGTTCAAGTGACTTGAGAATAATTGCCAAGTATTCAGTTTTTAATAGTCAGAAAAATTTCTATAATAAATATAAATGAGTTCAAAAAATGTCATGTTTTTTCTTGATCATTATCAGTTTTTTTTAGAGAGTAAGATTATTTTAGACAGTGCCAGTTCAATTAGATGAAAATGCATCATTTAATTGAAAATGGGCTGATTTTTCAGAAAACCAAATCAGTTTTCCACAGAAAACTGAAAATGGAAAATCTTGATTACAATTTTAGGAGAGAAGTGAAGGTTTTTACTACCTATTGGTGAAGTTCTTGAGGAAAGGTTATTTTTCAATTTGTAAAAATATTGATCTTAATATTCTTAACTAGGATTACAATATGTTTTAGTCAGTTTTTAAAGAAGTTAAGAATTATTTCTATATGTGAAATTTGTGAATTATTTTTCAATTTGTGAAAACATCAATCTCACTGTGCAGATTTCTGTGACTTGTAGAACATTTTTAAAAAGTTTTTGTTTGATTATGAAACTTTGGAAAACTCTTCTCTCTGCCCTTGTTGATGTTTTTATCAACATGCTATAGCTTAATCAATGAGGTGATTTTTTTATTAAGTTGCATGTTTTGAAAATTTATTTCAGTACTTATAAATGTGGTTTCAAATTGTAAAAATACTAGTTTTGAGAAAGATTTTCTTATCATCTGCATACTTTGATAATACAAATAAATCACACTTTCTAGGATAAAAAACCAGGAGACAAATAAAAGTTGGACAAATTTTGAGGCATAGAAGGACTAAGTACCTATCTTATTCAGTAAGCATGTATTCAGTAAAAAGCTCAGTAAAAAGTAAATAAAAAATATACAGTGGGATTGGGATGTTTTCAAATTAATGTTTCCTTCTTTTAGAGCATGCTGAATTGAATAATTAATATATCTTACCTTTGGGTGTGAATCCATATTTATGTGTATCAGCAGATATACTAGTCACACCAGGCAATCTAAAATCACACAAAGGAATAGGATAACCAGCATCTTCCATAAAACAACTCAAAAATCCACCTAGACAGGAATCAACATGAACAGGAATATTATATTTCAACCCTAATTCAGATATAGCAGATATGTCATCCATAGTACCATATGGGAAATTGGGGGCAGAACCAACTAACTGAAATCAAAATACTAAATATTATAAACATATGCCTATCAGTTTTCTTAAATTGATATTTTGTAAATAATTCCTGTGATTCACATACCAGAACTGTATTTCCATTGATTGCCCTTCTAAAAGATCTCATATCAACTTGGTAGGTTTGTGTACTAACTTCTATGGATCTAACTTTCAGTCCCAAATATTGTGCTGCTTTGTCAAAGGCAGAATGTACTGTAACAGGAACAACTATTTCAGGCTTTTTGATGCCTTTGACTTCTCTTGCATAGTCTCTGAAGGCTTTGCATGCCATTATGATGGATTCAGTTCCACCACTTGTTATTGATCCACAAACATTTTCATCCCCATGGAATAAGCCTGCAGTGATTGTTATAACTTCTGCTTCCATCTTACAGACTCCAGGAAACAAGTCTGGATGTAAGGGATTAGTGTAAGATGTTTTACCATATACATCACTGACTAAATCAATCAAATCATTATTGAAATAATAGACAGCCCCAGACACCAATCCTCCTTTCCAGTTATAATCACCTACAAAATATAGGTAGTTATTTGGTAATCATCAAAGTTCTACAAGATCAAGAGACTTACCTAGATTCAGATTTTGTTGAAGGTAATTCAAAATATCCTCTTTGGCAAGTCCTTTTAGTGGTAAACTTCTGATATAAACTAAATCTTTGGTTCTTTCTTTCACATCATCTTCAAAATTCTGAGAAATGTTTGCCAACTCATCTTCAAGTTTTTTTCTCACTGCAGGAATACGCTTAGCTATTCTAAACACAGTTTTTTTTCCTCTTTGTATGATACCTAAAATAGGCATTATTTAAATGAATTCAACAGTTCAGAGTGCAGGTTCAATATATCAATTGGAACTTTACCTTACTTTCATCTTGAAACAAAAAGTCATAAAGCCATACAGTTGTTAAAACAACTGTAGTGGTCAATGTTACAATTTGCCATGCTTCTTTTCCTTCAAAAGTATTATTCAATCCAACTTTCAATAGATGCAAAGGATTATTCACCAAGCCCATTTTGGGATTATCAGCTAGCCACTATAATGATTTATGAACAATAAGTTCAAGTACAATAGTACTATGAGCCTTGATTTCAGACGATAAGATAACAACAATACATTATTGAGATGACGAGATCTGTTTCAATTTTCCCTGGGATATTATTTAAAAATTTTTAGTTTTTTACCCACTTAACTAAAAATCACCTAACCTAACCTCACTTGAGTACTGACAACTTTGGGAGATGTCACAATGACAATGACAAATGACACACCTAACATATGCCCCCCCCCTATGACAGCGCAGCCTGACCGTGAAACTGACATAAGTGAAAAGTGATGTAAATAAATAACAAAATATATTAAAAAAATAGCAGAAATACATATTTTCATTTTGATTATATTAAATTTGAAATATGATGGAAGATCTGAATGACAAGTTTTATTATTTATATAGTTCTTCAATTCCAGATAAAATACAAATTAAAATGTCAGTACTTCAGAACAGACATGGTAATGGATTTGCTCATAAATATGAAACCTTTGTTTTCAGAGGAACATTGGAAGGTAAAAGGCAAAAACCAGAGTATGACAAGCTCCTAGCTGACCCAATGTTGAAATATTCTGGATTATATCAAGATGATTGTGCTGACTTGATGGTAGTATGCCAGATTTTCGATAAAAACAGACCTCTTGCCCTACCAGTTTCAACTTCATATAAGGCATTCACTACCAGATGGAAGTAAGTAAACAAATGCAAGACAATTTATTAGTTTTAACTCCATATTATATTCAGTTGGAATGAGTGGCTGACATTGCCAGTACAATTCAATGATTTACCTAGAACAGCTCAATTGGTCATATCCATTTATGACTGTTTTGGCCCCACTACACTGGGACCTGTAGGTGGAACAACAATATCTTTATTTAGTAAGCATGGATTATTTAGACAGGTTAGAAAAGTTGAAAACCTATATATCTCATTTGCTGAATTTATTCACAGATTCACTGAGTGATTAAAGGTGTTTTATTATAATTTTTTTAGGGTATGCTGGATTTGAGAATATGGCCCAACAAGGAAGGTGATGGTAACTATCCAACTTCAACCCCTGGAAAAGCAAAAAATGATGGAAAAGAACAAATGCAAAGATTATCAAAGCTAGCAAAAAAACACAGAAATGGTCATATCACAAAAGTAATACTCAGTTTTGACCAGGGGTTATACCTAGTACTTTGATTTTTTTCTTATATTTTTCAGGTAGACTGGCTTGATCGCTTAACATTTAGAGAGCTAGAAATGATAAATGAAAAAGAAAAAAGGTTTTCAGAGTACATGTATCTGATGATTGAGTTTCCTACAATATCTGTAGATAATATACCACATCACATTGTATATTTTGAGGAGAATGGGGAAGAGATTGTGTCAGTAAGATCACAAACTGACCTAGTAACAGTTCCAGATCAAGAAATACTGAAGGTAGTACATAAATGAGGTTATTTTCAATTATTTCAATCAAATATTCATACCAATTTTTATCATACCAATTTTTATCATAGAACATTATGTGACTAAGTCTTAATTTGTTTTTTTATTAATCCCATTGAGATTAATCTTGAGACTTCATATTTTTGCTGATTAGATATCAGATGGAAAGCAAATGATAAGAATGTGTACTTTGATTTGAAGTACTTGACATGATCTGCTGTAATATAATTAAAAATAATGTCACTTTGGGGGCAACTAGCTAATAAAATTAAAAGTAATGCAACTAATGAATCAAATGAAAACAAAGTGTTGAGGTGCCATTTGTGTGAAGGTTTCATAAAAACAAGTGCAATAAAATGCTTGAAGTGTACAACATACTTGCACACAAATTGTTTTGAGAGAGCATCAGAAATTTTTCTTGCTGAGAAAAATTCTTGGCAGTGCAAAGTTTGTTTATACAAAGACATCAAAACATTGGAAACAGATCTGATTCAAAAGGAGAATCAGTGTTTAAAAAATCAAATAGAAATTTTGACTAAGCTTGTTAGTGAACAGGATTATGTGAATTGTTTACAGAAACAGAAATTGGAAAATTTTGTAAGTTGTCTTACATTCAACTTGTAAATGGAACTGAACTCTGAACTGATTAAATTATGTCTGATCTCAATTTCCCATCAACTTCAACATTGTCACTATTAATATGTCAAGTTTCAAAACAATACTAACTATTAATCCAAAATTGTGCTTGTTAGATTGTCTATTCTTTGAAATTGTTCATAGTTTTTTGTGCATTTTTTTGGGTGTGTATAATTTGCAGACTGGAATAAAATGTTGCGGACTGGCTATTTCCATCAAACTTCTCGATGTTTTTATTGCACATCTGGATACAGCTCACTGATATACACGATGAGAAGTTTCAGTTTTTTTTCTATGACCCCCCTGGGGAGCACTTTACTCTTGTGTTTTTTCATAAAATCTTGTGGACTGGGTATTTATGAGAGTCAAATCATCCCAATTTCAACATAAATCGATTTATCTCATGAAAATACATGATGAAAACTTTTTGAATTTTTTCCCCAGCCCCCTGGGGAGCACTTTACTCGTGTGTTTTCTCATTAAAACTTGCGGACTGGGTATTTTTGAGAGTCAAATCATCTCAATTTCACCATAAATCGATTTATCTCGTGAAAATACACGAAGATTTTATGAGTAAAGTGTTCCCCAGTGGGGCTGGGGGAAAAATTGAAGAACTTTTCATCGAGTATTTTCATGAGATAAATCGATTTATGGTGAAATTGAGATGATTTGACTCTCAAAAATACCCAGTCCGCAAGATTTTATGAAAAAACACAAGAGTAAAGTGCTCCCCAGGGGGGTCATAGAAAACAAACTGAAACTTCTCATCATGTATATCGGTGAGCTGAATCCAGATATGCAATGAAAACATCGAAAAGTTTGATGGAAATAGCCAGTCCGCAACATTTTATTCCAGTCCGCAAATTATACACACCCCATTTTTTTCCTCCACAGTAGGGTGTTAGTTATACATACAGGGTGACATTTTGAAACTTCTCACCCTCAATATCTTCCTTCCAGTGAATAATATGAAAAATTGAAAAGACAGGTTAATTCCATTTTCAAGGTGGACAATTTAAATGCATATATTTAGTCCTCTTGGTTCAATCCCCTAGGAAGGGTATATGTTACCGTTAGAACCTTATATGAAGATGCACATTATTTTGAAGGTTGTTCAATTCTCTTTCCAACAGTACCTACCCTAGTTTTCCATTTTTTGATGAGCAGTTTCCGAAAAATTCCGTTCATAAACTCAAAGAAGTAATTAGAACATGACTGCATTGAGATTTATGGTTTTCAGGTTAGGTTATTGTATTGACTCTCCTTTGAGTTCAGAAACTTCCTACCATTTCCACTGAAAGAAGAGTAAATACAATAATACTAATCTGAAAACCATGAATCTCATTGCAGGCATGTACTAAGTGCAGCAGTATATCTATAATGTGCTTTTTTTTGTTCTTTGGCAGAGAAAAAGGGTTTTTTATCGGTGCCCTACTAGTCCTATCATTTGGTAGTTTGGACAGGAAAAAATTGCTGAAGGATTTTTTTCAACGGATCCATAAGTTTTTCGGGATGCTGAATCTGAAAATTCAGTTATAGACTAGATTCGGATATGGCTTCACCATGAAAATGGCAGAAAATTATGAAAAATCGGGAGTTGTTTTAGTTTTTTGCTCATAACTCCGAAACAACTCCATATAGAGAAAAATTAGCAGAGATGAAAATGAAAGCAAATGAAATTTACAAAAAAATAAGACAAAAATCAGCTCGCTAACTTATCTGGTTCAGCCACTAGAGCGAGCTGAAGATTGACCATAGCTTTCAGGTTATTCAAAATATTCCTATTTCAGACTTTCAAAGCCTGTCTGTCCACAGAATCTGCGCCCTTCTTTGATTGGGTCTGAAGTCAAAATTGAAACCATAATATAGGTCTGATTGTAAAAGACACTCATGGTTGTATGGATAAAAATTAGTGTTGTCAAGTAAAGGATGCCAAGTACCTTCCCCAGAGCAAAGGGTTGTTCTAAGAGGATAGAAAATAGTACTAGTCAAATTTTAATGTTCCTGCTAGATTCAGAATGAAGCATAATTGATGTATATTTGTGATTTGAAGGGAAATTTGAAATGAAGGCATAAAATAAATGTTAAGGAAGGAAGTTCAGGATACTCTATGGTGAGACACACAAGGCGGAAACATTAGCCTGGCGATGTATACTAATTTAAATTCTGAAATACGAATATTTTGGACAACTTAAACAAACAAGATATCGAGCTTTCACTTTTGTATGATTTATCTTTTCTCCAAATCACGTCGTTTCGGAGTTATAAACAAAAAATCAAAATAAGTCCCGGATTTTCATGGTTTATTGCGATTTTCGTGGTGAAGCCATATTCGAATCTGGTCGATAACTAGATTTTAAGATTCTTATTGAATGTCAACATTTTAATTTTCGATCTGACAGGAGTACGATGTCACGTCAAATAAAATATTAACAAATGTTCAACCATTTAACATTATTGTTATTTCCATATTTATGATCTCAAAGTGTACCTACCAATAAAACAAAAGAGCGTAAAGTATCCGTGGATAGCTGAGCAAAACCTGTTAATTTCAGTTATAAAATCCTATGTTTCGTCGCCTTTGAAAAGAGCTTTCCAAAAATATCCCACTCAATATTTTCATCTTTCCTATTTCTCTAAATATGTTGTATACATTTGAAATGAACAGAGATGAACAGAGGTTGAATGATTTTTGAGAGAGGTCAATTTTGTAACCATTGTCAAGACCTACTCTCGATAATCATTTAAAAATTGATCAAACTATGTTAGTTGTTTTTAATGCCCAATTTTGGAGAAACAGGATAGATGAATCTATTGATGGATATATAGAACATTTACACACTTACATACCAGCATTCATAAATTCTTTAGAAAATGTCGGGAATGATGTTGTGAGGTGTCTCTTTCTGTATCGAAATTGTATGTAAAAAACTTCAGGATCAGTTTTTTTGATTTCCTTCTTGAAAATTGTAGAATTCATATTTTCATAATGCTTTGGTAATATAATGTGAAGTTTCACATCCACAGTATTTCTCTTTGATTTAGACAGTCTGAACTCTGAACCTTGGCTGCCTGAGCTGGTTTGCCTACCTTGTACATTGTGGTTGTGTATATCTGACTGTACAGTTAAAAGCTACTTGATTTTTTGCGTAATTCAAGTAGGGAATTATTTATGTATACTGACGGTAAAGGCATTATCCTCAATTCAATGAAGATAGAGCGACAGTGTTCCCTAAAACCGATCTTTGCCATGATCCGTATTGCTTTCTTCTGCAATTTGATTTGAGAATATTGTTTGAGTGTAAAAAGTTTCCCCACAGTGATATTCCACAGTTGGGTATCTTTGGAAAGCTCTTCAGAAGGTGTTTCAAATGGTAAGGAAATATATAGGTCGTTCTATTCAGAATTCATAATTTTTTGCTGCTCCCCGTATCTTAAATAATGACACGACACATTATCCGCGGACATAATATCCGCGACATTATATCCGTATGCCAATATATCCGCGACACTATATCCGCGACACTATACAATACATAATAATATATACACCGGTAAATAATAACAATATTATATTCGAAATAACATTAACAATTAACAATGCCGAATTATTTTTTTGGTGCGCACGTTGTACGGCTCTCTTCAAGGCGGGTTCATTAGGCATCTTAGCTGCAGTAGAATCAGAAACATTCTTAACTGACTTGGCAACCAAAACACTAGGCAGATCGTCACATTTCCTAGCAAGCTTCTTTAAATTTGCCTTGACTTTGGCAGCCTCGACAGAAGAAATATCGGCAGAATGATGATGATTAGGAACGTCACCAACAATTGATCCTAATTAAATAAAGAAAAAGCACGAAATTAACCTAACATGCAAAGTTACAACCAACAGAAACACGAGAACGTTAAGTTTTCGAACCATTCCCAAATCATTGTCAGATTGGTCAAGTGATACATTATGGACGCATGCGCATTCGCTCATAGAAAAACTAATTATTATTAACGAGACCCTCCTCCGGGGCTCGAAAGGAAGGAAAAACATTCTTGAAAGCTCAAATCACTATATAAATGATCACAGTGGGCTGACGCCATGCTATTAGTGGACCAGAATTAAACTCCCTGACCAAACTCAGCCTCCACAATTTCATTGCAGAAATAATCTTCAAAAAACACGAATCACAGCATATCACGTGATGGAAATGGTTCGAAAGTTATATAGGCACTTCTCAAAATAATTAGGTACCTGTTTTCTTATTAGAAGATGTATGAACCACAACACGACAGGAATGCTTGGAATACTGTTTACACCGCCACGTGATGGTGCCAGAAGCATTTTCACTTTTTTTTGTATAAACATATCCATCATGAATCAACATTGGATTACCATACTGCGACTGTACGAATTTCAAAGGCATTGTTAGCAAAAATGACAAAATAAAAATAACGATATGCTCGGTACGACAGACAATAAGAAACAATTCACAACTTAAATTGAAACGATGGGCTACTATGAAAGCATGTACGGATTTAATGTTGCGGATATAACGCCACGGATATATTGTCGCGAGGATATGATGTCGCGGATATAGCGTCACGGATATAATGACCGTGGATGTAATGACGTGTTAGCGACCCGGCACCTTGAATCTCCATCGTTTTTGACCGAATTTTTTCGAAAGGAAAACCTCGTGGAAAGCAAACACCACAAACTAGCACGGTCCCTCAGGAGCGGACATTGCGACAAGGATGCCAAACCGACCGCTACCATGCGCAATATACTCAACACGATCGTCTCTTATCCCCCCACCAAGAACCTCTCGAACGAGGAACAAGACCACGTGTGGAAGTACAGGTCAGTATTGCCGAACTCAATCACAGAATAGATATCACCCGTTTTTTTTTTCAAAAGTTATTGCTGTTTTCTATGAGGAAAATGATTGCGAACAGAACAAATCGGAGTGAAATCGCACCATTCGTTCGATAGATATGAAAGACATAGTTTTCCCTATTCAGGGTCCTGCATCTCACCTCCCGTCTTCTATAGCTCAGTTATCAGTTGAGTCAGTATTTTGATATTTTGCAGACTTCAATTATGGGTTGCGTGCAAGAACTGTCAGTTGACCGAAGCTGAAGGCAAAACATTGAAACACAACGTTACTTTTCTTATTTGTTTACAAGTGATCAAAATAGTTTTCCACAATTATTTTGGCATATGAATCGTATTTTTCCACTATTCATCAATTCGCTCATGCCATCACATTGTGCTGTTGTAAAATGCACAAAAACTGCAGCGGAAGATGAAGCAATCCGGATGGTACATTATGATTTAAAAGTAAGTACCTACTATAGTAACTCACATATAGTTTTCATTTTTGAAATTTGGTTATTTCTCTGATTTCTCATCGGAATTCCTTCTGCAATAGGAGCTAATAGAAATATACCTGAAATTTCTAGAATAATGCAAGATTGGATTCATGCAATCAATCGGGAGGACTGGTCTGACATGCTGACGATCGTGTGTGTTGTAGACATTTTCAATCTATTAGCAGTATTAGCTTGTATTGCAGAAGTGGCAGAAGGCAGAAGGAATTTTAATAAGGAATGACAACATTTCATAATGATAACTATGTGAGATTACTATTTACCTGAAAAATCATATTCTTTAGTCTCTTGCTGCATTTTTTGTGCATTGTACAACAGCACAATGCGAAGGCAATGAAGGCGTGCTCGAATTAATGAATAGCGCAAAAAACACGATTCGTATGCCAAAATATTGTGAAAAACTATTTTAATCCTTTGATTCTTCTGTAACCAAATAAAAAAGTGAGGTTGTGTTTCAATAATTCACAGAAGAATGAGGTTGTTTCAATATTTTGCCTCCAGGGTCGGTCATTGTGCACGCGACCTATTGTCTCAGGTCCAATCCACCGATATGGAGATGGTCCCTGACTTGTAATGAATTATGTTCTGGGGCTTCATCATGTTGTAGCCACATTGCATTCCTCACAGCTAGAGTTCCTAAATGTACTTGACACTGCCGTTTTGAAGTTTTTTGTATATTAAAGTAGGGACACTAGACAAGCAGTGACAATCAAACATAACCATACACGATTTTGAAGCAAATCATCTGTTTTGCCAAGCAAGGACAAGAATATGTTTTTCGCTTGGATAAAGGATCCTCGCATCTTCCTTCCTCCACAAGTCCTGGGAAGAGTACATCCATATATCTTTCTCTGTCTTTGATTTTTGTATGAGAGTGCATAGCGTCTCCTCGAGTGGGTAAAAGGGTACGATAAATTGATTAGAAAATTATTTCTTCTCAATGGAGGTCGATGTCAAGTTAACATACATATATACCAACGAAATATATACATCTATTCCCATGAAATAGATCTCTTATATGTAGGTATATATTGGAATAAGGTGCTTTTCGATACTCTCTCAGTTTATGAATTGTGGGTTCGACTCTCTCTCAATACGATCCTATTCTTCAACATCAAATCTTCCGTTCTGAAGTGTACTTGATGAAAATGCATTGGAAAATGTTCCATATCCTACCAAGAAATTTGAATACCTCGCAAATTTTGTGGCCTGAACCTATATTCCATGCCGGCCGCATCATATTCTGTTTCCATTTTTGTACAATTACGTTATCCGATGGAAATTCGAATAGAGTGAATTGATTTCCCGTGTTCTCACAGTTGGAAACTGCACAAACTTGCATCTTTCTCCTAATTCTCCCAATTTGTCAAACCTTTGAAATTTGTGTCATGTACGTCCGTGTACTGTCAGTTCCCGCTTTTTCCATCAATTTATTTGTGGTTATGTCTGATTGTCAGTGCTTGTCATAGTGTCCGTACTCTGATATACAAAAAACGTCAAAACAGCAGTGTCAAGTACATTTAGGAACTCTACTCACAGCTATTGGTAGATTTTCACATAAGTTTAGCAATTGGTTTTGCAAAAAACAGGGCCATCAAATTCCCTTGGAAAATTAGGGACCAATAATATGTTCACCAATAATTCCTCCCCACACGTTAATTGAGCATCTGTGTTGTCTATCAATCTGCCTAAAAACCCTTGGATTGTGATCGGAGTAATAATGGAAGTTGCGACGATTCACAAATCCATTCTTATGGAAGGTGGCCTCATCAGAAAAACATGCACCCAGTTGCAGAATTCGACACGTTTTTCCAAATCTTGTTCAAAGAGTTCTTGATGAAACTGAATATGATAGGCATCGAAACCGTTGTCTTTTAAAATTCGTTGAACAGTTCTTTCGCTCACGTTCTTGTCATCTGCGATTGCTTGCTGGCTAATTGAAGGATTTTCCGTAACAGATAACAGCACAGCCAATTGATTTTCTTCGTTTCGAAACGGTCTATCTCTAACTGGTTTTGTATATTTTACATTTCCGGTTCGTACGAACCGATCCAATAAGTTCTGCAGGCTCCTTTTGTCTGGATGACGTCGTTCTGGATAACATTGTGCATACACTCGACTTGCCAAAAAAGAGTTTTTCTTACATTCTTCAAATATTAAAATCATCAACGATATACTCCATGACAAAAAACGATATTATGCTATAAACAACTCAAAAAATTTATAATAATGAGGTAACAATGTATATTGAATTTGAACTACTCAAGCCCAAATAGACTCCTGACACTTCATTAGAGTTAAATGTAAATAATTAACTTCTCAAAGCCACCTTCGTTTTTTATTCATTCAAATGACTATATTAGAATAGTTGATGAAACGAGTTTTCGGAAAATAAGTTTGTTTTTTATTCACGCATCGAAGTACATGAAAATATACAGGGACTACAATTTGAAATCAGAAAAATATAGTGCTTTGAATTTTGAAGAGTTTTCCACTAAATTTTGCACACCCTGTGATGATTCGTGTCAATCAATCGCGGTTAGTATTGGAATGAGAACTAAATCCACCCTGTATTCATCCATATTATATCATCTATGATGGTCTTGATATTGTTTTGATATTATGTAGTTCAGTTGTTTATAATAAAATATATAATCTGTCACGTTCCTAAAAGGTTCAATATAATTCTTCCAAGTGTTCACCGATTTATTCCACTTTATTATCCTTTTACAAGAGTTAACGATCCTCTTAGGTCTTATTTGATATGTTTCTCTTATGATTCTACCGTCTGTACAATGCCTTTTTTGTAAACACTTGAACGAGTAAGTAATCTTCTCTTTTTCATTAACATTTCATAGAAAATTACTTGCACTGGTGATGGCTCTTCGGCCGAAAGCGCTCTGCTATTAACGATTTTCACACGACATACGAAATTTCTTCATTTGATTTATTGAAATGTTGACTATTGGCACCACCGGTACAGGTTCTACTTGAGCAACCAGAAGAAGGCGTTGGCCAAGTTCCTCAAGTGCGTGAACTGGAACCAGCATAACGAGGTGAGGCAAGCTCTGCACATGATGGAGATATGGTCGCCTATGGACGTGGAAGACGCTTTGGAGTTGCTGAGCTCGAATTTCACTCATCCGACCGTCAGGCGATACGCCATCTCCAGGTGGAGTACCTAACCTCACTATTTCCAAATTAAACACCGCTTGATGATGAGTTTGCTCTGCCCAGATTACCTACTCGAAATATTTCAGCACACTACCCAGATAACACCGACCTGAGATGTTTATAATTCCTCTGGTGTGCCTAGTCTTCAATTATTTCGTCAGACTAGCTCTCGATATGAACAATTACTGCGAGTTTGGAACGTGGGGTTCTTATATTCGATAATAGATGGCGTGAACCAGGACAATATCTTGAAAAATTTCAAAATGAGTTGCGAATCTTATTATGAAGTTGAACTAGATATTATAGGGATTCCCTTTCGTGCGCTCCAAGCTATAAAAAGTGTTTTAGTTCTTTCGGGACCTGGAGAGTCCCGCTGATGATGCACGAATTCAATAATAGCTGATAAGATAGATCTATAGACAGGACGCAAAAGAGACAGGTTGAATGAGTGTATTGTGCTTTCATCATGTACTGACTGCTGCAACGTTTGAGGATTATTTGAAAATCCGAACATTCGTTTTATTTTATGTACCAAAGGATTTTCTCGAGTTAGGATTTCGTGTCGTTCATGAATTCACCATTGAAAGTCAAAAATATGACGCACCGTTTCCATTTCAATAAAAAGATGTGAAAAAGAAAATGTGAACTCAAATGAATGTGTCATGATGCCTGTAAATTTTGTTTGAAACTTCGGAAATTTATCAAGATTCTTCCACGCCTTGCTATTTTTACAAAGTAAGCGATATCGAGAGATTTCGAAACTCCTTTCAGTAGGAAGTGATATCACCATTTGACTTTCTATACATCTATCTACTTGAGAAATGACGGTCGACTATTGAAATATAAGACACTTGAAACGAGTGCTCTAATTTTATTCATTTTATTTATTCTAACTCTGCTCTACAGGTCATACCCAACTACTAATATAGGGATTTGTATAGTTTCAGAATTACTTAATCTTAACTAAAGTAAGAAGAGTTAATCACTGAGATAGAACAATGAAATATGTCTAGCTGAATATATGATGAGTTATTGTACTCGGAACACATGGGGTAACAAAACTTCTTATTAATCTTAAAGGAAGTTTCTAATTTTTGAACAAATTGTCGCCAAAATGGTGCCCCTCACACTCAAAAAACTTTATTACCTAAGCCTTTCCCGCTATGAATTGCCAAGGCATTGTCGTTCTAAATGAAAATCTAGTTAGCAGGCGAGAGGTACTTATAATATTGTCTGTTAATTGACCCAAAATGTGTCTGTCTTTCAATGGCGCTAGTTTACTGAAAACATCAAGCGCTCATTTGTTTCAATAGAATATTAATTTTAAAAATGGACAATTTCAGGTTAAAGTTTTCAAAACTTCACTCCAGTCAAATAACAATTTGGATTTTATTGTCCGATTTCAAGTTAATTGTTTTTTGATTTTGATGTTCCATTTTGCATTTCTACAAGAGGTGGAGCTATGTTTTCTTCTTATGCCACATAGATATTATTTATTTTATAATAATGAATTGATATTTCCGGAATGAAGGTAATGTAGTAAGTGTATTAACAATATAATAGTATAATAAAGTATAAGAGTTTTCGAGCATGACAATGATCTGACAATTGTATTGAAATATAAACTTCATTCATTCATATATATATATATATGGTGGATGAAGAATTATTCCAAAATCCTCGACTTCTGAAATATCATATTAGCAATCTAGACAGAAGGCGCTTAAGACCGACGATTCACGACAATCGCTATGCAGACCTATTTTCCAGCCCCATTTTCTGCCAAACGAAAAGTCCAAATGAAAAACGGTTTGGATGATCGTAAGGACGAAAGCTCAAGCTAGGAGTTAAAGTAATTTTCGAAATCAAACTCGTTTGTTGAAGAAAGCAGGCGATGACTGAAAAATGTAAACATTGGGAAATTTTGTGTCACAGATTTTAATGAAAATTGGTTTAACTCCTAGATACACTAAAATGCCATACCCTGCCCAAATTTTGGCTTCCAAAATCACACCGTTCCAAAGAAAACGGGAAAAAATCCAAAATTAACAATATGGCGTCGATAATTGGTGGCGACCTACATAAATCGTGTCTGAATTCAGGCCTATTCAGGGGTACATTAGTTCAGCTTCTGTCTTATAGATGGCGTTGCAAAATTTTGATTCTAATTATCATTATTAGATGGCGCTCAGAATAAAGAAGAATACAATGAAACATGTTGAGAATTTCACATTACGGAAAAATAATCACAGTCTTCTACCTGTTACTGGGTAACTCACTATAATTATGGTAAAAAAGTAATTAGTGCGATCACCTGAGGAATGAGGTGCGAGAGGGTGACGGCGGTAGGCAGAGAATTCAGAACCCCTTCCACGGCGAATCCGCAAGCATGTATACGGGTGTTGATTTGGCCGTTTGGCCCGCTGGTTATTTTCATTTTACTTATCTCATCTTATCTATTTTTAGAACCACTTGAGCGCGGTGGTCAGGGTCAGTACGGGTGGTACGGTTATAAAATTGAAAGCATATAGGGCATTTTAGGGTGAAATGAAACGCTATTTATATTCCAGGCAAACGTTGTTTTGCTATACACTTTGTCCCAGATTATTGGTGCTGTATGTATTGCTATCTCGGTTATTATAAGAGCTACACAGTCGTTCAAATGAGCAATGTTTCTCAGAATTCTATTACTATTTCAGAATTGCCATCAGATTTTTTCGATCATTTTCTGTTTTTGAAATAATTGCGAAAAACCAAAGTGGTGCGTTTTTGACAATCCCCTGTATCTCTGTTATTTGAAAACTTACGGCATTCTGGCTCAGACATTTCGTGAGCACTTTTTCAAGAACTTTTGAATAAAAAATAGAACAATGAAATATCTTCCTGCGTTTTCGAGATAATGACAGTAGCATTGTTTTTTCTTATGGAAATTTTCAGATTCGTTTATTTCTGATGTATTCGTTCAGAAGAATATGGTATGTTATAGTGATACATTTTTGAAAGGAGGATTGAAATTTCTATTTAATGCAATAAAAATACAATATGGTGCCCATATTATGAATGTCGTGAGCTCGGTCGTGAGTTTTCAAATAACGGAGATACATATTGGTTTTTCTCGATTATTTGAAAAACAAAATACTATCGAAAAAATCTGATGGTAGTTCTGAGATGGTTTCCTCAAAAAAATCGTATATCGACTATTATATCTTTATCACACAGCACACCCGCAACGGTAGGTAGTTTTCTATACCTAAATCATCGTCCACCAATATTCTAATATTCTAATATTGGTGGACGATGCCTAAATCATCTTATTATCTTCCTTCATGATATAGTGTGAAAAAGCAGATAGAAAAATTTGGTTCAATATCATTTATTTTGAAATATGGAAGTATGGGAGATCGTGACATAAAAGTTCATAGACATATATATGAAGTATTAAAGAAATTCGTAATTTTCAGAGTTTTAGATTCTGGATATTCATCTTTGGAAATGTCGGTAGTAAAAACATTAATTATCGTTATTGAAGCGCTTTTGTCAGATTAAATGAAAAAAAATATCATTATGATTTTATTTCCAACAAAATCTGCACGGTGTTACACATAACATTATGACAAAATTCAAGCATACATTTCTCTCAAGCAAATAAAAAGGAGGCATTCAGCTCAGAAAAATAGTGGTGGAACATATTCTTCGATTCTGATACTCATCCGGTGCTTATGACACCTTTTGATAGATAAAACAAATTCTGATCATTTTGTTATTTCAATAGAACTTATCAAATATCAAGACAATCGAAGGAATTTTTTTTCGAGAGGTGAATGATATCGAATTCATATTTTTTCAAGTCTTCAATATCCTGAATCTCTACTACCGTTCTTTGGAAAAATATACACAAGACCTCATTTTATATATCTTATCACTCCAATTTTTCAACATGAGGCTCTGCAATGATCATTAATTGATTAACTGGCGATTAATTACTGAGATTTATATATATTGTAGGGTTCTCAAACTGTTTTTGAAAACATGGACCAATACTTTGAGTATTTTTTTGTAGGCCGACGGCGTTTTACTAATGACAATTTCAAGAGATATCTATCAATCAAATAAATAGGTGAATCATCAGATACTGTTATTAATATTTTTATTGATTTATTGATAAATTTTGCTGAGGTGACACTCTTCATATCCGAGCAAATATTTCGTAAACCCTATATTGAATGAAAAAATATTCAATTTGATATTATATTATGATGAACAGTGCTTGAACAGAAAAAAAATACTGGTGATGTGCTACTGATTTGGAGTAGCAGATCATGATATCAGAATTATTTGCCTTCATAAGATGATATTGTCTGACGGAATAACTGAGACAAGACATCAATTGAAGAAAATTCGAAGAAAATCTGTTCAAAGTAAATAAATATTTATCTAATCAATAATTTGTAGAGAAACATAATGGTGAATCCATTTTAATAGAAAACAAACGGGGAATTGGTGTGAAAATATATAAGTATTATTTTAGTCTTTGCAAATTCACTCTAGACATATACAGCAAAAAAACATCGCCGCGGCACGCGTTCGGTGTTCAGTCATTGGGGATCCAAAATAAGGTTTACCTGGAAAAAAGTCCGGAAGTTTTGAAACTTTGTAGGATTATAGTTTTGGGTGTCCAGAACTAAAATTCACAAGATGGCACTCAAAAACGGTTTTTTGAAAATATCTCCAAAACGGTGCGTTTTCAGAAAAATATGAGGACATAAAAATTTAAGATGAAGAAATTTTCTACAAGAAATGTTCCGAGCATATTTCTGCTAAAGAGAGCCGTTTAGGCTCAAGAGCTGATTGAATGACAACATATTCTGATAAATTCTATAAACTGCCCCTAACTATCTCCATATATTCTTGCTATTCAATTTGTTCCTCGTTATATTGGACGATTTTCAGATCAATTATGCGACAAAAATTTTGCATTTGTGAAATTGCATTTATCGACGAATCTGGCGACTTTGCTCCAGAAGTATGTGGGTGCAGGATGGTTATGAGTAAATTTCGTACCTATACGATGTATCCGTAGATATAGGTACCTTCTCGTACTGTAAAACCGCCCATAAATTCATAGAAATTTGAAATTTTGCTTTCTTGTCTTTACCACTCCATCCCAATATGAGTAAGTACACAAAATATATATTTCAGATGAGATTGCGAGACCGTAGGTCGAGTAATTTTGATGTGCTGAATATATGTACTTATTTGAAAAAAAAACTCATATGAATAGCAAAAAAAATTAGTTTCATTAGACTCCTTGAAAGAATAATAACATCACACAAATTGGGCGATATTTTTTGGGCGGTTCATTTTTCAAATTTGGCGCGCTCGGGTTTCAAAAAGTTGGTAGCTCTGCGGGCGCTGGATATTTACACTTATCTCTGCCTCAGTCATCTGTACAATACAAGGCGCTTCCAAGCAGATCCGTTTCATTATAAAAGATAAATTTATATGCATATTTGGAGATAGGGGCAGTTTATTGAAATTAACAGAATATGATGTCATTCAATCAGCTCTTGGGCCTAAACGGCTCATTTCAGCAAAAATATACTGAGGACATTTCTTGTAGAAAATTTCTTCATCTTAAATTTTTATGTCTTCACATTTTTTTTAAAACGCACCATTTTGGAGATATTTTCAAAAAACCAATTTTGAGCGCCATCTTGGCAAGATGGCGGCGCCGGCGGCATGTCCCGGAATGTGCATTTCGTGAATTTTAGTTCTGGACACCCAAAACTATAATCCTACAAAGTTTCAAAACTTCCGGACTTTTTTCCAGGTAAAAATCCCCAATGACTGGCCAAAGTAACCGACGGTCGTGATGGCGGATCTCTTCTGATCAAGTTGTCTCAAGAGACTTTGCATTCTTTGCAAAGACTATATTATCATTTCATTTTCGAGAAGAAGCTAGAAATATTGCTTGAACTAAAAATGTAACCTGCCTAACCCTTTCTATAGGTAGACAATTTCCTAACGCAAATTTTCTGCGAATCAAAATATTTCCATTGTTATTCTATACATCTTCAACGACCTAATTTGCGAATTCGAGAAATAATTGATTCCTAGTATAAACAACACACTGTATAATATGATCAGAAATAGTATAAAATATGTGTTCAATTGGTATTTGAAAAAAATCATGAAATTATTATATTTTTTCTGATCATAGTAGAACATCGAACGTTAATTAACAATACATAATATCCAGGAAATATCAATACCTATTTGGAATATTTTATATTATATATTGATATTGTGATTTCTTCACTCATATCGACATGTGAAATACGGTAAGAAGATATGGTTTATAGGTAGGAGTTCCGATGTCTCTCTCGACCTTGATATCAAGAATAATATTTATTGAATATTAGAATTTCGAAGTAATGATATATTAAATTATAATAGTATTAAATATTTTTTGTTCAATTTTATTATTTAATTTTAAATAATACATTGAATAATCAAACTTTCTATTATATACCAAAAAGGTATTTGATGATCCTATCTACTTATGTTCTATCATATCTACGATTATTTTTCATATCCAAATAAGATTCAAAGCAATTTCAATTTCCTACCTGCTCTCCCTTTCTACCCCATGCACGTGCGCTCTTCCTTGAACATTTCCTTTCGAGCGTTCCGAAAGATAAAAAAAATATTTCAAGAAGCTACCATCAGCCACGCCTAGACCAACCCTGTAAAGTATTCTTTACTTGCCGCTTGCCGTAATAGTGCCTCAGTACCTATACAATAGTCATCACACATACTTCCAGAATCCAGCTTCATAACATAATATATTTATATCTCCTAACCAACCGGTCGCTCGATCGGTGTCTTCCGCGATAAAAAAACAAAGCCCATAAAGAAGTAAATACAGGTTCGTGGAAAGAATGCGCTTCGGATTTGAACCCAAAATGGAAGGAGCATCCGAAAATTCGACACTCAATCAAATCGAATGTAATTTAGGATTATATTAGATTGAAAACTCATTTGCATAATTTTATTAATGTGGAAATAATTAGGTATCAGGGCGCTATAAATATTTGAAGCGAAACCTGTTGAAAATCTTTATAATACTAACATCGTTAACATGAAGAAACAAGAGAATTCTACATCGGTTTCTCGATGTTGGATTTTTATTCATGTTTATCACAGTTTGTTAACCGTAGCGACATCTCTTAGAAACGCCAGGCGAGTGCGGTGAATCGTTCGTCTTAATGTAAACTTGAGAGACATATGGATAGTCATATGAAAACAATTATAATGTCTTCTAGAACATCCACAACTAACTAATAAACTATCAAAGAAAATGAGAGAAATGCATAAATGAGCACATCCTTTTTAACTAAAGGCATCTTCAAAACCATTCATACAAGGAGTCCTATAACATATTCGCCATGTAGGAACATGTGATAACAGATAAGATTAGGTCAATATAATGATCATGTTGAATATATTGCAGGAAATATGCCGGATTTAAGGATTCCTCTAGTACCCAATTCGAATTTCTGGCCTTGAAAAATCAACTGAGAATTGTGAGTTCTGAAATTATAATTTATTGACTTGACCTTATTTTGATCTCTAGTTTCATCTGTTGTTCTGTGGAGGATAAGTTATTAGACACCCTGTAGCTGAACAGTAACTGTTTCATCCTCAATAAAATATTCAATTTCCAGGTTACAACAAGCTCCAGATGACGAAATATTCCTTTATCTGCTGCAATTAGTACAAGCGTTGAAGTACGAGAATTTCAAAACAATCCAAGAAGGCAAGTACTTTTTGCACAGTGGAATATGAATGAAATCAATCGATCGGCATTTTGAACAATTTCAATATCAATTTAATAAACTCATGAGTAAATTGCATACCTCCTTACCATCATGACATATTCTCAAACCTGATAATCCTTGGATCTATCGTGAAAATCATCCATATCTCTAAGTGGTCCAACGTAATTTCAAAAGAAAAACAAAAGGTTGTCGACTTTGAGTCTCTCGTTTTTCTTTTGGAATCATTGGATCATTTGACAGTTGAAAGTGAAGTGAGTCGCTGTCAGTGGTCACGCTCGTGTTGTTGCCAAGCAACATAATTTGTTTCTCAAAATCAAAGAGATTTGTATTTCGATATTCATCAATACACCTTGCTGTAATACATTATGAATATCATAAAAATGAAAGAATGGAGTGAAAAGTTAACAGCTAACATGCAGATATTGAAACCTCCTTCTAGTCCCACTGGTACACTGCAATAAAACGCAGCTAATGTTTCAGGCTATGCAAGAATCTCACCTGGCAGAGAGATCAACATCCAAGAGGATAAGGAAGCGCAGCTGGAGAAGAAGGACAGCAAGGAGAGCAACAGCACCATCACCAATGAGTCCTTCCTGCACAGGTCATCGAGCTACAATGAAGCCGACCAGATAGCTTCTTCGAACGTGACCAGCGTGATCGAGAATAGGTAAGAACACTGATTTCTAGAAAAAATATTATGACGTTCGTCAGGATGACAATTTAATTCATGTATAAAAAATCCCATAAGCCGCTGTGATTTTGTCATTATGACAGCGAAAAAACTGCTCTAACTTTTCCAGCTACAAAAGAGAACCTAACATTTGAAACCATGACAACCAAAATGAAGAAAGAATCGTTAGTGGCGTTTATGTCAATTTTTCTCAGTCCTGCATTGTCAGAAAAGTATTCAATCTTTGGAATGTCGTTATTTGGAGAGTCTTCGAGTGGCAAAGTTGGAAAAAACATCAACAATAGTGTGATTTACGCACAGAAAACCCATCTCAAATAGAATGTAATCTCCCATAGTCCAGGTAGTTGTGTGGACAGAGTGTCAATATTCTAATCCGCATTCGCTTGCCGGTCGTGGGTTCGATTGCCATCGACTGCAGAAATTTTTCTGATGCCCCAAGATAGTGTTTGGGATCACACGTTAAAAGGTAAGGCCCCCTTCATTCCTTGCTCGCACAAAAGACTCTCGAAGACTTCTGAGGGTTGCTCGTAAGGGAGCAACCGAATGACGGATAGAACAATTTTAGAACAATAGTGACGTCCAGAACAACGTCATCATCGCCACCATGCGTTTTGGAAGCCGAACTAATTCTACCATTGACAGTCGTGGCGGCAATTTCAAAACTCAATTGGTTATTACTATACATTACTATACAGAAAGAAGGACTGTGTAATGAACTTCATTGACATATTGCTTTATATTCTTTCTGAAATAAGCTGCTTATGATTTAATAACTACTATGATTCAAAAGAAAACAAACATGATTCCAGTTCTTCAATTCACAACTATATTTTCACAATTACCTGGAATCTGTCCAATAACAACATATTTCCATTTATTAAAGCAATCTCACCTAGAATTTCAATAATCAACATATTTCACTACCACTATTGGGAGTCCACATGATTGTCACTTCATAAGTTCATTCAATCAAATAAAAGATAGTACCTATATTATTGCATCATATTTCTTTGCTTATAACTGTATTTTAGATATGATTGAATACCTATTGATGATCCTTTCCTGAAACCCATCCCACTATTTCATGAAAAAAATTGAAACATGAACTGCACACCTAAAAAAAATAACAAATGCAGTAGTGGCGGCACAAAAATACTGACACTACTGACAGCTAACTTGAAAGCTTGACATCATCTATCCGATTGCCATCTATCGGATTGGAAGCTTCTCTATTTCTGTCGGCCAGGAAAGTTTCGGTACGGGAAATTTATATGATTTCATTCTATTTGAGGGAAGTTTCCTATAGATTTACGTATTCATTATATTGTCAGTAGTAAATTGCCTAGGACATTGACAAGTAACGAGCTTGAGAAATTTGTCATAAAATTATGAGGCATTTGTCAATGTTCAAGGGATATTCGGAGGAAAATATTTTGAAGTTGCCAACGTCGATCGTGTTGTCATAGTGATTAATGATTGCACTGAATGCAGTTATCAAAATTTCGGGTTATGTTGCCTTTAGGAAATTTAACACTGTGACTGCCATTTCAGTCAGTTTTGACCGACGTGCCTTTTCATTGGTTCGAACGCGTCAGGCCACGCGAAGTTTTCAGAGTAGGGGGCATCTAAGTGATCAGCATATTTCTGTTCAGACATTGTAAAGTCGTTCTGGTGTACATAAGAGCATAAAACGATGTCAGCTAAAATCGACCGACTCGGCCTGACATGGCAATTTTTCAGATATATATTAATTTATCGATAAACTCACAGGGGTTGGAACATTTGCTATAACAGCAAAAGGATAAAACACCGATAGCTAGAAAAGTTGAAAAAATCTTGTGAAACAATATGGACAAGAAAGGGGGCTAAAAATGAGTTGAAGAGAGTGCGGACGCATTGAGAAGGCTGCCAAGAGATGCCTTCTATGAGCATTGAATGTCATGTGAAAACCCATTCCAACAATAATTAGATTCAGATATGTTCACATTTTATATAATAATAGCTATTTGTGTATTTAGAGCACAAAGTGATAGATTGCCGCTCGACAAAGAAAGTTGGAATACAATATCCATATTGATGTGTTTGTATTCAGGCAACTATTCAATGTTCCGCCATTTTGTAGTAGGTGAAGATATCGACTTTATATTCTAGGATTGTGAAGTAATCGTCAGGAGCTTCAAAAAGATTTGTGATTTAATTTTTTCCCTGATGGCGCCCAGTCACCATCTTGAAATTTTCATCTGTCAATTTTACTTCAAAATATAGAATTCATTATCCCAAGTTTCAGTTTTTTCAAAATAAAATTAAAGCAAAGCACTGTATGCACATTTAAATCGAATTCAAGCATCTGTGTTCTTGCCTGTAGCGATCAGAGGCCCACTAGTCTTCCAGATATTCCGCAAAATCCGATCACTGATAGCGGCAACACAGACACTTTGCGCAGCCAGATGAACGAGGAGGAAGAGATACAGGATCTCGCGTCGTTTTTGATACAGCGAACGTGCAAGAACTTTCTGCTCGCCAACTATTTCTATTGGTATTTGCTGTTGGAGTGCGAGGATCAAGAAACTAATTTGAAACAGGATGTCAGTGATGTAAGTTAAACTGTAGGAAAAGGACACCGCACGTTTTATGGGGAAAATTGGCCTTCTGTTGAATTGGCTGAATTTTTGATATGTTATAGTCTAAGACATTCTGCACAAAATGTCCAAATACCAAACCGTTTTTATGGCTAGTTTTGGCGCTAGAGGCCGTTGAAGTCTCAATCTTGATTTCTTCTCTCCTGATAAATAAAGCTCTTTGAGCCATTATTATATTATTTTTTGATAGGATAAGTCACTACTATATAGAAGTATTCATCAATATTGTGTTGTTACTGGTCAACAATTATACAATGTGTTCCAGCTATTATTGTTCAAGACAATAATGTTATTCATTAATTTTATAGGGAAGGATATCGAGAAATGAGAAATCGAGAAATGTCCTATTTCAATCACAAAGTACGCTTATTCACAGAACAGAGTGGAATTCCGCCCGGGGAGTCTAGTATGTTATACGGACGGATCGCGCCTAACTGACAAACAGGACTCAGGTGCAGGAATTAGGATTAGGCATAAGGGAGAGCTACGCTCTTGGAAAGTATACCACAGTTTTCCAGGCCGAGGTCTTTGCCATTCTGGCAGTAGCGGAGAGGCAAGAGGTGAAAGAGGGACCAGAGCAGAAGATTTACATCTGCTCGGATAGTCAGGCGGCTCTCAGGGCTGTCTGCCATCCTAAACCAAGCTCAGCTTTGGTGCAGGAATGTGGCGATGCTCTTGAGAAACTAGCTGAACAGAAGGAAGTCGAACTAGTATGGGTTCCGGGGCACGGGGGGGTGCCCACCGCGACACCGTTCTGGGGACCGGAGCCTGCACTGGGCATAACAAGAAGCCAAACTTCGTCTGCCCTTAACAAATGGGCAGACGAGGCACTAGAAGTATATTAGAGGCGTATAGGCGGCTGCAGGCAATCGAGAGACCTGGTGGCCGGTCCAAGCAAGCCAAGGACGGCTTGGTTACTGGGCAGGGATCGCCAAGTCCTGCGCCTTCTTATAGGGATACTGACAGGGCACAACAGGTTACGCAGACACCTATCACTCATAGGTGTGGAAGATAGTCCCACTTGCCGTGAATGCGGAGAAGATGAGGAGACATCACTTCACTTCCTCGGAGAGTGTGAGGCGTATGGAAGGATGAGATTCGAAATCTTTGGAGTAGATGAACTACAACAGGAAGATTTGGTCGAATTAGAGTGGACGGATATCCTGACCTTCATCAGAAGGACAGGAAGGTTCGAAAAGGACAACTAAAAGAGGGATGTGTAGATATGTGGAGAGCAGGGGTTGGCAAAAAGGGCCCATGGGGGCCTACTTGCCTGGCTACAGCCTCCCCACAATACTGCTACTACGCTTATTCGAATTCCATGTTCACCCTTTGTATAAGGAGACGAAACACGAAGATATCAACCCGTTCCATATAACAGCAGCTGAATGATATTCGAATCAAAACAATATTTCAATATTCAATATTAATGAGATGATGTTTTTTCTAGTATTAATCTCCTGTTTGTCAAGGTTTGAGAAGGAATGTCATTTTGCGTTTTTCCTCTTGAAACAGTTCGTATATATAGCATCAATAAATCAGCACAAGTAACAAAGTCCACAAACTATTCAATATCTGCGATCCTGCCTCATCACCTTAGGATGATCAATTGATGATTTTTGAAAGAATTGTACGATTTTCGAGGGCGTGATATCTGAAATATATTGACATGCATTTGAAAAAAATGTACTAGGTATCTGCTAGGTATAATCAGAATGTATTGAGGAAGTTACAAGGAATATTCATCTAAAGATACAAATGAATACTGATATTACTGATAATATTTGCTACTGTTATAGAACTAGTTAATAGAAATAATAATATTAATAATAATGAATGCTTTTATTGGAAAAACTGTTTCATAATTGAAATGCGACACGTGACAATATCCTTTTTATTGAATTATTGGATAGTATCACATTGTATCTCCCCCATAAATGCTGAAACACACTGTATAATTCTTGACCATCAGCAAAAATATTGAAGAAAACTCCTTGTAGTGACTTATCCTATCAAAAAATAATAGAATAATAGCTCAAATTGAAAAATTCATCAGGGGAAAAAAAACAACATTGAGACTTCGGCGGCCTCTAGCGCCAAAACTATCCATTAGAACAGTTTGGTATTCTGACATCTTGTTCAGAATATCTTGGACTATAACATATAAAAAATTCTGCCAATTCGACAGGAGGCCAATTTTCCCTATAAAACGTGCGGTGTCCTTTACTGATTTACAAATTATTTACGATTTTGTACAACTATCAGACTTCAACTTGATAGATGGATCGATTGATGGTTTGATGTTTGAAAAATATTATGGCGAAATTTAAACACTCAAACCCAAAAAAAATCAACATCAGTAATACAGTATACATTTTTTGACTTGACTCGGCCGTAACTTGTTGGAAATCTATAGTAATTGTGAAAACTTCACAAGACACGAATTTTCCCCAAATGTTTTAAACTTAGACATGTTCCACTAACACAGTAGCTTCTTAAAGAGAATAAATTTTGTCGTACGGTATATAAACTTGTTGTCTTGTTTCCGAGAATATTTTAGACGATATACAAGCAGCATATTGTCGCTACATTAATTATAAATTACCTTTTCTTGGCTTTTGAGTACAGATTCCGTAAGAGCCTTGTTTTTCCAATTGTTATTCTTCTGCATCTTTGAGAATGTTTTGAGAGTTCGACCTCTTGAATTTTGCGTTTATTATAATTTACTTCGAAGTGAGGATGTCTAGGTTCTGAGAAATCCGGCGTAGTTGTTGTTTCTGATATAACCTGAAAAATAATTGAATATATATTGTTTTTCATACATTATTCATATATTTCATTGTAACTCAAGCATATGGATGAAAACATGGGTAATTTCTTAAACGTATCTCTATAAAAAACCCAACTGTATTCAATACTATGGTCGCTATTTAATGCAGAATGACGTTGATATAATTGAAAACATTTTGCAAATTCTCATATTATCTCCATCCAAGGAGGCAATCCTCAGGTAAATAACTTCAAGTTGAAGTGATCCTATGAACGGGAGAATTTCTCTCAAAACTATCGCCCAAGATTCTAGTAAAGCCGGAATTGTTGATGATGTTTGTGATGTTCCTGCGATATCCTGAAAAAAAATCAATTAGTATTATGATTCCTCATTTGCTCCATATATTATATATTATAACATACATACATGCATGAAAGCATTCCTTTCTAGAACACTTCTTCATTAAAAAAACAACTTGTATTGGTATTCAACTCATAAGTATATAAATTTGGAAGAAAGCTGGTATAACACCACTGTTCATACCTAACTCTTGAAGGCGACATCCTCCTTTGTAGAGAGGCATTACGAACACCAAAGTTGATACTCTCCCCTCGTAAGGGTACCTGGCGTTATTTCATACACAGAAAGAGTCTCTTAATCTTTGTTGATTAAAATGAAAACTTATCTTGAAGATTCTCATATTATCTCCATCCAAGAATGCAAATCTCTTGAATAATTTCAAGTTGAAGTGCTACTATAAACGGGAGAACTTCTGTCGAAACTTTCACCCAAGATTCTAGTAAATCCGTAATTGTTTGTGATGCTTCTGCGATGTCCTGAAAAAAAAAAATCAATAAGTATTATGATTCCTCAATTTCTCCATATATTATTTATTATTACATACATACATGCATAAAAGCATGTGTCATTCCTTCTTAGAACACTTCTTCATTAAAAAACAACTTGTATTGATATTCAAGTCATAGGTATATAAATTTGGAAAAAAGCCGGTATAAAACCACTGTTCATACCTAACTCTTGAAGGCGACACCCTCCTTTGTAGAGAGGCATTACGAACACCAAAGTTGATACTCTCCCCTCGTAAGGGTACCTGGCGTGATTCCATACACAACACGAGTCTCTTAATATTTCGACTCGATGAATAATTGAAGAAAAGGAACAAGCTAGGCTAAAGTGTTTTTTATATGAAGAATGAAGTTGAATAAATTGAAAACTTATCTTGAAGATTCTTATATCATCTCCATCCAAGAAGGCAAATCTCTGGTGAATAACTTCAAGTTGAAGTGCTACTATAAACGGGAGAACTTCTCTCAAAACTTTTACCCAAGATTCTAGTAAATCCGTAATTTTTGTGACGCTTCTGCGATATCCTGAAAAAAAAAATCAATTAGTATTATGATTCCTCAATTTCCCCATATATTATTTATTATAACATACATACATGCATAAAAGTATGTGTCATTCTTTCCTAGAACACTTCTTCACCAAAAAAACAACTTGTATTGATATTCAACTCATAGGTATATAAATTTGGAAAAAAGCCGGTATAAAACCACTGTTCATACCTAACTCTTGAAGGCGACACCCTCCTTTGTAGAGAGGCATTACGAACACCAAAGTTGATACTCTCCCCTCGTAAGGGTACCTAGCGTGATAACATACACAAAACGAGTCTCTTGATATTTCGACTCGATAAATAATTTAAGAAAGGAAGCAAGCTAGTCTGAAGTGTTTTTTATATGAAGAATGAAGTTGAATAAATTGAAAACTTATCTTGAAGATTCTTATATCATCTCCATTCAAGAAGGCAAATCTCTGGTGAATAACTTCAAGTTGAAGTGCTACTATAAACGGGAGAACTTCGCTTCTGCGATATCCTGAAAAAAAATCAATTAGTATTATGATTCCTCAATTTCCCCATATATTATTTATTATAACATACATACATGCATAAAAGCATGTGTCTTTCCTTCCTAGAAGACTTCTTCATTAAAAAAACAACTTGTATTGATATTCAACTCATAGATATATAAATTTGGAAAAAAGCCGGTATAAAACCACTGTTCATACCTAACTCTTAAAGGCGACACCCTCCTTTGTAGAGAGGCATTACGAACACCAAAGTTGATACTCTCCCCTCGTAAGGGTACCTGGCGTGATTCCA